ATTTCTCTCTTTCTGCCTATAGTTGTTTGGCTCTCAGATCTGCCAATTGGACCACTATAAACGATAGCTTGAATGGCGGTATTGGGAGCGACTTGGATGAAGTCTTCTTGATTAGTGGGACTGGCAGTGGCTTGAGCAAGGTCTCCTTGATCGGTGACTTCGAGTGGGTTGACAGTGATGTCTTCCTTAAGATCATGGTTGCGGATATCTTGAGCAACAATTCCTGTTACGCCATCAGAGCCATCGATAATGACATGAGTTGAAATGTCGTTTAAACCATTATTGCTCCTAACGTCAATCATACTTCTGACCGAAGGCTCGTCGTTGTTATCAATATTCGTGGACAAAGGAGTCTCCTGATGTGTGGAAAAGCGGGAAATGACATTATTGGCGACCGTGGGGGTACTGCTTTCATCATTTATTAAGCTGGATCGGCTACGACGTTGATTTTTTGGCAAGGGACTACCGTTATCCTTCATGGAAGCAATGTGACTTGGGGATGCTAGACAATCATTACCACTTGGAACTTCGAGAACGTGGTTTTTGGCTGCGTCTATTTCAGGTGTATTGGCCAGTTTAGCCTGGTTAAATTGGAGACGCTTCATACTAGCATTTGTCTCACGAACCCTTGGAGCAACCATATTTTGGTCTTCTGGAGGAGTCAAGAGTTGTAGATTTGTCGAGGCGACGTAGGCAGTGCCAATCTGAGCAGTGCCAACTTCAAAAACAGAATCGGTGTCTGAATTGTAGGCGAATGAGGATGCAACAACAACGGCAGAATCTTGAGTATGAGATTCTGTAGCAACAGAGTCTGTGAAAGAAATTTCTTCAACCGTGGATTTCTTAGCAACGGATTTTGGCTGAAGGATAGGAAATTGCAAAGCGGACGAACTAAGATCGGTCGCATCCAGTAAACCACGGCGCTCGGGCGAGTTTTCGAGGCGGAAAATCGGCTTAGGCGGCAATTTCTTATTGAGCGACAGTCTGGTAGGCTACTAGTGGTCAGATTGAGATTGATTAAGCCGCGGTATGTTTGAGGTAATTTAAATGATAATGGGGCTGTGTGTTGAGATTGGGACAACATACCATTGTTATAAGAGGTGTGTCAATGTCTGAAATGTCGAGCTCGTACTCAGCAATCATTACCTTAGAAAGCTTTGAAGGTGTATATGGAACTGTATCGTATTGACTGCGATTCCCTCGAGTTTGTTGATAACGAGCAAGACTTCGTAATGTTCTAGTGCTAGTGTCGCGTCTCAATCTTCTGTGAGGAGATTGAGATGATTTGCCAGAAGTTTCGAGATAATAATCAATATTGAATCCTTTGCAATCAGGAGTGGTAAAGGACTCTGGTGAGAGGTATTGGTATTGTTGTTTCGTATTGAAGCTGTTGGTGCGTTGCCTATTCATGCGAGAGCTTGCATCTGTTAACGCACCCCGATGATGGCCATTGCCATCACGCGTCGGAGTGGCTAGTCCGCCAATCATGTTTGCGTATTCCACCATAATCAGCTTTGATGGAATTTCCTTTAAACTGAACTCTTCTTCAACAGAACTGAAACTGAAGCAGATGAATGGACTTCGAAACGAAATTATCAAAGAGAATTTGAATGTTGATTCAGCACCGCAGAATCAAAACGCAAGTGAAGGCAAAATGATGGATATCTTGCCACATCAGAGTTGATTAGTGACAAGTTTACACCTGTTTGTGGTGTTTTGTTGGTTTATTGAGGTCGAAAGAGAAAAATGGAAGAATTGAGATAGAGAGAGAGAGAGAGAGAGAGAGAGAGAGAGACAATACCTACTCAGTTGTATAAACAACTGTGTGTTGCTAGCGTGGCCGAAGGAAAGTCGTGAGCCGAACCAATACTACTCTTTCAATACTTCTGCCGCCCTAATGTAATCTTGTGGGACATTGTTCTGTTTGAGGGTATGCTGTGGGCTAGAGAATGTGCTATGAGTTTCCAAATCTGTTGAAGAGAAGTCTGAAGTGTGAGAAAATAGAAGACAATGACTGCATATTTTTTGGCTCACTAGGGTGGTATGTACATTTACATAAAGTAGAAGGACAGTCTCTACTGTTTCAGAAAGAAGATTTGAACAGCAAAATAAGTGATGGTGTGTTGTGGGGAGTTGGGGTGATTTGTGAACCTCTGATTTGAGAGAAAAGCCCCTGGGCCAATAGATAGAGCTCTATACTTCCATGTAGCATGCCTACTCTGAGCCTGTCTGCTTGTTTATATATCGACTTTGTGGGTTTCTAGGAATCCTAGTTGCCAGTATTTTTGATGTGGATATGAAGTAATATTCAGGTAGCTCAAAGCTGGAGAGATTTCCATAACAAAACAGCAGCATCTAATCACACTTTACATAATCAAAGAATTCGATATCCAAATCTGATATAGAGACGCACCTAATGAACGACGATGCTGATGCCTCATGTCATGATGTTTGATCTAAGCAAAAGACAACAGAAGCAATACAATACAAAGGGGATGAAACCAAAGGTGATCCTTCTTAGGAGTATGATTTGACATCACTTGACTTCGAGTATTCACTCTCATTTCTCCTATAGCCAACACAGATATGAGGTGAGGTTGAAGTGAGGTTGGAGTGAAGTCTTGAAGTGAGGTTCGATTACAATGTTTTGTGGATCACCTATCAGAACGATCACTTTCAGGCTTACATTAGTCATCACTGCGGGAGTTCCCTGGTGCCCTCTCTAACAAAAGTTAATACATTAGATCCCGTAGTTATGTACTTTTGTTATTAATATAATAATTATATAAACCATAGCACAGTACCAGTACCTTGAAGATTTCTACACATGGATAATTTATATCCAATATCGTCCTGTACAATAATTACCTACTTGCCTAAATCGGTAAGGTAATAAATAATACATCGAATCATATTCATCCGATTCCAATGCAATGGATTACCTAATCACACATCATTCTTTCATAGAGTAAATCCAGCTTGCTATGCACGGACCCTTAGCGTCTTCCCGGTTCATTTACGTCACTAAGTGGGCAAATGGTGAAAGCTTTAAGTTCCATAGGCCAGCTCTTGATTTCCTCAACATAAGAAGTAATCTTGTACTTTGAATCCAGAGCATTATCTTTATACCTTCTAATACCCAATTGACGTTACATAATACCACATTTCATCATGTTTGCAAGACAAACCCTTAGAGCGGCTCAGCCATTGAGAAGCGTAAGTCAGCTTTCTGCTTTTTTTTCTCGCTGCTGTGGAATTCGAAGCTTGGAGCAGATAGATTTCTTAGATATCACAGCACAACGGCTTACAATCTCCGGACACATTATTCAATACAAGCTAACAAATTGGTATATAGCAATACCGACGATATGCTACCGAATCCTCCAGCGGCGGTGGATCCAATGCTGCCTTGTACGCCGGTCTCGCAGCTGCTGCAGGCGCTGGAGCATACTACTTCTTGAACCAGGGAGACAATGCCGCAAAGGTCAAGGGTGCAGCAAAGGACGCAGAAGCTAAGGCAAAGGAGGCTGTTGGACAGGGTAAAGCTAAGGTCGAAGGAGCTGTTGGGAAAGCTGCTTTCACTGGTGGTGACCAAGGCTTCATCAGTCTTAAGCTCGACAGCGTGGAGAATATCAACCACAACACCAAGAAATTCAGATTCGAGCTTCCTGAAAGTGACCAAGTCAGCGGGTTACAAGTTGCTTCTGCTCTTCTTACTAAGTATAAGGGCCCCGAGATGCAAAAGCCTGCGATCCGTCCTTATACCCCCACTAGTGACGAAAGTGAGAATCGGTCATAATTCCTTTTTATCAAACTTTACTGACTCTCCATTAGGTGAAAAGGGATTCATCGATCTTCTTGTAAAGAAGTACCCCAATGGTGTCATGTCCGAACACATGCACGACATGGTTCCCGGCCAAAGATTAGACTTCAAGGGACCTATTCCAAAATACCCATGGTCAGCAAACAAGCATGACCACATTGCTCTCATTGCTGGAGGAACTGGAATCACTCCAATGTACCAACTCGCACGAGCCATCTTCAACAACCCCGCCGATAAGACAAAGGTTACATTGGTATTCGCAAACGTCACAGAAGAAGATATCTTATTGAAGCGCGAATTTGAAGATCTTGAGAACACCTACCCACAACGATTCAGAGCTTTCTACGTCTTGGATAACCCACCTAAGTCATGGGCTGGCGGAAAAGGTTTCATCAACAAGGAGCTCTTGAAAACTGTTCTTCCAGAACCCAAGACCGAGAATGTTAAGGTCTTTGTCTGTGGTCCACCAGGAATGTACAAGGCTATCTCTGGTCCAAAGGTTTCTCCTTCGGATCAGGGTGAGTTAGCTGGTGTCTTGAAGGAGTTGGGATACTCGAAAGAACAAGTTTATAAGTTTTAGAGGACTGCTATCATAATTTAGACCTGTAAGATAGAGACACTTATAGATAGACAGACTGGAATGAAAAGTCACATATACCCGCAGCAATCTAAGCATCTTGATTCCATTTCCGTCCTTGTCGCTGCTCAATATACTTGACCTTTTGTGCTTTTTTCTTTCTTTAAATGTGTTTCAATTGTTTTAACATTGATTTCCAAACGTCTGAGGGATCAAGAACTTTTTAAGTCAAGTATTCGGAAGCCTCTTCTCACCATTCTCTCCACACTTGTCCAGAGAATTATTTATTGTAACTTTCTCCTTGTGACTACGCATTGTTGCAGAAACAGTATTTCAAGGTGAGAATGATAATTAGCAACAGCAGTTGATGAATTACAATTTTTTCTCCAAATTCATCATCATTATCTCATATCTATCATATCTATTAAGTATGTCTGAAATACCCGTATAGCCTGCCTCTGCCCCACCACCCATGACATTATATTTACGCTTTCCAAACACTCTAACCTTTCCAACGCACAAAAATTCAAATTCAAATTCAAATTCAAATCCAAACCCAATATTCCCATAAAAGTCCATTCTTGCACAACCCAAATATTTCTAATGCGTCGCAGCAAAGCGACTCCACCCCCTCACTTTCTCCCCATAAATATAGAATAAATACGGCACCGGCACCATCACCGCGCTTATCCCCCCCAGCACCGTAAGCGTCCAATGCACACCCAGATTCTCATAAAAAGGAATCCCCACCTCCACCATTCCCCCCGCAGCCACATATCTCACCAGCGTCAAACTTGCTAATGCAGACGCCGCGTACATTTCATAAGAATCAATAATATACTGATACGTACTTATGAAAATACACAGAATGCCAAACCCAAAAAATAGCGAAGCGACAAGACCAGACCATGGAGAAATAGAAGGATAATTCGTCCACCCCATCCAGAAAAGCGAGATGGGGATAAACGGCGCCCCGAACATGGCAAACCAGAGTCGTTTTTCCGGGGGTAGTTTGGCTTTATCTCCGTGGATGGCGCGCAGAGCCGCGAGATCTTTCTTCGCCCAGTGGTGGATTAGCGGAACGAGACAGGTGGCGAAACAGAGCCCGATGGCAATACCGAGGAATGCGAGGCCAGTGATTCCTTCGCTAAAATTGTACGTTTCGCCAAAGATATATGTGTATCCGTCGAGAAAAGTAAAGAGAATGATATATACGACGGTGAGATAGAGCGCGAAGAGCATGACGATGGGTTCGCGCGTAATGAGAAGACATGGTCTGTATAATGCTTTCAATAATCGCGTCTTGAATGGATCGGCTCTGATTTCCACCTCGGCGACAAATCGTTCATCGCCCGTTATACGACGCAGATGCGCTGCTTTCCACTTCAGCAGAATGGGTGCGAAGGTCTCGGGTTGGAATAATGTAATGAGGAGGAGGATAGCCCCGGAAAGTATCAACGTAATCCATTCGCACCACCTCCAACTCACGAGCTGAGATTGTCCGATGAAACCCCCGACGATGGGCCCGAAAATTGGTCCCATGAAGGCGGCGTTGGCGAAGACGGGAAAGGCGTAGACGCGCTCCATGGGTGACCAGAGATCGGAAATTGATCCTCCTGCGCAGGTGAGGGGGGTGGAACCGAAAAACCCGGCGAGGAACCGGAAGATGAGTTGGGTAGCGAGATTGGGCGCGAGTGCGGAAGCCATGATCCAGATCATGTATATGAGGAGTGTGGAAATGTATACTGGATTTCTCCCGATCGTTTCGGAAATCGGTCCTATAGTACGCATCAGCATATAAGTTCCAAGAACACACACATATACCTATGTAAATCATAGGTTAAGTGAAGTATATAAACAAGATAAACACTCACCAGCAAACAACGCCCCCAATCCAAATCCCACAAGAAACAATCCCGTAGCCAACGACTCCGCAACCTCACTCACCCCAAAATCCTCCGCCGCCTGCGTCAACGCCGCGCTATCAATCGACGACGCAAACCCCACTATAAATCCAATCGACGCAATCATGATGGTGCAGAAGCCCCGACGCCATATCGACCAATTATGCGGATTCATGTGATCTTTCGAGTCTTCGTATCCGACTACGAAGACCGTTTCTCTCTCCCCCTGTTTTTCATTCCCTGTGTCTTTTGTGTGGGAATTCTTTTTCGATTTGGATTTGGATGCGGTCCGCGTTCTCGTCAACTGTTCAGATAATTCTCGCACTTCGATCCCCGTTAATGTATACCCTAATCGTGTTCCGAAACTGCGCGTTGTGTGTGCTGTCGCTCGAGTGGCGATTCGATCAAGGGTTTCTGATCTCGCGTTTCCACTTTCGTCGTCTCGTTCTTCTTCTTGTTCCGCATCATCTTTCTCTTTGTGTGGATTTTCTTCGTTATAAGAATCTAGTGAAGGGGCATTTGATATACCCCTCTCTGCCTTCTCAATATCGTGCGTATGTAGCTCCGTAGCCGACGATCCTGTATTATGAGAGGAGGAAGAAGAAGAAGAAGAGCGATGCCCCCCTAACCCACCCCTTCCATTCACATCCAAATCCAAATCCAAATTTAAATTTTCAGACCGCACATCTCTATTACCCCTCTCCAGCGCCTCTGCCCTCAATCTATCCCTCTCAAATTGCGCTTCGGTTAAACTCCCAAATCGTTTATATGTCAAATACGATTGCATACTGAAAACTTCCTCGTCTGCTACGTATCACAAATTCTTCATAGAATTTTTAGAATTTTCCCAAGGAAAATTCAAGGGTAGAAAATAGGGCTAGATATAAAACATAAAAGAACTCATACACCTACAGTGTACTAATACAACAAATACCGGTACCCACATCGGAGAAAAACATCCATAGCAAATCTACAAACCCCATAAGAACGACTCATAGTGGAACCTCGAAACAGCAAAGTTTCGTAATCGCACTGGATACAAGCCATGTTGAATGCTGGTACAACCCTACAGCTGAAAAAGAGAATCGATGATAACGATTTCCTATCAACTATGACCGGACTCCGGTGGAGTTTTTTCATTTTTCCCCTGCAGATTGATAGTGGATATTGCGGAAGCGATAGTGTTATGACGCAGATGACAAAGGGCGGTCGATTATAATTGGGCCTTGTGATAGATAGTGCGCAAGAAATCTCATGGCGAGGAGGGCCGAGAGCGGGGCGAACGGGGGGAGTTACCGGGAAAGCTTGTAAAATCGTAATCGGATATAACTCCGAAAATGAAGTTTCTTATTTCTTAAAAGATATTTTGTAGGCTGATAGAATGACTCGAGACTCTAGACTCTAGAGTGAATGATACTTGACATCGATCTAGACCACATATCAATCAAGCTTAGAAAGCTAATTCAGACTATAGATAGGTAGTCAAATAGTAAGGGAAGCCCATGTAAATAAAGTAACTTAGCATTCTGCCATCTGTCTGGTATTATAACAATGCCCTCCCAACTTCTATTATACCCAAATCCGTCCAATTTAAGTCGCCTCAGATATCTTCAGTAGACAATACCACCAATTACATCAAATCCCATCTATATGCATATAAAGACCATAAGCAAATCAGCTACCGCTAATCTGCTTGCCGCTTCCTAGCGCAGAGGTAAACTGTCCAAATTCCTGACCATCAAAAATCCTTAAATACTCCGCCGCATTTCTCCATCTAGTCTGAAATCTTCTTAAACAATTTCTGATAATTTCCAATGCCTCCTGAGACTGTGGATTACGACTTTCCCTCCACTCCCACATATAATGCTGGCCTGCTGCCCACAAAGAGTCCATTATCAATGGACTAACCTTATCAAGATCAGCTTGTGTTTGTGCATGGCTATTGACACTCTCGGAAAATTGAACAACGCTAGCCGAGAAATCTTGTAGACCTTTGATGGCTTTATTCATCATAACACCTTTCTCGGAAGAGGTTGCTGCGCCGCATAACTTATCTGCGGGACAAGAATAGGGGTCAAGAAGAGCAATGATTGCGCTGTAAATGATTGCGAGTGGTGTTGCTAACATGAGATAATCTCTAGAAACCATCGCTTCTTCATTGACTTTACGAGCGAGAACAGAACAATTTTCGAGGAGCTGACATGCAATATCAAAACGGGCTGTCTCCGATGGAATCTGCTCGGTGTAATGGTGACGAAGAACATTTCCCAGAAGCACAGATCCTTGACAAAGTCGAGCAAATGGTGTAACAGACTCGGTGAGCAGAGTAGACACATGCTTCTGAACTGTTTGAGTCATATCGCCGCTATCCTAAACACCAATTAGTTCAGATTAATCGGAAGTCTGAATCAAAAACTTACCCATGCAACATCATCCACAGGTAAAGGATCATCTTCTTTTGGTTCTTGGGTAGTTAATCGGTGGTTCTTGCTCCCAATCGAGACCATTCTATGTCATGTGAGTTTTTGAAGTTTGGACTTGTGGTGAAAGTCTCACCTATCAAGTATAAGAACACCCCACCATGTTCGATATCGCTCTTCTTGCTCGGTCCAAGTATCCTGAATATTGGTCCCAATTAGAAATGTAACATGGAAAGGGGAAGTATTGCTTACAACAGGGCCAACTAATGAAGGAGAGGTGTCAAAATCGTTGATGCCTAATAAAACGGCGTAGCGAGAACACCAGCCAGCAGACATCCAGGCTGCAGGGTATATTGCTTGACCATACTCATAAAGAGTAATAAGGATGCTAGCTTGTAACAATATCAACGATACCATTCCAGAAGCTTCTAGCAATGCAAGAAAACGCTTTGCAGCGATGTACATTGGATTTTGACCACATCCTTGGCCATCTACTGGTTTAGATGTGATGAGCTTCATACAGAGAAACAACAAAACTAAGTCCGCGTTACTATCCCGGGCAGGAGTAGTCAGAGTTCGTTCTAATCTCTTATGAGAGATTATCGGAAGACAGTGGTGAATAGTTCCAAAGTATTCTAAGATGACAGCAGGTATAGCTGCTCCACTAGCCAACATTTGATTGACTTCCTATCCAGTGATTGTTAGCAGGTTTCAAGGACGGATGGTTCGCATACAATAGCGATCGAGTGTAGTAAGGTTACGCAGTCCACGAAAGGAGTTCAACATGCTAACAGGCTATCAAAACATATATACCGGACGTGAAACTTACTGTTGGTGGGTTAACCGAAGGCCTGGGAATAGTTAAACTGAAGTCTGGTCAGCAACGTCAAATCGACTTTAAGAGATCTTATCCTTGCCCTTCATTCCTGAAGATTTCATTATCGAGAACAGCCATAACAGGAAACTTATTGTGTACATTATTAAACGGACTTTCTTGTAGATCTGCATATGCAGGTATCTGAGATTGCATATATTCAGAGCCATTGTTAGGCATGGAACCATAGGGCGCGTGCATATTTCCACCATTAACTTTTGCTTCAAGTTCAACTAACTTCATACGTAAAGCATTGATATCCTCGGCGGTGGGAGCAGGAGTTTGTTCTGTATAATCACAGTGTCGTTGCATCCGGGAGCAAAGGCCACAATGTGGAAGCACTTTATCGCACTTTCTTTTTTGTTTCTTACATGTTACGCATGCCTGCGGTGCTTTCGGCTGCACAGGCTCTGGAGATGCAAAACTCATGACATTCGGCCCATGAGGTTCATGAGGTCCATTCGGTCCCATAGGCCCATGAATCGGTCCTTGAATCGGTCCATTCGGATGATCCATCTTCGGTCAAATCGCTCAGACGGCTCTAAAGAAAGTTACTAGGGAGGTACTCTGTTTGTTGCGGCCGCATAAATTTCAACCCCGCTTGGTTAAGGGAATGAAACCAGATTTTGACTGTTTACTACACAAATCAGCATGTCTTGATTGAAAAAGTCAGGAGATAATTGAACGGATTTGCTTGATGTATTCTTTGCTTGTTTGTAATGATTACCTGGTCAATTTATTTGATGGGAAAAGTCTGAATACAAAAGTACAAAATTGGTTGATTGAGAAGAAGAAGCGGTGTTGTCGGCCGCAGTTTGATATCTTGGAAGCCCGGACCACCGTGGAATGGTTGCTATGTCGGGTAAACCCCGGGAAATCGAATGTGAGTAACCACCATCCAATATCAAACTGCTGGATTCATAATAATGCTTCACTGCTTCGAAGATGGCACAAACAGTGGACATGAAAGAGTAATAAGCTTTTGTACCGTTGAATTACTTTGTCTTTTGGAATCCAATTGAAAGCTTTGTAAGGTTACTTCGTGTATTAGTAACTTCTCATCAGTGGTTTTCCAGCTTGTCACTCGCTACATTCCCAAGGAAACATCGGTTTATGCCAATGCACCATCCATCTAGTGATCACTACTGTGCATCATATCTGGCCATACTCTACATCGATTTCTGATGCCAAACCACAAGTTAATCGTACTCACTGGGTATATTCCATCCAAGATTGGGAAACCAACAAACAGTTGAAGTAGGCATGGTCTCATTTCCTTATTCCATCATCAATACAAGTGCATTCCTAGGCAAACTGTAGAATACTGGATTAAATGCAACTCAGGTTCTACGATAGCGAACCCGATACTTACCAATATCAATATAGCAATACCGAGTTATAGAAGCAAGTCATTGTCATACCAAACTCATATTCCAATACTATGTTAAACTGGGACGCTGCGGCATATAGGGAAAAGGAAAGATCGTTCGTCCTCATCGATACCTCACTTGCTTACTCAAAATAACAACCATTCAATCCACAACCTCAATATGAACACCTGAATCAAAATTGGCCGAGTTTACAAAGACAATATAGTCTAATTTTCAGTCAACGCTAGAATATCCACAGAACATATGAGACCGGCAAAATCAATTTCTCAATCAACCTCGAGCATGTGTCAGATACTGACATGAGAGAACGGAACATAACGCTGTTATTTTGAAGAAATGTTCTGATATTTTACAACAGGCAAGTATGCGTGGTGATACATAGGAGGTAGGAAAATTTCATATACCGATGCAGTATGTAGGCTTTCCTTGGCTCACGGCTCAAATAATCGAAAAGAAGCTACTTGATGTCCTGTTAAGTAGCAGTCATTCATTATCCCACATCAAGAACGAGAATTAATATAATCTGGTGTTCACATTCAGGCTTTGTTGATGCGATTGATTGCCTGAGAATTCAGTATTGCTTGAAGTTTTTAAGGCAATTCCCCAGTGGGTTGAAGAATGGAAAACAATGGTGATTTAGCATTTCATTGTTATTAGAGACATTGACGAATTCCCGCTTTTGTCCTTTTCTCTCTATGATAAGCGTCGAAGAATATATGTACTGGCACAGAGTCTTGGCATAAGAGGTGAAGCCACCCTAATCCTCAATAATTCATTTATTCAACATGTCATCATTGACATCGATTTATTTGTTTCCAGATACCACCGAGGTGCAGAGTGGTATCAAGTAATAATGGCGACTTAAGTAGTCAGATTCCTTGATCTCCTAATCCTAATTCCACCAAATCCTAATCGCAGTAAAGCAGAAGTGCCCCCAAAATAATCCCAAACTCATACATCAATTCCCCGCATCAAGAACTTAATACCGCTCTGGCGATTCAGATGAAGCAGTCAAATCATAGTGATCCACAGTTTTCTGTCTCTTATTCGTTGGGGTTCTCTCCGGACCCATCGGTCTCTCTCTACTCGGTGTAGTCATCGATCTCGTAGGACTAGATGGTAGCATAGTACGAGCCGAAGAGAAACCATCAGGAGCGGTTGTTCGTATCGGTGTTTGAAGCGCTAACGTGCTGGTTACTTCGTCAAGAGTTCGCTCTTTTGAGTCCTGTTTGATGTTAGCTTTGAGTTTTGTTTAGCAATGGGAGAGGAGAAGAGAAAGAAAAAAAGCATACAATAGATCTCTTGATTTCCCAAAATAGATTCAAGAGTGTTCTTTCTTGATCTACATACACTGCTGTGCGCTTTTTCTTCGCTTCCGAGTCTTGATTTCCGAGGGCTGCAGTGACTTTTTGTTTCTTTTGCTTGAGTTTTAGTTGGAAACCTGAGAGTTGTTTGTTATGCCACTATCAAAAAACGAGAGGTCAGTTATCTCTTTCATTAGGCAGTTCAAGAGATTGGATATGAAAAAGCTACCCACATCCTCCATCTGCGTTGGCCAATCTTCCGGGATCGGCATCGACCTATCCAGACTCTCAATTCTACTCTGCAATCCCAAAGCCAAGTCTCCGATAAACTTCGCTGTATCAGTATCATATCCATCACATTCTTTCTGAAATCTTCTCTGTAAAGTGTGAGTGAAATGTCGAGCATCGTTATCATTCGCCTCGTACATTTGGGAAAGTTGGTTTGCGATAGCGGCTAGACCGGGTCCAAATGGTTCATTCTCAATGTGTGCTAGAAAGTCGGACATATTAGAGTGGATATCGACGGGAGTTTGAATGGCTAGTTCCCAGGCTTTGAGCTTGCGCCCACCCATTCCTTTGGCGGGTGTTGGTGCCGCGGACATTCTTTTTTGGAGACTGTCGTTCTTATGGTGATGGTTGTGTTGGGTCAAGGGTGGGAAATAGCAGGTGGCTGTTGATCCTGAGAGGTTTCACTAGGCGATCCTAGAAAAGGGGGGAATGTTGTCGCGAGTAGCTCTGCAGATCAACAATCCGCAAGACAAAACACGGTCTCTAGGTATGCTGCGAGAGCTGCCTTAAGTTTTCAAGATTATCGTGATCAATAAGATAGATATGACCGGAAACAAATCCAAACTCTGAAAGAGAACACTCAAAGTAAAAGAAGTAAAAGGAGCCTCGATCCAAAAATTAATCCAAAGGGAAAGTGATCTTAAATACTCATAAACCTTGATGCTTTGTGGGGGGAAAAGTGAAGGAAATCAAACATCGAAAAACAACTCCTATATATGTAAAAGTAATACAAGTAGTGAATTTATAACTTGCTCAAAACACGTGTTCTTGCAAGATCTTACTGCGGGATAAAGAGTGAATACGCGATGGTAAATCGGGTAGAGCTTGGCCGAGAAGAAAAGGTGAAATTTTGTATTGGATTTGTATTGGATATGGAATCTTGTGATGAAGGAATGAGTGAATAAGAGCATGTACAGTTGGTATATTGAAAGACTTGAGTACGGTAGGTAGTGGGGTGTTCATGAGAAGGCGCTAGGTAGATAGGTAGGTAGTTAATGGCTTTGTGCTGGTGATGGAAGACTCGAGAGAGGGTTGTCCTTGTGATTCTCCTTTAGCTGCGAGAGGCCTGATGAGTTCTAATAAGTACGAGAAGATTTCCTGATGGAGTGGCTGTGCTTGAGGACTCGCTGAATGTGAGAATACTTAGATACATTGAATAATGCCATTGTAATAGCTTCTCAGTGATGGATTGCTGATATTGTTGCAGGTACTTCTTAAACTATGTAACTTTCTCGATGGTACAGAATGTAGCTCAAATGCGTATATGTATTCATGCTACCGTTGGTGTAGAGTATGTAACTGTTGGTTTGGCACTACTAATCTACTTTTTTGGTGATAGCAATAGAGGTGAGTAGAACACACCCACATTTAGTGACCACTTCTTACTCCTCAAAGCCTGCCTGTCTTACAAACCAACACGCTCAACTCTTCACGAACCTTTATTGCAATCCCGCACCTGCAAGAGAACTATACAATCAATTAGGGTAGCGAATACTCTGCGTGCCCTGATCATCAATGTCATTCACGAAATCCGATCTTTCGATTTCTAGTGAAGCTAAGTATACTCGCTTTGTGAATCATCGAGTCGCTTCGAAGGTTCTCCCGCAGTTAGTAACGTCTCTGTTGTTTTAGATGTTGTTCCGAATATGACGAGGGAATCATTCGCACTGAACAGCATTCTTTGTGATCTAAGAGAGAATAATAGCTACACTTCTAATATCTCCTTCTCGTTGGTATCGTGTTTTAGAAGAGGCGTTGTTCTACTGCCCTTCTGTATCCCATAATCGAGTTATCCCGGCCATGAGTAACCTCTTCCTCAAGATTTTGTATCTATTGATTTTCAAAATAGTAAACATAGATTCCTTCCCCTAACCTCCATTTTCTTTCTTCCTCATTCAACCGCAAACTTTCTCCCGATATCCTCATGTTTATTCCTCAACCAGAATAATAGGCTTCCCAGCCAACGATCCGGGAAATAAGAAAGGGCTCTGCAAATGCAAGATTCCGTAGCATATATGTATGTTAAAGTCACCTAGGTAGTCAAAGATTGACGTTTCTCTTATCAATGTGTGTCCCCCGTAGGTTGTATGTATATCCCCCAAAGAAGCTCCATATACACAACCCCTTCTAACAATCCCACACCTCCATCCTCTCCACCTTCCACCCCTTTATAACTCACTATCACCTCCCCATACTCATACCAAGCTTCACAATGAGTCAAGCAAAATACCTATTCTGAGTCACAATCCCCAAACATTACATCTCAATTAGCCTCCACGAGAAGATCTCAGCGAGAATCGTTTTTTGTTATCATTGTGTTTCATTAAACCCAGGAGAGTTGCACGCGCATTCAACATGATGAATACAAGTCAAAATGACTTGATGCAAGCACTGACCAAAATTGAATACAGTACACAAATCATCAATCTTTCTCTCTACCACTCAACTTCTGTCAACAAACAATTATTAGGAATTTGAACATAGTGTGTATACGATACATCATCACAACCCATACAATCACAAAACATAGATATCACATCCAGGAATCATACACATAAAAACATAAAGTTTACAATATCAATTGATTTGTTCATAAATGCATTCAAGACATCTAAGATCATCTTATCTCATCCATTCCTTTATTTATCTCAATCCATTCTTCATCGTTCATTCACCCATTCTCATCTTCTTTTCCTTCGAAGCCCTTTCCATGCTCAAAAATCTCATTTCATGTTCAAATATCCCATGCGTGCGTGCATTCACCATCCCATCCTGAAAGATTTAGCCATAATACAATTTTGGGTGGCTGCAAAAAGAATCTAAAGCAAAATTCAGGTACTAGGCTTTAAAAGAAAGACTTCCCATGAACGCCATGGCAGGAATATGAAAAGACCCCAAATGCTAATGAACAAATCTTCAGCTTGAAAATTATGAGCAGATAGACCCAGAACTCCCGAAAACCATATGCGTATTCTTTTTTTAGGCAATGTTGATACATTAAAGAAGGAAAAGAAAAATCAGTTGTTTCCACCGCGAGGAGATCTATATTATATTAGCACTTGGAGACTGATTTGAATAACATTGGTTTGACTTACGATGGAGAAAAGTTGGGAGAGGTAGGAGAGTAAGAAGGACTGGTTGGAGAGTATTTTGGAGAAGTGCTGTTGCCTTGATGTTGGGGTGAAGACGGGCTCCAATTTGGAGAGGTTGGAGAGTATACAGGACTGGTTGGCGAAAGACCCGAGCCTGGAGACACTTTATTTCCAGCATAATTTGGACTGGTGGGACTATAATTTGGAGAGGTTGGTGAATAGGAGGGGAGGTTGGACTGTATGAAGGACTAGTTGGCGATCCATGTATATTGGGAGAGGTTGGCGAGTAGTTTGGTGACGTGGGACTATACGAAGGCGAAGTCGGAGACACGAAACTTGGACTAGTAGGGCTATAGGCAGGAGATGTGGGTGTAAACGCAGGGCTAACAGGTGAGAAGCGAGGCGAAACAGCATATCCAGGGCTTGCACCACCTCCCATGGCTGGCGAAGTTGGACTGTACCCGGGACTGGAAGGAGAAAAGTTTGGCGAGGATGGAGATGAGTTGAAAGGACTTCTTGGGGAATAACCACCACTTGGGCTTCTAGAACCAGCTCCATAAGGACTATTTATGCCGCCACCACCAAAGACAGTATACTCGGTAGCAAAGCCGCTTGGTGTATCAGAACCAGCACTTTGAATAGGCGAGAATTGAGCACCATAATCGGGTGTACCGAGATAGCCACCCTCATTGAGTGGAGATTGGCCGTCGTAAGGAGTTGCAGCACCACCTTCACTGCCCTTGACAGGAATTCCTGCCATAAGACCCATTCGGCTGTTGTCAGAGATGACAGTTTCAAGCATCTTTGGATCGAGCAACACATCCATCTCTCCAGTTCCCATAGGAGCAAGCTGGCCAAGCATAACGTTTTCAGAGATACCACGGCAGTCGTCCAATTCACCTACTGCGGCAGCTTCGAGCAGAATCTCAACAGTCTCTTCAAAAGAACATCTCATCAAAGCTCCTGTGTCTGCGCGATTGATACCGTGACGAGTGATAGCCATCAAGTGACCACGTGAAGTCATAATGTCAGTAAGAAGGGCAAGATGGCGATGGTTGACATAAGAACCATCGAAAGCCAACACCATGGTCAATTCACGCATCAAAGCGGATCTAGCAGCTTCGATACCAAAGACTTCGAAAACCTGGATGAAATGATTGGAATAGGTTCGTCGAGGATCAACTCCTGGTACAATCAAGACGTCCTTCAACGAGGTTCCACTGGTATCTAGGTACCATTCTTCACAGTCCTTGTCCTCTCTGCTTGCAACCAATCTACCGTCAGGCTTCTCGAAAAGCTTGACATCCTTGTTCAAGAAAGCTCTGTCAATACCTAGAACACCACGAAGAGTCAAAGTATCGAGAATATGAGCCTCAAGACGCTTGAGCATAATGTCTTCTTCGATGTCATCGTCATCGTACTTCGAATCACTTTGCTTGATCATTCTGATACGAATAACCTGCTGCTCAGCGTTGTTGTCGCTGAAGATGACAGCCAAATCCTTAGGGTAATTTTCCTTGATCTTGATAGCAACATCATCGACCTTCAATCCCTTATCCAACATCTTTTGACGATCAAGAATAAGACGAAGAAGCCATCTTGACTGGTTATCTGGAGAATCGTGATGCTCTTCAGGAATGATGAAGTAAGATTCAACCATGTCAACATCGTCCTCGATGGTGGTAGATTGAATGTCAGGATCGTGGTAAATCTCGGTAGCATAAGTAACGGAGCGTAAGGTAGTATGCTCAACAGCACTACGCAACAACTTGGCAGTTTCTTGATTGGCATTAGCACCGTCTTGATAAACAATCATGGACGGTGTCTTAATGTTTGGAGCGATGTTCAAAATTTCCTTGAGACGTGGGACACCAAGAGTAACGTTCTTAGATGAAATACCAGTGAAATGGAAGGTATTCAAGGTCATTTGTGTGGCTGGTTCACCAATAGACTGTGCGGCAAGCACACCAACCATCTCACCAGGATTGACTAAAGCTCTAGTGAAACGGCTCTCAAGCTCACCAAGAATGTGTTCAAACGCAAGCTTGTTGAGGTGCATACCGAGTGCAATGCGTTTATAAGCAAGACGAGATCGGAACTGAGCCTTGATAAAGATTGTGGCATTGTATTGAGCTTCAACCGAAAGTTCATCAGTACCACGGACGATGATCATGCGATCAAGTAACTGTTGAACTCTTGGAATGACATCTCTAGGGTGTAAGTCACTGCGCTTTCCGTCATCCGTCTTGAATAATCTCTTTGCGCTGTCAATAATTCGAATGATGTTCAATGGAAGTTGGAAGTGGTCATCATCCTTCTCCTTGGTTCGGGAATGTACGAAGTCTCGAAGGAGTCTTCTGTCCTCTTCGAGAGCAGCAAACTCTGTATCAAGGAGTTGCTGGGTCTCGAGATCTCCGTAGAGTTCGTTTGCATGCTCCAAGACATCGGTTGAGATACGCTCAGACATAACTTCAAGTTTGAAGAGATCATTAAATGCCTTATTGCTGATGTTGATATGATCCATCTTTTGGTTCTCGAAAATGACACCGTCGAGACCATCCTCACCATAGACGAATTGAACAATATCACCGAGCGAGTTACGGACGGTACCGTCATATTTAGCCATGACATCCTCAAGAGCTTTGACGAGACGACGTTGAATGTATCCAGTTTCTGCAGTCTTAACTGCGGTATCGATCAAACCTTCACGACCAGCCATGGCGTGGAAGAAGAACTCCGTGGGGGTGAGACCTCTCAAATATGAATTCTCAACAAAACCTCTGGATTCTGGCGAATAATCGTCCTTGGTGAAATGTGGAAGAGTACGATATTTGAAACCAAAAGGAATACGTTTACCTTCGACGGATTGTTGTCCTACAAGGGCAGACATCTGAGAAATATTGATAGTGGAACCTTTAGAACCAGAGCGGGCCATTTGTACAGCATTGTTGATATCCAACAAACCATCCTCAGTCTTTGTACCAGCTGTGTTACGAGCCTCGTTCAAAGCTTTGGAAACTTGAGATTCGAAGGTTTCACGAACGTTCATACCGGGAAGGGATTCAAGTTCGTTACTAGTAGCCTTCTCGACAAGCTCTGTGACTTCAGCCTTTTGTTTGGCGATAGCCTTCTCGATTTGTTCAATTGTCTCCTTGTTGGGAATCGTATCACCAATACCGATACTAAAACCGTTGTGGAGAAGCCAATAATTGATGACTCGTTGACAACCGTTGAAGAAAGCCATTGCGGCATCTGGACCCTGCTCGTTGAAAACAATGTGGACAATACCGTTTCCAGAGGCTCCGACGTTCTTCTTGGCCATCAGACCATACATAAGCTGTCCCTCTTGGATCAAACACCCATCATCGTTCAATGGCGCATGTAGATGCTCTTTATCCTTGCTGGCATTGTAGGAATTCACGATCTTGGGGATGATCAAACTGACAATTTGCTTTCCGGTCCATCTAGGACGTGGCTTGAGAATAGCTGGCTGAGGAATGACACCGTCCCAATCTGGAACCCACAACAAAATGTTCATTAAATGTTCTTTTGTAATGAAAACATCTCTTCTGCAGATCTTGTAAACACCAGCAAGTGTATCTTGAACGATACCCATGAGAGGGCCGTTTCTTTGAGGCGAAACAATGTTAAGTGGTACCATACAGAGATTCATGACCTCGGCACGAGTTTCGTAAGTTTGGGGAACATGCAAGTTCATCTCATCTCCGTCGAAATCTGCGTTATATGGTGAAGTAACAGACAAGTTGAGACGGAAAGTGGAGTAAGGCATAACTCGAACTCTGTGACCCATCATAGACTCCTTGTGCAAAGATGGTTGACGATTGAAGATAATGAAGTCACCATCAACAATATGTCTCTCAACCTTCCAACCATACTCAAGTGAGATTGCACCTGCGCGCTTGTGATGGCGAAGATCAATACGCGTACCATCAGATCTGATGACATATTTGGCACCAGGGTGCTCGTCTGGGCCATTCTTGACAAGCTGATGTAATTTATCAATGTTCAATGGTGTAACTGTCTCCGGATATGTAAGGATTCTTGCGATACTGCGAGGAACTCCAACCTCATCAAGAGAAAGATTGGGATCACCAGTAATGACAGTACGAGCAGAAAAGTCGACACGCTTTCCCATCAAATTTCCACGGAGACGACCTTCCTTACCCTTGAGACGAGCACGAATGGACTTGACAGGTCTACCTGACTTCTGCAGAGCGGGTGGCTGACCGGCAATATCGTTGTCCATGTAAGTTGCGACGTGATATTGTAACAAAGTTTCAAAATCCTGTAGAATGTGCTGAGGCGAGCCTTCCTGTTGTGCTTGGCGGACATTACCATTGGCACGAATGATATCACCCAACTTGTAGGTCAAATCGTCCTCTCCTCGCATACCTTGACCAGTACCATCCATGGAAATACTTGGTCGCACGGGAGGTGGTGGTACTGGAAGAACAGTGATGACCATCCATTCAGGACGAGCATAATCTGCATTCAATCCGACATCCTGAATTTCAGCGGTGGTCATGCTGCGGAAGACGTTAAGAGCCATTTCCGGAGTAATTTGTCTCTTATCGGGTTGTACTGCCTCTCCATCTTCATCCTTAGGTGCCTTCCATGTGCCCCACAGAGCCAAAGCAGTTTGACGAACTTCGGGCTGAATATTACCACATCCTCCATGCGATTTCTTTGCAGCTTCTTTTGGATCTCCATTGAACTCTTCCTCGTTCATCTGTACGTCACTATCACAAACCATCTTGACCTTGCAGAGCTTCCATATGGCCTCGAATCTGCGCTTGGGATCACGAATGGAGACAGCTGCCTTGTAAGCTGGATTGCTCTGATATTTTGATGTTAGCATCAAGGCACATGAAACAAACCACCTCAAATAGGTAGCAAACTAACCCTGTCTAGTTTAACTTTACCACAATTGTGGCAGACCATTTCCAAAAGCTTCTTTGTCTTTTTCAAGAAACCAGGATGGTAAACAGGTTTGGCCAATTCGATGTGACCGAAATGACCAGGACATTCCGACATATTTTGATCACAAGTAGCACACTTAAATTGTCTATCAATGGATCCGAGTCGGGGATCATTGAGACCTTGTTCTCTCGGCTTCATCTTACTTTCATCCATGGTCTCAGGATACAAAATATGACAGACACTCATATTTTTGATCTCTTCAGGAGAGAAGAGACCAAATTGTATCTCCTGGATAGTTCGCAAAGGCGCATCTGAATGCGCAAAATTAAGATTCGCCATATTGGCGGTTGTTGATATTTATTAAGAAATTGTTGTAAAGGTTGAAGGTCAAAAAGTAAGTGTGGCAACGAGCGGTATAAATAGAGATCAACTACTGTACCAAACGTTGCGACGCGATTTTATCTCGAAAATGTGTTCTTAGTAATTCGCAGAAGGAGCTGTATCGAAAAACAAGCAAGTCTATGTGCAAAATGGATAGGATGTTGATATTGCGATTCGGAGGGAGAGGCCAGGCCTTCGGCCTGAAGGACAATTTTCGATTTCTCCGACCGAACGACTCGATCGAACTGGTGATGCTGTCAATAAAAGAGTGTATACAGTTTCTTCCTCTTTAGAAAGACCAGCAATGAGGAATCCACGTCTTTTGGTGCGATTCCACAAATTGTCGTATTGTTGTTGATGGTGGTGGATGGGGTTCGTGAGGAGGAGGTTCCTTTGATCTGTCGCGAAAGAAAGCTGATTGATGAGGCTCCCGGATAGCTGATTAACTTAATACAGTTAGTTAATAATTGTATTATTGTGAGCCAATCATATCCGAGATGTGGCTGATGAATTTGTTTCAAACATTCACCCCGAAAAGACTCATTCGGCCTGTGAAGTTGAAAGGAATTAAAAAGGAGAGGAAATCAACATCCTGAGAAAGTTCAAAGAAATGTAAATAATGTTCTTTGATGAAGTATCTACTATCAATGAATTAATTCTAAGAAGCTCATCCCAGCTTTAACGTTCCTAACCCTTTGCTTCGGATCTCGTCTCTCCTTTTACTCGAGTTACCCCCTCGGTTCTGTCCATCCTTCCATCCTCATTTATCTATACCCAGGATCTAAGATTTATGGTTAAGTTTTAGATCATTATCATTCAATCAGCATTGCACTTGATAGTTCTGCAGCAATAGTTGTCCAGGTAGTTAGCAAAGGCTTTGAAAAGTTTGAGCTTTCAAGTTGAAGATGCTTTTAACGTATTGTCTGCATGATGCAAAATGCCGTTGATTGCTTTACAAGCTACGATAGACAACTCAAAGGTGATAAAGTAATTACTTTGATGCTGTTTGCTTGTTAGATTACATCTATCTATTATCAGAGTCATTCAGTTTTGATGTGATATGAATGACACAATTTTTGAGCTGAGTTCTGTCAAACATGCAAATTCACCAAGGGTATTCACTACCTTGATGTAAACTGGAATTACCTCATTCTTCAAGTGGATCTTTAGGTGACTCGCCAGATATCATCATTGTCAGGTACAGTCTAGTTAGTTATTGCATATGGATAGACATGTTCTCGCTCGTCACTTCTGTATCGCAGGCTGAAGCTCAAAAGAAAACAGTCTATATTCATTATCATGACAAACAATTTCCTATGACCAGAACTTTGTTGCACCATTTTCGTTTACAATGCCATTTTCTTTGTTCAATTTGCCACCTATTACCTTTTCCAATCCACCCATTCATCTACCCGCCCACCCAGCCATGAATCTATTATACCCATAATTCCATGCCACCACCCGACTCCCATTTTCCTCTGTCACTCTCTACTTCATTGTAACAATCTCCTCCGCACTTGTTGGATGAATGGCTACACAAGCATCAAAATCTCTCTTCCTAGCTCCCATCTTAACTGCCACCGCAAATCCCTGCAACATCTCCCCAACCCCAAGTCCTATCAAATGCAATCCTACAATCTTCTCATCCTCACCCTCGCAGATAATCTTAAACTCAGTCGGTACACCTTTCTTTTCTTCTGGCGAGAAGAAATCATAAAACATTGCTGCGAACTTCGTGTGATAGATTTTGAGATTGCCAGCTCCGTATTTTTGGAGAGCTTCTGGTTCTGTAAGACCAATAGTACCGACTTCAGGATGCGCAAAGACGACGGTTGGGATGAGCGAGTAGGAGAGTGCGGATTGAGAAAATTGGGAGGGCCCGAAAAGTCGGTTAGAGAGCTGTCGACCAGCTGCTATAGCGACTTTTTACATGTTAGATTTTCCTCCATCTCATTGTATCCGAACACGAAAAAAGAAACACATACCAGGCGTAAGTTCCATCTGACCCGTCACATCTCCCAAACCGTAAATTCCCTCCACATTTGTGTTCTGAAATCCATCCACCCGAATATACCCCTTATCATCCGTCAGGACCCCCACAGCCCCTAAATCTAATCCTTCCGTCTCTGGACTTCTCCCCACCGCCCAAAGCACCTCGTTAACCACCAACCCATTCCCATCATCCCCATCCCACCTCAAATTTAACACCTTCTCCTCACTCTTCTTCTTCCCACTCCACATCTCCACTCTCGCAAACCCCTTATATCCCCTGTGGATAATAATACCCGCTTCCTCATACGTCCTCGTCATCGTCTCCGAAATCATCGGATCAAATTTTCGCAACATCTTCTCTCCGCGTATAAACATATGGACTTCAATGCCTCCAATAGCATTCAACATTCCAGCCATCTCAACTGCTATATATCCTGCTCCCACCACCGCAATTTTCTTGGGCAATTCCTCAAGTCCGAAAAATCCATCACTAGTGATACCAAAATGAGCGCCGGGAATCTTCGGAACAATGGGTTTGCCGCCAGTAGCTACACAGATATGTTCAGATTTGAATGTTTCAACACCACCTCCATCTTCCAATTCCACAGTAATGGTCTTTGAAGCGACGAATTTGGCGGTTCCGCGAACGAGAGTTATTCCCTCGCGTGCCCAGTTAGTTTCGTAACCACGGTTTAAATTAGCGATTTTGGCATCACGTTTGGCTTTGAAAGCGGCGTAGTTGAAAGGGATATTGGAGGGAGTTTCAAAGCCGTAGTGTTGACTGGCACGGAGTGCTTCAGCCATAGAAGAGAAATTCCAAGTGTGTTTTTTGGGGATGCAGCTGTGTAGTTGTCAGTACTCGCAGGATATGAGTCGTGGTTTTAAATACATGAACAGAATGTAGACTGAGAAACGTATGAAGAAAGGGTTCCTCTTCAAATTGACTAGAAATATGAAAATACTCAGATATCAAGGAAACCAAACAACCTCTACTAGATGCGAAAAACGCTATAGGCTTAATTCTTGTTTCACCTCAGATAATATCGGTACACAATCTCAAGTCACTTGACTCAACTTGCTCTAATCCTCTCAAGATAAGATCCATAAATTTGCGTTTCATCTTGCTCAAACACAAGAAATGGGCCCTCAAAAAACTCACCCAACATTAACGCAAGTCCCACCACTTTTCCCCTCCTCCACCAACAAAACCTTCTTCCCCCAACCCCCTTTTTCCCTTGGTCCCGCCGCTCTCCTCGCCGTCCCACTTCCACCACTTCCACCCCCAATAACAATATAATCAAATTCCTTAGCCTCTCCCTTCCCCATAGTCGCCAATCCCGACATCTTCCTCGATAATCCCGCTCTCGAAATCGGGAGTGCCGATTTGGCAACCGCTGAAATAGCCGATAACGTCGTTGCGGATTCTGAACTTGATGATTGTGCACCAGTACCGGAACTATATGTATTTGTAGAAACGGCTATGAGATTTGTGGGGGGTACAAGAGATGTTGTTTTTATTGTGAGAAGAGGAGGAGCGGGTTTTGATAACATGGTGAAAGGGGGTTCTTTATCACGTTCTTTAAGTGAATTCAGAGTGAGGGGTAAGTCCCTGGATGCAGCCACCTTTTAGGTAAAGATGTGATAGGAATGTAAGACGGGTGAACAAGACTGCGGTGTGGTTGGAGGATCAGGAATGAAAAAGTTATGTGTAAGCGATTTGCAGGATTCGAGGCGTTCTTTATACAGCCAAAGAGTTTCGTACTGTTTCGAAGAACTAGAAACGGGAGATTCATGTCTTGTATAAATACTTTATGCAAAAATTGTGAGATAAGATAACGAAAGGAAGTGCTGGTTGAGTTTGTTGCTAGATTATTTCATTCTTAATGTGTAAGCTATTAATTGGCTGGCGGCTGCATATGATATGCAAGTCAGTCAAGTACCCACCGAAAACATATCTTTCCCACCTTAAACTCCAAACCACATGCTTGCCTAGAAAACGCCATTTATCGAAAAATTTAGAAGAATGCATGATTCAACGTCTTCTACCTTTCTTTCTTCGAGGCTGTTCATCTGCACTGCCAATTGCTTCCGAATCAAGCTGGTAGTTGCGTCCATCCGATGGACTTTTCCTTCTCATTTCACCCCTGCCTACAGCTACAAACTCTTCTTCGCTCTCGGTATCATCACCATCGAGTTGTACCGGCATCCTGAATGCATTGTCTTCGTCGATTACATCACCCTTGATTGGTTCAACCGTTAGAACATCTATATCGTCGTCCTCAGCATCCAACCTCCTTTTGTGAATCTCCTCCTGGGGATGAATATCAAATTCATCCTCTCTCTCAATATACTCAACATTTTCCTCGACTTCAGCAAAGTCCGGTGCCAGAGCCGACCATCTTTGCTGCGGAACTATGGACCAAATGTGTATTCTTCCTGACTCCAAGCCACATGCCGCAATCATCGGCTTGTGAGGATGCCATTCAACCACTCCATGCTCTTCCTTGGGTCCTTCCAAAATCTTTACCAGACTTCCGTGATTTCTTTCCCATATGTAAATATCGTGATTGTTGAATGTCGAAGCCGTTACATATTCGCCCGTTGCACTGAACGCTACATGGTTCCAACTCAGCCTATTGACCACATCTTGAAATTTGTGCTCGACTTCAATGTCTATCGTATCAGGGTCCAGATCCTCAGCTGATAAATTCGGTATCTGGATTGTCCTAATAATTCTGTCCTGAGCATTGACTACCACGTCTCGTCCAGAAGTTGTAAGCCGCATATAAAGTAACACGCCGGTGCACAACTTTGTAGAGTAGATAACCGTCCTCGTAGCCACTTCTATTATGTTCAGCCATCCTTTATTAGTACCTGAAAGTATATGATCACCAGAGGCGGTAAAGATTGCGACTGTTGTGGTTTGTGGTGCGATCGGTTTTGATTCATCTTCTCCATATACTGTTCGTTTTTTAATTGTAGAAGGTAGAATGTATTTCACTACTTGGAGGTTCGTAAGATCTACCAGTAGGGGCGGATCTTCAAATAACGAGACTAATATCTTCAAACTAGCGTACGCAGAAAGAGTCAGTCACCGTCCTGAAGGTAAAATAAAAATGATATTTCTTGACTCACTGTGTCCAAGGATGGAATTCTGCCAAGTATACCGGTGCCTCAAATCGTACAGTCCTTAGAATACTCCCGTCCATCAAATCCCAAATAATACAGGTCCAATCTTGACTCGATGTGAGTAGATATCTGCCATCGCGCGACCAACTTAGCGATTGCACTTGTCGTGTATGTCCTTTGAGCTTTCGTGCTATGCCGTTGGTCTCAACATCAAAAATCACGACTGTGCCATCAGTACGCCCTGCGGCAAGAAAATCGCCTTTGCGATTGAAGCGCACGCAAGAAGCATGTCCACTGCGAAGTGTGAGGGTGGATGATTCGGGATAATCTTGTGCAAGAACAAAAGGATCAGTTAGTGACAAATTCATAATGCTGGTATTGAGAAGTAAAGAATCGTGAAAGATCGAGATGTAGGATGAGGGGATCTCAGCCTCGTTTATGAAGATCAACAAGGCTGACAAGCAGGCGCGATCAGCAAGATTAAGCTTGATACTGAAACGTAAATTGAATTCAACGCTGGTTTTGTAGTTCGATGAAGATCAAACCAAGCCCCTTGGTTTGTGTGGCTTATTTTCAACAGTCAATATCTATAAAAAGACGTGCAATGATCTTCGAACACTTTCACGAGGTAATACGATCACCATCCATTGAAGCTTCAAAGGACACTAGCCAAGTTTTCATACGATTAGCTAGCTACACGGGTATTTTATAATATTTCCATACAAATTCGACACTGAAATAAGTATATTCTTGGAAAAACAAGTCCTAAAGTAGGTACATCTCGATCAATAATCTACATTAATTTATATAAATTATAATACAAAGAAATCAATAATTTCTGCTCCAGAGTTGGCTATAACCTTCGACGCAATCATAAATCGTTAACATTAGAATGTTTCCCTTCTATCATACAGCCCTCGCTCTCAAGTCCACCTAATACTTCGTGCATCCATTCTTGCAATTGGTGTATCCTGGGAACTTGGAGAATTGACTTTGATCAATGCCTTGCAATTGTGGGCAGCCCAAGCCACCAAGACGTTGATTAACAACATCAGTAAATGACTTTATGGTATTTGCAAGATTCCCAACGGCACCGGCAGCAATATCTGGGAGTGCTGCTTGTGAGACTTGAAAAACAAAACACTCTAGGTTGTTTCCCTCAAGTAAGGATCCAGTTTCAAACACGCCCTTGGTCAAAGATCCAAGATTGACAGGTGCAAAAGTATTGGGCGTTCCCATGTTCCCACCAATATCAAGAAGAGGTGGATATTGCAGAGCATAATCGACAACATCAGCAAGGAAACCAGCGATGGTATACTCATCGCCGATAGCTCTCTTGTACCAATTGTCTGGAATACGTTCATTGCCGACTTTATATTGAAAGTTGCCGGACTCGCCTGTGATGGCAAAGAAGGACATCAAATCTTTCTTAGTCAATGAGCCCTCCGGAAATTCTGCAGATTTGTTGGACATCATTCGGACTGGGAAATTATAGCCGGCAGGAGAAACGAGAACACCTGCAAAAGGCGAAGAGAAGAAGTAGGGGTTGGTTGTAATAGAGTTATTGAAGCGGTCGATTCTGAAGTCAAGAAGATTCTGATATTGTTCGTCGGCACCAACACCCTCGACCAAAGCATCGTAGTACTTCTGAAATAGTGGAACTTCAAGATTATAGGATTGTCCAGCTAGCCACAGATCTGGACGAGTTGGAGAGGTATCAGATTCGTACTTATTGTGAGAGCCAGAGATGCCTCGAGGAGTTCCAGTAAGCCCCAAAAGATTGCCCAGGGGAAGGCCAACTTTAGGTGTTGGTCCACCAATTGACCAAGCTATGAGATGTCAGTATCAGTACACGAAAGGAAGCATTCAAACATACATAGCAAGTTGCCATCGAATACGGCGCCATAAACAGCAAGAAATGTTCCAAGATCCAATGACATGCCATATGCCCTATTGGTACCATCGATAAAGTCGCCTATAGTGCCGACTCCGCTGTGGGGGATATATCCATGATTTGCGGCGGCATTCAATCCTGGACAAGGTCCTCGAACATCTCCTGCGCTGAAATTTGGTGGTACAAAGGCATACTTTCCTGTCGTGCTCACGTACTGCGACGCAGCATCAAAACTGGCTCTCTTTTGAAGTGGGTCACGAGCAGCCGTACTTCGCTTGCCAAGTTGGGATTTTGCAAGTCTTTCGGCATGTTCTGCAGCCAATCGAGGATATGCGGCGACTTCAGTCGCGGTGAATACCAATAGCGCAAAAATGGTAATCACCTTCATGATTGTGTGTTTATGATAATTTTTATTTTGATGAAGAAGATAGGAGGTAAATGGATTGGTGAAAGATGGAAGTTATTGTGAATATGAGGCTGTTAAAAAAAGGAGAAGGGAAACCGTGGTACTTATATATCCATATTCTCATGCTGGAATATCTCCGAAGAATCGACGGCACAACAAGAAGCCCCTAGCTCCGAGAACCAGACCGTCATATCAGAAGTAGTTGATTTGCTTTTTCTTGCCTAATCGAAGATTAATTTCATCGCAATCTTCGCTGAGAATCGATGTCCACAAAAGATTGACACGGGTAAAGGTAGTCGAAATCTTCATTTTGATGCTGATCTCTTGGAAAATGAGACTGGTGACCTGCACTGCAGAGCCACAACAATCTACGGCTGGCAAATTAGTACCGCTGACGTCGAATGACTATTTGGACGATCAGCACAAGGAAAGGGATACTTAGGATGAGGCATATAACCGTATATGCTAGGTGACGCCCAAAATATGGTGCCAAGCGCCTGGGATCCAACATTTCAATATCGAGTAAGTTTCGAAAGGCAGCTGAAAAGACAGTAAAGTAGTGCAGTGCGGATGATCTAAACCAGTTCTTGGTGCGGAAGCATTTTTCCAACTGATTGAACTTTTTCTTACAATCAGAGGTTTCGATTTGACAGTCTACCCAATCGAATTGAGAAGATTTGTTAGAGAACATGTTTAACATCGATTTCGGAGGCCAAATGGAACCCAATGGCTGGCAGTTTAAGATTAAGTGCATTAAACCTGAACTGAAAGTTAGTTGAAAGTAGACGCACAATGCAGTTTGTCGTTATCACTGTGTAGAACCGTGAAATTGTGATATTCAGAGAACTTTTCGGATTATTGTCGCCCATCCGACGAGGACATGGATGGCACACAGTACACCAATGTTATTGAGTTTAACCTCAATGGAGATACTTCCGGTGATGTATGCAAGGTATGAAAGTAAGAATCTCCCTACAATGAAGATCACAGGATAAGAGGCGTAAACCACCCAGCTAGGTAGATAACTAGGTAGCTTCTAGTAACATGGTGGTTAAAACTTAATTTAGTGAGGTGAGGAGAGAAGGTTCAGATATTCTATACTTCCGAGGTCCATTCTAGTGTCTCCATATAATAACCACACGCTAACGTCTCCTGGCTTGGCCTAATCATCACTCCAGCTTAATCTCAAGCGACTCTGAACTTCAATCAAGGGAACTCAGAAACACATGCAATGCCTGGTACCATGTCATTCATTAGGTATGTGTAAACTGGTTATGGATCCCAAAATCTGCAAGGTAGCAATGGAATACAAGATTGTGGCAAATCTCTCAACTACGAAGGACTGCCGCTGCGGAATGGAATGATGTTTCGGCTCGTAGCCTTTCCGTCCATCTCCATCTTTTTCCAATATCCAGTAGATACTGGTTTCTTTTTGATGGCACTTACAATGTTCCACTACACCTACAACACCGGTTTATAGTAGACATCCGGCACTATTGAAAAGCCTAGCTCCCTCGGCTCTTTCTTCTTCTTTCACAATTAATTTCAAATCATGTCGTTGCAGAGTGTCTAATACTTTAGAACAGTAGACTAGATGCGAGCTCTTGAACCCTGGATTTCAAATTATTTTGATTAAATAATTTATTGGAATTCAGGAATTGAAGGCTTTCGATTCTCGGATCACACTCCAGACTCCCGGAAACCCTGCGTCGTTGCTATTCCAATAGTGTACAACTCAATCGCTGCTTTGACATTGATGACGAGATACTTAGTTTGATTCGGAATGAATTGGCAAGCGCCAAAGATGAAAGGTCTAGGGGAGTTTCTTCCCCGGGGTTTAACAACAATCTTAGATTGTTTAGACTGTGGGGGTTCTCGCTAACCTTAAGTGTCTGTTCGCATTCCTATTCGGAGCAGGCTACCCACTTTATACGTCCTAATCTGACGAATGTGGCTTTCCTTTATATCAAATGAGAATGAAAAGTCTAATTTGCATTTTATGCTTGTATATCTCCGGCGCTAGCTTCTTAGCCTTTAACATACGAAGCCACGCTGTAAGCCGCAAGGTGTAGCGCAGATCTTCGCCTGTAAATCCGATCATTCCTTAATACACCTCTTTAATGATCCTAATAACCACCACATACATTGAGCATCATTGATATGATCTCTCGTCAATAAATTGGTTGGGCCTTTTATGAAGCACCCTTCGGCAATCGTCAGATGAGATGAATGCCTCTTCCCACCGAACATTGGTCCCCGTGAAGCGCTCAAAGATCTGCAAATCTAGAACGCCAGTGGAAGCCTAGACATTTACTCCATTTTCCCATCTGTATAGGATATGGATAGAATTTTGCACATAAATATCGATCTGCCCTTCATCCCAGTATTATCAATTTTCTCATAGAATCTACTTCATTACACATCGTTCAATACTGCGTTAAACACCATCCATTTCACGACCTTCAATTATTACAAAGCATCTATCATACCAAATTTCACGATGCATACTAAGAACAATCTGGCACTCTTTTCCCTCACAACTTATGTTCTTTCTGCCCCCATACCATCTTCTAAATTCTCAAGTCTTGGCTCAGCCTTCGGTAACTTGAATTGGAACGGCGCAGGTAATTCTGTTGGCAATGGAAATGAGGGTAATGGGAATGATGTATGCATTCCTCGGTATTCTTGAGACCTCTGACTAATGATATGTAGAATGGTGTTGGATCAGGATCATGGGATGGGAATGGTAATAGATTCGGCAATGGGAATGCTATCGGGAGTGATAACTCAGGAATAAGCATCTTGAAGCGTGGATCTGGTTCAAATGTTTTGGGCAGTGCCTTGAACAACTTGAATGGGAATGGCAATGGCAATTCGTGAGTACTCCTCTCTAGAGTGTTTAGGAACCCAGACTGCAGTCCAAGATTCAAAGATCTTTGAATATCGAAAGTATCTCGAGCACTCAGATTTTTCGGAATATTGGATTTGTCGGAGCATTAAGCCCGTCTATTTCATTTATTCCAATCTTGAAATTTTCAGGATTATCCAGAATCTAAATAGTGGATCCTATTATAGTCTCCTAGTCCCGATTATTGAACATAGTTTTCCTCCCGCTTTAAAGTGCTCACACTGACTTCAACAGTGCCGGAAACGAGAACTGGGGTAACGGAAACGGAAATGGAGATGACAGCGGAAGCTCAGATGGCAACGGCAACATTTTCGGAAACAAGAATTCCATCGGGTCAGGAAATTCAGGGTTCAGCATCCTCAACAAGGTAAGGAAATCAAAAACTCCTACTATATCATCATACGTCAACGGCGTATGGGTTGCTGCCATTGATCCCATTACCAATTCTCTATCATCATCTGGAGATGCCGCGAACGCTGTTGGCACAGTTACAGACAATTTGGGTGGTAATGCTGGTTCTAATACTGCTGGTTCCTCCAATTCGGGGAACGGGAATGGTAATGGTAATGGATCAGGTTCAAACAACGGGTAAGTCTATTCAATACCCATCTATATTCAATCTATTCACTAATTCACTGTCTAGAAATGGCAACACATTCGGCAATGGCAATCAAATCTTTTCCAATAATGGCGGCGTCAATGTCGATCCTACTATCAACCTCACAAGATAGCAATGAATAAAAACCAAAACTAACACATCCACCCATCAGGTGCGTCGCCAATCCGATGCGGCGGATGTAATTCCAGATCAAACAGCCACCGGACTTGCCAAAGTAGGTTTCTATTTCCTCCAGTCTTCTTCTACTTCATCCCCTTGTTACAATCCCACTAATTCCCGCATAGGGTGTCAGCGAAGTCTTCAAAAGCTTTCTCCCAACGGGTCTACCAGGAATTATCAAAGGTGCAGCTACCGGTACCGAGTCGGATTTTGGAAAGGGACAAAGTCAAAAACGCCAATTGGTGTTGACTGGCCTAGGTGACATTGTTGCACAGGATGTTGCTACCTACATCCCTTAGATGAGGTTGCATGTTGCGAATTGTATGATATGTATACTATCCTGTCTTCCAGCGACGAAGTTGCACGATGTACGATATGAGATATATGAGGGTTTGATAATCGTTATAGGATAATTCTTGTATTTAGTTAGTTTTTCAAATATTTAAATTTTTTCAACTGTTCCTAGCTCTTCCAGCACCTCAAACATTTATCTATTTTCAAGTATTGGTGATCTTGCGAATTTATTATCGTAGAGCCCAAAAACAAGACACAGTTATTGAGCCTTCTAGTATGTATTGCACGTATTAATCTACAGTCTTGTACTTGGGAGTCGAAGTATAGATGTAATGAGGGAATCGCTTGTGATCCCCAAAACCTTTCAAACTCTTGAATATTTAAGAGGCTTCGAAATTATACGATCATACAACACCAAGTACGTTTTATGTCAATGTATGGTATATTAAAAAAGCATCATGTCTTAAGGGGCTTGGTAAAAATCTTGATGCAATGGTTTCCTCGCAGTTTTTGAAACAAATTCTTCAGATATTGTAGTGTGTCGGATTTCTTTACTGGTCAGCAAGCTTTCAGATATTCAAAAAGTTTGTCTCAGAAGTAGTCTCGAGTGCCCAAGTCCATCCCAGATTTTGCCATTTTCAATCTTGTACCCTTCAGCCTAACTCCACGACCCCTTCGAGTTCCGCCTCCCCCAAAATTTCCACATCATTTCCTTCCGCCATTCCTTCCCCGCCCCGTGTCACCACCCCTCTACATTTCCCACAATCACACTCAAACCCGTAAAACCTCTTCAATCCCATGACCCCATGACCATAATCTACAGTAATTTCCTCTCCCGCCTCAATGACTCTCCTGCTAAAGTATTTCATTCTTCCTACCCCATCCACATCCACCTCCCATCTATACTCTGCACTCGGTGTACAGGCATGATTAAATCTACTAGCCGTTTCGAAAATGCCCGTTGACAGGTTCTCCACTTTACCCACTCCAAATCCATTACTATATAAAATGCTTCTATTCCTGGATTCTCGAGGATTTGCTTGATAAGCATGTAGGGACAGGAACGCAGATTTGCGAGAAGGAGATAAGCCAGATACGAGGTCGTCAAGGGGATCAGTGCGTGTTCCTGTGTCGGTGAGAATAACAAGAGGTTGTTCGCTTAGGAGGAGAACGTTGGTTGGTATAGTACAAAGGGCGAATATACCCAGGCCACCTTTTGGAGAAGTGCGGACCTCGATGACGGCACCAATTGTTTCGGGGAGTCGAAGAGGGGATTCTTCAGGAAGATTGGAGGGTATGATGGAGAGATCAGAAGCGGGTGTCGCTGTCGAACTCGTGGGTACCGTTGACATCGTAGTAGTATCGCCCATCTTATTGATGCTCGATGATAGTAGCGTTATGATCCTAGTTGGATCTAAAGGAGAAAATATTAGTAGGTATTCCCAGACTGTTCAGGAATAACATTGCGCCATGCTATGATAGAAAATATGGGGTTTGAATGATGCTGCCTTCAATTGTCATCATGACTTGGCGTCTTAAAGAGTGAGTTTTTCGAAACTTTTCTTCGTCGCAGTGAATTATTGGTGTATTAAAATCGTTTCAAACGTATAAATAAGAGATAACGAATCGTTCGCGTAAAGGACAGAGACTAGGCAGACGCAATAGGAAGTAAAGGAAAGTGGTTTAAGTGACGACAATACAAGTTGCCCTAGGCAACAGCGAAATCCCCGAAAAAGTAGCCAATGTGCGCAGAATTAAGATCTAACATATGGAGCCCGTGGACTGGGCAAACTTCAGTCGAATATCATCTTCGAATGCAGATCTGCCGGCGCTTGATGGTTCCATGGAGTCTGAAAGGAAGTGAGTCGAAACATGATTGTGTTCAGCTCCAGAGAAACCGAGCAAAGAACATGTCAACGATTAACAAACCGAGAGCAACTTCAAGGTAGCTGTAAATCAGGAGTTGCTTGACTTCATGTAGTTCGCATGCGTCGTCTCAACATTAACTGACAGTATAAATCACTAGAAGTACAGGAATGGATCAATGAAGCATATGATGTACGCTATCAGAACCTCAAAGCGACAAGAGCCTTGTGTTTCTGAGATAAGCTTCGACAATCAGAGAGAAATGGGTCAAAAGACGATGGCACTTGCCTGCAAATGTTCAATAGAAGTGGCAATTATAGCCACTGACATCCAATTGTTCAACCAAGAAAGTCCGGTTCAAATTCTTCGTCCGTTCCAGAAATGCGATTTGATGTCATATCAGTATAGTCGTACATGAAATTCCCAGTCAAGCGTTCCATACGCTAGTCGAAAATGCTGCAAAGAACTCCAACGCCTGTGCTACCCCAGATTATGGGTGGAAAACGCGGTCACCTATGCCGGTCTTTGCTCAATTGTCCTTCATCCCTCTTTGGAAATCCACCGACTCTCTCGGCATTCCTCATTAATTCTTTGCCCTTTTCACCCTCTCTATCTTCGGTTGGTAAACCCCACCATTCCCTATGAAATTTCTCCTGTTCCTTCCTCCTCGCCTCCTTTGCTTCACGGTCCCGCTGTCTCTGCAATCTCAGTGAAAACCACTCTTCTCTAGCTGCATCCTTTTCTGATTGTGTGGCATGCGATATCATACAATTGTTCATTGCTCGATTTTGTTCTCTGCATTTGAATGGGGCAGTAAAGGTTCTTCCAAGGGCACATTCCGCGAATACTAAATGCTAACTATCAGTAACTATTCCTTAGACATATCTATGCGAATACATACCCTTAATTTCTGCCGCACAATAACTTCGTACTCTAGTATGATAAACTTCTTGGACTTGGGCTTCTTGTGCTGCGGATAATGGTAGAGGATTCCGCGATGGCATGGGCAGCCTGGGAGCCTTTTCTACCTCCTCCCTTTGTGAAGTCATAGCTGCCATGTGAGATCAATTGAACAGAAATCCGAATCGAAGATGTATGACAATAATATATCTTACAACGCAATTTGAAGAAAATCGAATGTTCTGAGGTAGTTTCCCAAGTTGAACTAGTTTATCTTAGCGCAGATGGTCACCCTTGTCGAAATTTTGTCTATCGGAATTCAAACTTTCTTACTTTCACAATCCCGCATCCAAGAAAAACATCAAAAAGCTCATACTTTTTCACCCATTCATACGACAGATTGATTTATATTCACGATACTTACTCTTGATTGAATTCGCGCATTATTTAGACGATGGATAAAGCGAGTAAATCAGTCCGCGATGGGCGCACCTATAAAGAGAGATCGCAACCCGAAGAGCGCAAGAAATGGGGACTTCTCGAAAAGCACAAGGTATGAATTTTTTCGAGTGCATGACCTGTGATACACTGCAAGATACTAATCAACTCCGTAGGATTACTCTGCCAGAGCGAAAGATTTCAATAAGAAGAAAGCAAAGCTTAAGGTGCTCAAGCAAAAAGTGCTCGAGAAGAATCCCGATGAGTTTTACTTTGGGATGGTGGGCAAAAAGGGCCCTGTGAAAACCGGCAAAAGATATACGGGAACTGTGAACGGAGATCGAGGCCATCAAGTCTTAAATCAGGATGCTGTGCGATTGTTCAAAACACAAGATCTGGGCTATGTACGGACGGAGAGAAATAAGGCATCGAAAGAGGTCGAGCAATTAGAAAAGAGAGCCGTGGGTATCAAAGCACGTGGAACAAAAGTTGTATTTGTGGAAGACGAGGAAGAACAGAGAGAAAAGGCGGGAGAGGATGATTCAGACATGGATATGGATATGGATATGGACATGGATTTTGATTTTGAGGATGATGGATCCGATGACGTAAAGAAAGATGAGGATACAAAGGAGGATATGGCAACCAGAAACCTACGAAAACTTCGGGAAAAGGAGGCGGATAAATTGGAAGTCAAATTATCGATTGCACGCCAACGGCTTAAAGCCCTGACCGATGCAGAGGTGGCTTTGGATTTACAACGAGCGAAAATGGCCAAATCTTTAACGATCGGTGGTGTTAACAAGAATGGAGTCAAGTTCAAGGCACGAGAAAGGAAGAGATAAATTTGTTTAACTAGCCTTCAGTCATGTCGAAGGCTGCATGCTGAAATGATAATGGCCAAAGAGAATCATACTGGGTGCGACCCCTTCATCGACCTGCGATAATAAGATACCCCGGGGATAGCCCAAGGAAGGAAATTATGTTCATAACCGAGCCCAAATCATTACAAGTCGTGATCAAATATCAAAAACGCCATGTGTACCCTTTTGTCCAAACGCTATCATTTCTTCTTGGTCAAACATTTGCTGAGCCCAATTATAATAGCTGCCATTGCTTTCACTGTCATTTTCAAGATCCACGCAATGGCCTTCACCATCATCCAGAGCAATCCACAGAACCCTGGCACCTTTTCTTTGTTTTTATCCTTTTCCTTGGTTGGGACCATCTTGAAATTTGGACTCTTTTGACTCTCTATGTCCAGTTCCATTTGATCCCCTCGCAAGAAGGATTTCCTTTTTGATCTTGGTGTATCAGGTTGTACTGGTACGGCCGGAGGTGCCTCGAACCTCTCAATATGCATCCTCTTTTCCTCATCCATAGCAGCCAGCATAATAGCGGCAATTGCTACATCCACGATATAGAATGCGTCTATTCTAGCCGCGACCCCTGTATCGATTTCTAAAAATCCTGTTCCACTACCATCTCTCACCAAACGCACAAGGTTATGTGGTAGTTCTGGATGCTCAAGCGTGTATTCGACTCTGGACCAGGCCGGCGATGAATTTATCGCTATGAGAAATGGGGTATTGACCGCAGGGTGCCTGAGGTAGAATTTCTTTGTGTCATCGTCCCACAACAATCGTCCGCATTCGCGCTCTGCTGCTGCCAACACTAAAGCACTGTCGGCAACATTTGAACGTCCAGCCAGATCGACTGCCATACTCGAGGCTGCATGAGGATAGAGGAGAGCTACGAGACCATCGTTTGGTGGCAATCGCCGCGAATATTCCTCAAGAGTTGTGATCAACACTTCCATCTGAGAATCACCTTTCGGAAATACACCAGTTTTTGGGGATTGTGATTTTTTCGGTGGCTTGGCTGGATTTTGTCTTGTCATTGTTACTTGAGCTGAAGTTGAAGTGGGATCAAGACGTAGTGTATAAAATGGCTGGGTAGCGGAGGAAAGAGTGTGTATAGGCTCTTCTACTGCACTGTTCATTTTCATGATGAACTTTTGACCCTCCGATGCTGATGCTTTCCATCCATTGCTCACTTTCCATAACTCCTTCAAGTCGGCGGAGCTCGATGGTTCTGGCCATGTCTCGTCTTGAAGTCCTCGACCAACCAATCCCGGAGATTGTGGGCCCAACGACATTGGACTGCCCATTCCGGGGCTCACCTCGTTGATTCCTGGAGAGTATGGCTGTCTACTTATTGCGTTTTGCGGAATGTGTCGTGGACTTTGCTGTGTTGGATAATACTGCTGGTATTCTAATGGGACTTCGGGGTTATATCTTGGAAAAATGGATCTCATTACTGGCTCTTCTCGGTGAAGGTGCTGACTAGATTTGGATGAATTACTGTTGCTTCTTACAAGTGTAGGTGCTTCCGAAAAAGAAGTGTGAGATCTCGGACGGCCCGATGCAAGCACTGCTGGAGGGGGCACATTCATGAGCGCTGCTCTGCTATCTTGTGGAGTTTGGCGACTACCAGATGGTGACTGGCGTCCATCAACGAACATATCGAGCGATTGCGATCGATGAGCTGGATCGGGATCGGACACGGATGTGGAAATATTGCGCTCATCGCTGTTACTTCTCCAAGTTTTCTTTTTCGATGGTGGAGGTGGAAATAATTGTAGACCCATACTGACTGGTTTATCTGACATGGCGAGGAACGATTTCGCAATACTACAATTTCGAATTCTTATACAAATCACCAGGAGCACGAATGTTACAATCCATGAGGAAAGAGCACGATACTACACCTATATACATCAACAACCAATTTTCAATAACACCATAAATCCCCGATGTATGCAGCCCAAAATAAAGATCCCGGAGATAATCACATTCTGCGACCGTGCTCGTTATCTGGAAATAGATTTCGGCTTGCCTTACCGCTATAATTCGACGAATTCGATTCATCCGATTGTTTTGTACGCGGGGAAGAAACCTTGTTAGCGCCAACATGTACTGTGACAGCTACAATGATTGGTGGTGCAACATTGATAGGCGCTTCCAGTAACCAACCAAAGCTCAGAAACCTCGACTTCCTCATATATCCCTTCGCAAACAAAGTTTTCAAGTGGATCGGAAGATTTTTTATTTAAGGATATTTATGGAAACGTGAGGGTTTTGCCTGTAACGTGATTACAAAGGACGGGTTTTATCGTGTTATCTACTAGTTTGGTTGGGGTTTGAAACATATCTATCGATTTATCCAATATTAATTCAAGGTCAATCCAATATTGCTCGCCGAATCGGAAACATTAAGTTTAACCATAAATCTTTCTATAATGGGCGACCAATTATCGTGGGGTTTCAATAATCCTTCCGAGCTATCGTGCGAGGGAATCATGGTTTTTGAAGGTACTTTGACATCATCAGCCTTAAATGATTATCACTGAGGCTGAGCTGGGGGGCACTAGAAGGATTAGTGGTCAAGTATAAAGAGCTGCCCTTTCCTCCTCAGTTATTTTGAAGGTTTGGCAGGTGTATTGAGCCAGGCGTGGATATCACCCTTAACAATCTCGACACCACTGCAAGTGATGTGCAAGATAACTACCAAGGTTCCTCTTTACAACACCTAGCCCTCTTTCTACATTCCTATCCTATCGGTTCGTTATCGATGCACACGGTCACTCTTACGGTCAAGTCTGACAGCACTCGTGCCCCCACATTGAGTTATTGGTGACTCGTCTCGGTATTTTTCAAACACGGGTCTCAGCGCTTGGAAATGCATCGCGAAATAAAAGTCGATACTTCTGGGCCGATAATTTCGAATCTTATCAATGATCTTGAAACATCCCATCATCGTCAATTGTGAGTGTATACAGCAACAGATGAGAAGCCGTGTGTATTCAGCAGGTTGTTTCCTGGTGTACAGTTGCGCAACATTCTGAGTACGCTCTTGCTGATCGCCATGATTGCGTAAATGCCCCTAGATCTGTCTGTTTGTTACGAAATTGCTCTTGCTTGCTTGTGAGTTGTTCGCACTGCCGTCCAGCCATGATCGATTATTGCTTCTAGAATTTGCCTAGAATATCAAGTTCATCTAAGAGATAAGTAATCCAAAATATTGAGTTTTGCTAGAATATTCGAAATCACTGATGGTGGAGTTCGGGCTGCAGTTTGATTCGTTCGAAACTTCAACCTCCTCCTCCATGACAGGGTGTATATCATTTGATATGATAAAGTTATTTGGGACAATGAAACGCGAGGAAATCAATCACTAGTGGCTCGATTGTAAGATGCACAGTCATGGTCTACCAATGGGTCCAATGATTTTTTTGCAGAAAATTCATAACTCTATTCATTGAAAAGGAAAGCTATTGACATCAATTTCAACACCAGGCCTTTCGATTAATTCCTCCAATTAGTTCCTTCTCAATGAAACCAGCCCCCCGCCTCAAAAGGAAACACAGCAGCTACCGTAACACGACCACTCACTTGATTCATTCAGCTGTGGCGCCATCGACAGTGAATCCAAAGCTGTGGCCGATCGTGTAATGATTTCCTTGAACGTCGTATTGTCCAATCTCGTTCGCTCTGTCGGCTCCGTAAGGGACAGTAAAGTATGTACAAGTACTATGAAATTGGCGGGTCAGTGATTGCGAAGTAAGGAAGCCATTTTTATATTCGAAAGGAAAAGCAAAAATGCACAAATAATGCAAAAGAGATATATAAGAGGAGGTTGGAATCTTACAATACACCATTTTGTCCATTTTCATATAAGATGAAAGATACGAAGAATGCGCAGCTAGGGCTACTCTTTGAACTGCAAGCAGCAGCGCAGATAGTTGGATCGTATGGCTGAGTCTGAGGGAAAGCTTCCACTCCCACTATTTATGCATTAGTAAACTCTTGTTAGGCTTCAGGTCTATAAAAATTGCTTAGTACTTACTATATGTTGTAGTATTTGCAGGGGCATTAACGGTAGCAGTCCCAAAGTTCTGTACTCCTCCATATCCTAGGATTGCTGGAGGCGCAACAGCATTGTATGCGTTTGAACCAGCAATCACAACTTGGAAATCAGCTTGCCATTGGCCGCTGTTTGTAGCGGATGAAGCGTCCAACAAGCCACCGAAAAGAGAGCATTTTATAAGGGTTTGGGAAGGAGGGTTTGGACAGTCCTCTGTATCTGGAACAACAGTTGGATCTCTCTCGAAGACTAGATTCGTTAGCGTTGGGGTAGTACGTTGGAAGGTCAGACTTACATATATTGAAAGACGTGCAGCCCTGGATATTGTTGCATGCGTTGGCACAAATTGTAGGATCGTAAGAAGTGACAGAGTCGGAGATATATGTTAGATACGTAGCGGATTGAGCGGCTGCATCAGCATTTTGGAACCCATCAACCAGAGCGTAGTCTGGGGGAGTCACAGCATTCAGTGCTGCATCAGCGAAATTTTGATCCGCCTGAAAGGCTACCGCAGTATCCGGGCTGTTAACGCTAGGCCCATTACCCGCAGCCAAGACAGCGCAAGTACTCGAGCAAGAGCTACGCTTATGTCTACGATTGACAATAGCAACAGAGGAAGTTGCGGCTGCAATAGCGGCGCCTGCTACAGATGAGGGGTTGTATGTGATACTCGCTGTCGCCGTGTTACCGGCAGGGGCTCCTCTGACAGGAGCCGTTGGCACAGCTTTATATGCTGAGATATCGAGAGTTCGAGCTTTGAGGAAGGGACTCGCTGTGACTACTGCAAGAAGAGTCGAGAGAGCAATTGTTGATTTCATGTTTGCAGTGTATGGTTTTGTTCTGAACAAGGATTGCAGGAAAGGTGTTATTTAGAAAAGGAAGACTGAAGCTTTGTGCTGATCTGATTCTTTCTGGATAGATCTGTAGATTTGGGGTTCTTTATACTTATTTCCTAGAGGTACACAATCACCTTCTCTTTCAAAGCTCATATTCCAGCTGAACGCCTTCAGCTTCCTTACCATTTCCACAACAGTATCTGGCCACTCAGACATCCAAAAGGCGATGCTATTCTCATCATTTCACCCCAACTTTGCTCTCAATCAAGGGTCATCGCTACGCCTCATAGAACCTAAGACTCCCTAAAACAGATGTCCGGGGATAAGCTGGGCAAAATTTGATCCTATACCCACAGATCAAGAGATGACGGGTCTTAACACAGGTCACAACTTGATCAATAATCTCACTTTCTCGGGTGAGATAACAACATCTTTGACGCCACATAATTTAGGAAGACCTGAAAAGAAGTGTGTGACACGGTGAAGACAACACACGTGGTGGCTATGGACGTGCACTAACAAACACTCATAGCATGTTGTGTTGAAATGGGTCGTGGGCGCACGTCCACTCTACCAATGTGCGACGTAAAAATCCGAGGTCAAATTTTTCTTCATCGTGTGGCTCAGTATTTCCATTTAACATTTTTAACAAAGTGGGCAGATGAACACTCAATGAAGGAATGCTCATTAAACCCCCTTTTTCATACTTCGATCCTACTTCAAAATGCAAAGTGGGGTCTATGTTGAGTAGCCAAGTATATCATTGCCGTGCTTTTCAATGAATGTAACATTCATGGGTGATGGCTGTAAGAGCCATGGCCAGAACAGTTCAACGCCTTGAGGTGTGGGCGATAGTTAAGGCTGAACAATATTGAAATTCTTGCTAGTCTACTCCGTCAATAGTCGTGTTGTGTTGCCAGGGCTAGACCTTTTAGATCAAGGAACCTCCGATTCGACGAATTGTTAGCGTCACAGGGGCCCCATGTGTACTGCGGGTCCTCAATACACCTTCTCGACCATCGCACATCCGATAAGGGTCCTGCCAAAGCTTGCAGGATGCTCTATTTTTCAGGAAACAGGTTGTGATGATCGCTTGAAGCATTGGGCTATAATGTGAAATCTCCTCGAGCTTTATCTAAGTTTTGATAGTGCAACTTTTTACTTTAGCATCACTCGTTTCTTACTACAGCAAGAATGCAGAAACTTATATCTCACGTCAACACTCCAAAGAGTACCCCTCAATCTGAGGAAAACAGTCGTGCACAGACTCCTGTTGGTACTTCTAATCCATTCGCGACACCTCCATATTCAAGACCTGCCTCTACAATTGGGGCTCGGTCTGGATTTCAGTACGCCGAAGTCCCTGGAACAGGATACTTTCGATCTCGTCGCGTTCGCAAAGCAGATGCTACACCTCTTCCAGTTAACAAGAAGGCAAAAAAGGAGGCTCTTTTATGGGTCTTTCCTCTTTGCGGCTTGATTCTTGGATTGGGTCTAACTGGTCTCATTATTTACTTGAAATTATCTGAAATCACACACCACAAGTACTGCCCAGTCCTTTTAGAAGACTTTTCCTCTGGTGCTTTAGATCCAAATATTTGGACAACAGAAGTTCAAGTAGGAGGCTATGGGTCAGTTTCTTCCCTTACGTACATGCATTCAGACTCTGACAATCAAAACAGAAATGGCCAATTTGAGCAAACCACAACAGATGCCGAGAATTTGTTCATTCAAGATGGACAGCTTTACATTAAGCCTACAATTCAAGACGCATCGTTGATCACCACCAACAATATCATCAATCTCACCGCCGATGGAACTTGCACAACCACCTCCAATATACTTGTCAATTGTGTCACTTCTACAAACACAACGAACGGGACTATCGTGCAACCAGCCAAGTCCGCTCGCATCAATACCAAGCTTGGTGCGACCATTAAGTACGGGAAGGTTGAGGTCAAGGCTAAGCTACCGAAAGGAGATTGGCTCTGGCCAGCCATTTGGATGCTGCCAGTTGAGGATACCTATGGATCCTGGCCACAGAGTGGTGAGATTGATATCATGGAATCTCGTGGCAATAACTACACCTACAGTCTTGGCGGCAACAATTTCGTATCCAGTTCTTTGCATTGGGGTCCAGATTTGGCCAGCGATGCATACAAAAAGACCACCAACGTGAGAGCTGCTTTGCATTCCCAGTTCGGTGATGATTTCCACATTTACGGCTTGGAGTGGACCGAGAAGTTTATCTTTGCTTATATTGATAACACGCTACGCCAAGTCATGTATTGGCCGTTTTCCAGTCCATTGTGGCCACAGGGAAATTTCCCCTTGAGCGATTCCAATGGAACAGCGATCGTGGATCCATGGTCACAAACGGGCCGAAAAAATACCCCGTTTGATCAAGAATTTTATCTTATCTTAAACGTTGCTGTTGGAGGGGAGAATGGCTGGTTCCTGGATGGAGCAGATGGAAAGCCATGGGTTGATGGAAGTGCATCTGCAAAGCTCGATTTCTGGAAAGCTCGAAACGAGTGGCTTCCTACATGGGAGAAGAGTGGGCAGATGATTGTTGACCAAGTGAACATGTGGCAACAGTGTGATTAGCTTTAGCTTGACAAAGATTGGACAAAAACGAGTTACTGTAACGATCGGCGTAATTAGGATAGGAAACGGACCCTGGAGGATTTCTTTGGATATGATAAGTTTAATGGATTTCTAGTTATTATTAGACGGGACAAACAAAGCAACATACTATAATTCTCGAGATATGGATTTCGATTTTGACCTTGATTTCCAATGCATGTTCACCTGCAAATGCTGAGCAAAGAAGATCCACTGTTAGCCTGCATCGGAATAAAACGCACGCACACGGACGGGAGATTCCTTGCCAACAATACCTCATTGCTGGCTTTGATTGCATTCAACATAGATCAATCGGGGGCAGGAAAACCAAGTTTCGCAAGATTAAACTATTCATCGAATGTATAGTACTATAAGTGATATTGCATTCTTGATATTAATGGCGACATCTTCATGTACCACAACTTAAAGGAGGCGAAAGATCCCGGAAACCGTCACATCAGCTCGGCTAGGGAAGACGGCATTAGAGATTACCTGCTCTTCCGACCGTTAAAATGTAGTATATTACAGTAACACAACAGAGCAAATTCCGGACCGCTCTCCGTCTGGAGCTCCTGTCCCATTGCAGCACCTCGATCTGCCTAGCACTTCCACTGCCAGTATTTCTAACTACCAACAATATTCCGCTTTTGAAAGCTTACATCTAAACTACATCACTCAGGGACCACAACTTATATGGCCGATGGTACACAACATAATAACGTTGTATGTCCTTATCATATCATCATAGATTGATCATTGTAGTACGGTCGCATCAACGTCGTTTTCATGTTCATTCATGCAATGTGCTTCGTTTAGAATTTGTTGGGATCTCATTCACACATCAATCACATGTTTATCTTCGAGGCAACAAAAAGCATCCTAGGCAGCATTACTTACTTATCGTTCACGCATATGTACTATAACACCATGCCTGTATTGTGCACCTTGAAAAAATCGCCATTTCAAATCCTGAACTCAGATTTTCTTTTTGCGACGGTTGAGATATGAGAATGCGTATCTTGCATTTCGATACGACAATCAGGTCCGACAGGGTTCTGTATGGATCAGAGTTAAGCCCTTGAAGAACATCACCACGCATCCCGCGTTCTGTGGGTCATATGTGGATCATTACGAATTGATTGGTGCAAGAGACTGGGTAGACAACTGCAGGTTCTCCTCTTAATAGCTGGCACACTAAATCGTGTTCGTCCAATTTTCGCAAAATGTCGCTCGAAGTGGTTACCCAGACACAGCGTAGAAGAATCTTTTCATCTCCAGCTGAGCTTTGGAACGGTGTTGTACCCAGATTCAGCCTTCTGGGTGGATATGGAATTCTGTTTCTCTGGTCGCATACAAGCGAGTAGGACAGGGCAAAATATGGCTGCCACGTTGGATCTACCTTTTTTTTCAATCTGATTTCCAATTTAGTGACGCTAAGCGATAAGCTTCCTTATTTGGCATGAGATTGGACCATTTCGAGCGTATCATTTCCTAAAACGATAATTCTCCGACTGTCAGACGGATGAACCGCTGAGTTTGGAAGATAGTACCATTGAAGATCGATAGCCTCAAAGTCAGAAATAAACGACAAACAATATTAGCCAGGCGCGTCTACGACCCTACCAAGTATTGAAATACCATTGGCCTGTCAAAAACCGCATTCAGTTGTTGCAGTATGCATCGCGAGAGATTAGAAGTCCTTGGTTGATACGACCGTATACTGATAAGCAACCCTGGATGATTTTGTTTACCCTTGTTGTCCAATTATAAAGTTCAATATTTCCATGCAGGCAGAAATCCCCTCACCGTATGTACAACAGCACTATAGGCCAACAGCGCTTCAACTCAGCTAGTTTCGCTCGAGCCCCAACAGAAGCGATGCCTATGGACCAGATTGTGCGAGTGTTCTCCTCCCTGTCGACAGTTTGAGCTGCAGATATTCCTTGTCTTATACGACCTAGATCATTATCAAGCGATAGATCTTCCCAAGGATAACTTCAAGTGATTGACGAAGCTCTGCTCGAAATACAACATGCTTTCGGAAACTGCCCGGTCCGACGTTTATGCATACTGATGAGAGTTTGATGTGTTCAATGGAATTAAAGTGGAAACTCCGAGGGAAATCTTCTAGGATTCAGGGTGATCAGCGGAAAGCCGTCAAAAGTACCAAAGTTTCTTTCGGGGGATATCGATTGGACTGGGGTCGAAATCCACGTTCGTGCTTTTCACAATTTACGCTCAGTTCTAGACGCTATCATGTAGGTGGTGCTCCGATCAAACCCATGAAATCTTCCCGTCTGGCTGAAGGGTAGCTCTGTGTCTATCTTGAGCTGGCATGCAAAAATGGTAGGCTGTCGGTGTCGCCTTCTTATGAGCATCTATATTATGTGTTTGTGTCTTCGCCCATGTGTCTATCTGTTTCTCTTTCCTCATCGTCGTGCAAACCACTTTCGTTACTTGAGCCACCTTCTTTAAAGCTCTCTTAATCATGGGTGTTCTTAGCTATTTCAAGATCTCAAAGCCTGAGAAGTCTGAATCAAGCAAAGAGAAAGCTCCAGCTGCCCCAAATTCTGTCGTTGAAAATGATTCTCCTCGTCATGGCTACTCAGATCCATCACCTACTGCATCGAGCAGGCAAAGCTTGTATAGCAACAATCGTTTAGATGATATCAGACATCAAGTTATTCTCAATTATCTTTGGCAGAAACAAAGAGGTCTGATGTGGATCATGGATAATTCGGGTCAGCATGAGGGTGTCATGGTACGCAAAGATAGGACAGAATACCTTTGTCGTCCTCCAGCACTAGCTAGCTCCACCTTTGGTAGAGCGATGAAGATCATGAACGTTTCTGTAAGTTTCAGTCTTTAAGCTTAACATTAGCCAGAAAACATAATACTAATGTGGGGTATAGGCTGCTATGACCATCAATTCTACTGTTGTTCAACCATTTCTAACAAGATCGCCCGACGCTCTTGATGTCCCTCTCACCAATGGCCTTCGAGTTCAAATTCTACCAACACTTGAAGACCTTCCTCGTGCTCGCAGAGCTCACTATGCTGCTTTCATTGCTAGAGAAGCTCTTCTTGTTGTTTGGGAAGATGATCCAACACTACTATTTGATAGAGCCAAAGCAATCGAGGACGGTCTATTGCAGACTATCTGGAATGCAACTGAACACGAAAAGAGTGAAACACAACCTCGAACTCAAGTCCGCGAGCTTGACCAAGAGTCAGGGCAGTCTATCGTTGAAGAGAGACCGACCATGTACCTCAATTCATTCATGGTCTCTTGTTCAATCTGCCTTCTGGTTTGTATTATGGGTTTAGGATACGCTCAGCTGGCAATCGAAGTCGTAGTATTGAAGCATTGGATATCTCTTTGCTATCTGATCATCACTCCAATATACTGCTTTTTTTCCTTGGTATGTTCTCCGCGATATCAAATGTCATCTTTATGGTTGCTAACGTTAGATAGTTCTTCACAAACGTTGTAATCGGAGTTCTCATGCAGTGCTTCGGTCCAATTCAGCAACTGAATAGGAACACCAAGTTCTTCTCTGCGAAAGCACCTCCTCGTCTTCTAACCACGACACTACCACATGTCACCATCCAATGTCCTGTGTATAAAGAAGGCTTAGCTGCCGTCATTGCTCCAACGGTCTCCTCAATCAAAAAAGCAATTTCTACCTACGAACTGCAAGGAGGCTCCGCCAATATATTTATCAACGACGATGGTCTTCAACTTCTTGATGAAGCTAGTCGACAACAAAGAATTGACTTTTACGCCGATCATGGCATTGGTTGGACTGCCCGTCCTCCCAATGGTCAAAATGGATACGAACGTAAAGGAAAATTCAAGAAAGCCTCAAACATGAATTACGGACTTGCCTTATCCAATTCCATTGAAGAGAAACTTCAAGATATCGAAAGACCAGCTACCTGGACTCAGGTTGATGAAGTTGCAGCTTTTGAATCTTGCATGTCAGATGTTCTAGATGAGAACCCTGAAGCATGGGCGGAAGGCAATATCAGAATTGGTGACTATATTCTCCTCATTGACTCCGATACTCAGGTTCCAGAAGATTGTTTGCTTGATGCTGCTAGCGAAATGGAACAATCCCCAGATGTCGGCATCATTCAATTCTCTTCTGCTGTCATGCAAGTATCGCACAACTTTTTCGAAAATGGCATTACTTTCTTCACAAATCTCATCTACTCTGCTATTCGTTACGGTGTTGCCAATGGTGGTGTAGCAGCGTTTGTGGGTCACAATGCAATCCTTCGATGGTCTGCTATCCAAGAGATCGCTTTCGAGGATGAAGAAGGTCATGAACGATTCTGGTCTGAGTCCTGTGTCTCCGAGGACTTTGACATGGCTCTACGATTACAACTTAAGCACTACACCATCCGAATGGCTGCCTGGGCTGGTGATGGATTCAAAGAAGGTGTATCTCTTACTGTTTACGATGAATTGACCCGCTGGCAAAAATATGGTAAATTCAATCATCTCTTACGCTTTTGAACATTGCTGACCATTTGATAGCTTATGGATGTAACGAGCTTATGTTCAATCCTATTAGAACATGGCCATGGAAGTCTCCGTTCACACCTCTCTTCCGAAAATTCATCTGTTCCAGTATCGATATTGGCTCGAAAGTTCAAATCGTTGCGTACATTGGTACATACTATGCATTGGGTAGTGCATGGTTGATTTGTCTTGCCAATTACGTATTCGTTGGTCTTTGGAATGGATATCTCGATCGTGCTTATGTCGATTCATGGCAAAATTGGCTCGCAATCACGGTGGTGTTTACTGGAGCGGGTAATATCGGTCTTGCCGTGCAACGTCATCGTTCTGGTGAAAAATCCTTCCTTCCTGCTAGTAAGTCTTTCCAATTTCATCTTCACTCTCCTCTCCATCTATCTCTCTACATTCATTCAAGGCGCTCAAACTAACGTCTTCCTTTCCAGTCCTCGAAAACTTAAAATGGTGTTTCATGTTCATGATATTCTTCGGCGGTGTATCCCTTCACATGTCCCAAGCGCTCCTCTGCCACATGTTTGAGATCAACATGACATGGGGTGCCACTTCAAAGGAAGTTGAATTTTCCAATTTCTTCCTCGAAGTCCCAAAGATACTCAAGACCTTCAAATACACATACTTAATGTGTATATTCGGTATCGTATTAATGGTCATTATGGCAGAAGCTCCTTTCTTACCCTGGAGTTACAACATCGATGATTTCATTGCGATCTTTCCTCTGGGAGTCATGTGTGCTAGCCATTTACTTCTACCAGTGGCGCTGAATCCGGAAATGATGACATTTAGTTGGTAAAGGATGACTATATGCGGAATTAATTTAATGTTGGGAAAATTGGAATGGGATACCCAGGACGCTCTTTATTGTTTATTTGATTTGGGAGTATTCTCTGGTTGATGATTGGTATGATACTCATCTTATGAAGGAAGAAATAGGAGGCACAAGCTTAATTGGTTAGATGGGATGGGTTTAAAGTACATAATCTGGCATACAGAATTTCAATATGAATAATATAAGGATAAATACTCTTTCTCGGGCGTGTTTGAATAAGTGTTAGTCTTATAATCCTGGTCTGCCAAACACGCTTTCGGGTACTGATTGCAGTCTGAAGATTCATGAATTTAATTGCAGGAGTTTACTTACCAGTATCATACGTGAGCGTCAATGTTCCCCGCTTTCTTCGCATCTCTCGTTAGCTCTCATCTGACGACCTTTGAGGCGGTTTTTTGGTACTTCAATCTTATGAGATATACATCACGTCCAGCACAACAACTCCGGATGAGATACCCCGAGGCGTTGAGGGATGATGATCCGATTATGTTGCGAACAGATGAGCGGACTGAGTAAGTTTTCGGATTTGCAAGAGTCGAAAACAATTCCAACTCTCTTGATCAAGTGGACAAGAACATAAGCCAACCCAAGAGTTACAGAAAGGATTTCTGAATTGAAATTCGCCACACCATCTATCGCATGATCTTGAGTTGGAACTTAAGATGAAAACCTATACAGCATCTGTCGATTACATAGCAAACGAAAGCCTCACTTGTCCTTTCTTGCATACGATTTACATTCCTTACCCAAGCCACTTTTATGGCGAGGAGTTGAAATCAGATTCGCTCCTTCTGAATCAGCGGCTTGTCTTATTTCACGCAACAGTACCGAGACAAGATATCTTGATGTATTCAAAGACCAGCCTTTGTAATAATCATAAATGGCCCGCTGGCGCAATGGTAGCGCATTGCTTTCCGGTAGCAAAGGCTGTGGGTTCGAGTCCCATGCGGGTCGGTATCTTTTTGCTGGGTTGAGATTTTTTCTTGAGTGATGGGGTCATGGTTTGAATGTGTATCAATCAGTCTGTCACTTTACAGCAAAGAAGGATTATTTTATTTTGGGAATTACTCTTCTGGTGAATCATCTTCATTTGTCCTACAGCCGATTTTGTAACATATTTAATTGCCTTATTGTAGAGGGACGATCATGATTAAGTGACCATCGTCTGCCGAACCAATGTTTTTTAACACAAGAGCATGAAATATTGTTATTGATATCATGCTTGTTGGAAAAGATAGCCAGTAAAGAGAGTGCAAGTATAGCACCATAGAAGTATGGGCTTGATTTGAGAGTGCATTTTGGCTTTCTGGGCATCTAGTTGAGATTTGCTAAGGAGGACAACCAAGTGCCAAGAACTTGAGTTGATTACAACGGACATGATACTAGTTTAGCTCCTCGTAGCAGGGGGTCTCGTCTCAGAAGAGATACTGACGCAATCTAAATGCTGAGGGTCTTGGGTTGGAGAGACACCTAAAAATTCATAAATTTTGTTGAAGAAGCATGACTGACGTAGGAGGTACTTGATATATTTCCCTTATTATAGCTCAAGCCAGCATGTAAGTGTATATCTAAATCATCAAATCCAAAGTTTAAACAAATCAAATGTTCTACTAACCCGACCAATCGAATGCCACAACGACTCGGCTGTGTGAGCCTAGAAGTATTTTCTTCAAACTTTCAATGGCAAGCAGAACGCATCAAACTTTGAACTATTCTAAGAGAGATTCTGAATGTAACCTCTGAAGACGCATGATCTATCTATCTATGATGTTGATGACTCACTCAATGAACGTTTGACATGAAAATTACATAGCTGTCACAATACAAACCAAGAGAAACGAATAGCGAATCAATGACTAACATCGCAGAAACCACATAAATTGGCCTGATCTGCCTGATCTCCTAGATTTCCTACAGGAACAACATCATAATTCTTCTAGAATGCATTGCTTTGCATTTTCTCCTTTACCACACGTTTTTAAGTAGAATTTTACACTCCAGTCTCTTTATTACAGGATTTTGCGAATGCAAATCCATCTGAAAGAGCTTAGCATTCCCTTTGCACAACGACTTCTGCGAGCATAAAGTCCGCATTGTAGAGTTTTCATCAGGTTCCCTTTGACTTACTACAATTCGACTCGGGAGTCGGCTCTCTATCCATATCATCACGAGTATTTCTATTTCCATCGATTCCTGATACCCTGCTCAATTCTTCGAACCCCCTCATCGACTCATCATGTCTGACACAATTCAACAAGAACCCAAAGTTGAATTCGAATATGTCGACCATCACAACCGCCCCCATACCGCCACAGTGCTTTTTGTGTAACAGGAGGGATATATGTTCCGCGGGACTAGAAGGGGAAAGAAGGGGCCGCCACCAGCATACCGAGAAGACTGGGGAAAAGACAAGCGGTCTCCATACAATAAAGGTCACAATGGGCATTTAATCGGCACGTGGTGGCCATACATGATTTGTGCTATGCGCGATATGGCACACCCACACTTGCGGCAGGGGATTTGTGTGCAGGAGGGTCGCGGAGCGATATCTATTGTGATCAATAATGGTTCGAAAACGGGCTATGAGAATGTAGATAACGGTGATGTTTGTTACCCCTTCTAAGGCAATATATGGAAATAGCTAACACAAGACGCAAGACAATCAAGTACTGCGGAGACGGGAAGACATTGTTAGACTCGAGTATGGATAATGGTATGTTAATTAGAGTTCTTCGTGCAGCCGATCCCCATTCCGATTGGGCTCCACAGGCGGGATGGAGATATGATGGTCTGTACAGGGTCGTTGGCAAGGAAAAGATTCCAGAAAAAGAGGGATATTGGTATACTCTTGAACGGGCGGGGGATCAAAAGCCTATTAGCAGGTTTCATCCTACTCCTGAGAAGCTGGCTGAGTATCGGGAGTACAACAGGAAGAGTTTGTCTAAGAAGGAAGGGCTGTCTTATATGTAGATAGTGCAGAAAACTAAAGTTTTGTTATCATGATTGATGTTGTCTTCCTCATTGAACTGTCCACTGTCCTGGTGCTGTTGTTCTTTCCTCGACTCAAGAGAAAGCCAATGATAGAGAAGAGTGTTGCGTGGGATTATCCTGGTTTTGACCTTGTACAACGACTATGATGTAAATCTAACATCCTTTGATTTTCCGAAATGAAGTCAAAAACGTAAAAATGAAGAACATTGATCCAGATACAAACAAAGAACAAAATTTATCATCGAACACTGGAACACTAATCCCATTCCAAGGAGCAGAAACTCCTCTACTAAAACCCTCTGTCTATTTCATATTCATCCCCTGAATCCATCTCGCTAACCAGCAACACCAATCCGTAAGTACCTATGTAGGTACAATTACCAAATCCCCATTCCACACCCATATCTACATGTACAACCATACCTAATTCAAATCCGGACCAGCATCCTCCTTATACCAATTTAATCATGCTAAAATCCCTTTCAGCCAAACGTATCAATCCAATACAATTCCATCCAATCCTCCACCAGTCAGAAATCGGAACAATCTTTAAATTTGCCGAAACTTGCCATTTAGGCTAAATAGCAAAGTTTTACTTGCATTCAGCCTCAAGCGGGACTGTCCTTTCGGAAATGAGGATTTGTATCATTGTGATCGGTACTTTGATGCATGGAAAACGGAGGTACAGATGTAGGGGATAGTGTAGGGTTTACGACGTTGTTGTGAGAGGTATATGCAGAGAATGAATAGAATGCATGTTTATCCTGTTGTTTGTAGTGGCATGTGATGGGATTGTCAAGAGCGGGGTTACATATTAGTGGGAAGGTGATAATCTGTGGGAGGGAGACATTGCAACATTGGAGAATGAATGGATTGTTGCATACCTCTGGAATAGGAGAACTGAATAAATCGGAACAAGAGAATGTTGTATTTAGATCAAACAATCCAACAATCAAATTCATGCATATCGTAACATCCAAACTTTCCACGAGTTTCTTCTCTCGACTCTGCACGTAGGATTAGCCCCACCTCCACACCCCACCATCCCACCTTCTCATCATTTATCTAATAAGTTACTTAACCCCGCTCTTTCCAAGAGGAAAGAAAGAAAGAAAGAAAGAAAGAACACTTCATATTAAACAAAACAACCTCTCTCCATCTCTCCCATCCAAACAATTTTCATCCCTTTCCTCATAACTCCATACCCAAAAACTCACAATAATCATGGCTTCCCCAACCCTCAAACTCAATTCCGGCCATGAAATGCCACAAGTCGGTTTCGGCTTATGGAAAGTCGACAACGCCACTTGCGCTGACACAGTCTACAACGCCATCAAAACCGGATATCGACTATTCGACGGAGCATGCGGTAATTCTCCCCCTCCCCCTCCCCCTCCCCCAAAACCACCTACCTAACTAACCACCCCAGACTACGGCAACGAAGTCGAAGCCGGACAAGGAGTCGCGCGGGCCATCAAAGAAGGCCTCGTCAAACGCGAAGACCTCTTCATCGTCTCCAAACTCTGGAATTCCTTCCATGACGGCGACCGCGTGGGACCCATTACCCGCAAACAGCTCGCAGACTGGGGCATTGATTATTTCGATCTGTTTATTGTGCATTTCCCCGTTGCGCTGCGCTATGTAGATCCATCTGTGCGTTATCCGCCCGGATGGCAGTACAGTGACAAGGAAGGCGATGTGCAACAATCCAAAGCGAGTATTCAGGAGACGTGGCAGGCGATGGAGAAATTGGTCGATGAGGGGTTGGCGAAGAGTATTGGAGTGAGCAATTTCCAAGGAGCGTTGTTGATGGATTTGTTGAGATATGCGAGAATTAGACCGGCGACGTTGCAGATTGAGCATCATCCATATTTGGTGCAGAGTACTTTGTTGAAGTTGGCCGAGAGTGAGGGAATTAAGGTTACTGCTTAGTGAGTTTTCCTCTGGGGGTTTTTAGGAAGGGAAAGCGTATACTGATTCATATATCTAGCTCATCATTCGGTCCACAATCATTCATCGAGCTTGGATGGGATCACGCTCAAAAGACTCCACCTCTTTTCGAGCATCCAGATATCTTGAAGATTGCTGAGAAGACCAAGAAGACTCCTGCTCAAGTTTTGTTACGGTAAATCTTTTCCTTTTCCTCTTCTTTAATCCTTCCTATCTCGTCAAGCAATGCTAACCTCCAGCAGCTGGGCAACCCAACGCGGCCTCGCCGTCATCCCTAAATCCAACAACCAATCCCGTCTGGAACAAAACTTACACGTTACCGATTTTGATTTGGAGAAGGAAGATTTAGATTCCATTTCTAAATTGGACCGAAATTTGAGATTCAACAACCCTACTGATGTACGTTTATCCTTTTCCCGTCGAAGCTTGTTGTTAGTGTTCCCCTTACTAACAGTCGACCTTCTAGTATCTCGGAACATTACACATTTTCGCATAAGCATGATAAATATGGTAAAGGATGATATGACAAGCTTTGCTGCGCTTTCGATTGGTTCATTTCTTGCAAAAGTATCTAAATAGTTGAAGCGTTGAACAAAAGCACTCGTTCCACCCGTGAAATTCTATACCTACTCTGCAATGTGCTCCTACGTCTACGCACGCTGTGATGTCCATGAAACCCATTGATTCCCACCAATAACTCCTTCGCCATGCTATAACATATCTATGCCATGTATGTGCACAAATACCCCTCTGACTGCCTCCCATTTATACACGCCAACCTCCTGCTTGTATAAAGCGTGTTCTATGAAACCCTAACAAAAGCTGTCGTAACGTTAGCATATAAGTCCACACCTATGACATGAGAAAAGAAAACTTACTAGCATCAATCTGCATAACCTGTGGTAACGTCAAGCGCACCTTGTTTCGATACAAAGCTGGCCCTTTCAACTGCAAAGGGTTTCCCTCAAAATAAACCGTATTCAACTTTTCCTTGTCCTTCAAATGTTCCTCCACATCGTTGAAGTCTGCGATCTTATTGTAACTAGCCCATACCTCTTCTAATTGCTTTAGTCCCTCCAGCCCCTTCAGAGAGGATACTTCGTTATTTGAAATATCCAGCACGCGCAACTGAGAACAAGATTCCAGACCCGAGAGTGAACTAAGAGCATTGTGCGAGATATATAATTCTTCCAGACCCGAAAGTTTGTCCAAGCCCGTGATATCTCGAATGCGATTACTTTGTATGCTCAGAATCTTTAAGTTTTGCAATGCGTCTAGATTCTTCATCTCGGTGATTTTGTTCTTGCCCAGCCATAGTTCCTCTAATCCTGTTAAAGTGTCTAAACCTTGAATTTCCCGAATTCGGTTTGCGGCTAGTTCTAAGTTGCGTAGTTTGGAGAGACCTTCGAGGTTCTCGATGGTGGTTATTTTATTCTGTACGAAATAGAGGTCGGTGAGGGAAGTAAGGTGGTTTAGTTTCTTGATGTGTTTTAGTTTGTTGAAGGAGAGGTCGAGGGAGGTGAGGTTGATGAGATCTTCGAGCCCTCGGATATGCGCAATTAGGTTGTCGTATAGATCGAGGTCGGTGAGGGTGGATGCGAGGCAAGAGAGGTCTTCGATTGTACTTATCGTGTTTTGACGAAGACAAAGACGTTGGACTTGGGTGAAGCGTGAAAGACGGAGGGAAGGGATGGAGGAAATTCGTGCGTGTACTAGGTCAATTTCTTCGGTATCGAGGGGATAATCGTCAAGGAGATCTTTGTGATATTAGTATGCAGGAAAAAAAGAGATGTCTTTAACCAGGACGAATAAAGAGATGTGTACCTTCATCTGCATTAATAACTTCCCCCGGCATAACATTCTCCTCATCTGAATATTCAGGATCAGATATAGCTTCCGGATTAGCAAGCTCTAACTTCTTGCCCTTTTCCTTTTCTACGCGTAACTTTCCATCCCAGCCACTGCTACTACGAGGAGGAGTAGATTCTTGCGCATCATGTCCTGCGACGTCTTCCCCGTTGATGGAAATATGCGATAGACTGGTCGCCGTTTTGTCTTCCTCGTTCGACATAGTGATCGTTTGGATTTCCTTTTATAAGCTTAAACAGCGAAGTCTGCTGTGTTGTGTTGAAATAAAATCTGCTAGTGTATGGAGGGGTAAGTATGTATGTTTGTTTGTTTGTTTGTTTGTTTGCTGTTGTGCTTGCAGTGGAGTGATGCCAGAAATTTAACTTGTGCTGACTTATGTAGGTAATTACCGGAATTGGTGTCGGTAGGTATTCGAAGATAATTTGTAACTTTAGACACTCGAAATTTGATCTCTGCGTAAGTTGAATCCCGTATATTTTTGTATCAATAATAATATAAGTCCCTTGAAGCTTGAATTTGCTTAAGTGAATTGAAAATATAGAGTTTCCCTTATCTTAGAACTCTATTCTTGTTCGATTCGAAGAGATACTCGCTGTTTCTACCTAGTCTCGGCCAATTTTGCATCATTAGCCTGATAATGATAAGATGGTGGGGAGGCGAGGGGTTCCGATGAAAGGTGTGGCTCGCGTGGTTCACGAGCGAAGTGTGGCTGATAAAACTTGATAGGTAGTGAGTGAAATACCTAAACAATCTAAAAAGAAAATCTACAATAGTGACAATGCGGATGAATGGCTTTATCAGTCCATGAGCACTCCGATGAGTCAAAGAATCAATAAATACTGAATATTGAATGAAACGTTGAGTCAGAATGTTTCGGACGCCTCGATTCCCTGTTCAACAGGCAAGGTGTATTTTACGAAAACCTCAAGGGTATGGACAGTTTCAACGGCGTGGGTTCTTTGAGCTGCCTATGATTCTTGTTCCGCCTTTGTATTTCTTAGGATTGGGAGTTGCGATGTGGACTTGTGAGTAGGGTTTCTCTCTGATATTTTGTGGCATTCGAGGGAAGACGATTCGGGACGTCTGGGAGATTGAAGAGATTGAAAGTTCAGTACTCCTTATTGATCATGAAGTCCATGATTTTCCTTTGTGAGTTGTGATCAGACAGAGAAAAGTTCTTCATCTACTCTTTTCTTGAGGCTCATGTACGTTGCATTGTGTAATGCAACGTGTTTCTATCTTCCTGGTTGGCACTCCAACCCAATGATTTCCATGCTAAGTCAAGGTAGGGAAATGCTTCATGATGGTGACATTTCAAAATAAAATCATCTACATGGTAAGCGCTCTCATATCATCTTACTCTACATATCTCATGTAGTAGAAATAGCCCGGGTTGCCTCCAAATTCTAGACAAGAAACTATCGCAAATTACCAAAAAGATTGCCTGGGTATAAAATGGAGGGAAGAGAAAATCAGATCTACAGATAATACTGCTATCAGCCTATGTGTTGCAGAAGTATCTTGTGGCAGTGCTACAAAAAACCAAGGTAGAACGCGAATGGTCTATGTCTTATATTTCCAAGGTTGTTATTCCCTGTTTTCGGTATGCGGTTATGTATATTCACAGAAGTGTAGGTAATGCAGCCTCGTTACCACCAAGACTTCCTTTCCTCTCCACGGTTCCACGAAAACTGGAAAAACTCTCCTCTGCCCACAACGAGTCTGTACAATACGTGTTTGTATGTTGCAGCTATAGAGGGTATTGGAAATCACGAGGGAGGCCATCGGAAAAGGGACTCATGAAAGATGCAGAAGCTACCATGCAATGGGTTAGGAAGGATCTTGGAGCACGACCAGGCTCAGATGGATGCGATATTGTTCTTTGGGGTCAAAGTATAGGAGCGGGTATTGTCACAGGTCTGGCGGCGAAGGGTGGAATATTTTCAAACGAATTGCGTCTGCAGAAATTGATTCTGGAGACTCCCTTCCTAGGCATGTAAGTATTCCGTTCCCGATAATCCTTGATGAGATGAGATTAATCAGTATTATACCTATAGTAAAGCTATGCTAGAGACACTCTATCCACAGAAATGGCTTCCATATCGACATCTTCACCCATTTTTGAGGAACCACCTTGATAGTTGGAATGCTCTGGGCGAGCTACATGAACGGACTCAAAAGTGCGGATCAAAACCACCACAGATTCTTATTCTGCAAGCTGGAAAAGATGAGCTGGTGCCAGAATCGCATGGCGGAATGTTAGAGAAGAGGTGCTCGGATCTAGCGTTGGAGGTGAAGAGAGAAGTCATTCAAAGTGCGTTGCATAATGAGGTCTTGGTTCGTGGGGGTGGAAGTGTGATCATTGCAGAGGCTATACGGGATGTCAGTTTAGAGTAAAGTGGAATTGTAGAGTAGTTGATGATAATATATAACACTAGTGTATATACCTAGGTGTCGTCTGGTCTCAAAATCGACAGTCCAGTCCACTAGTGGTGCATGAACTCCTGGGGCAGTCTTTATAGCTTCAAACCCCCAGCAAACAAGACAAAAACGCGATTTTATTAATACTAAAATTCTCTAAATAGGATTTCCGAATTGCAGTATTGTGTATTGCACTACCTACCTAGTACATATTTATTGCGAAATCATTATACATTTATTTTTTACATGAATCACGTGGATCCGCGCACTCAATGATACTCCTCAAGGCGCGATAACCTTTTTCTCTTCGTCGTCTCTTCCATCCATTCTACCTTCTTTTCCCAGCCCCCATTTCTCATCTGACCATTCGGCCATCTAATACTCGCTCGAGCCTCGTTATTTAAGTTTTAACACCCTCCAGAAAAAGATATTATCCGTATATTCAATCCCCTACACCTTCACAAGTTTCATGTATCTCATACAGGCAATTCCGAACCATCGGGTCACACGAAGATACCATACTAGCACTTTTAGCGTTGCATATACTTTCCAGCTTTCAAGGTCGCTCTGCATTTCCTTGCCTCCTTGCATCCATTCCTACGATGTGCCATGTACAACATTCTTCCCAATTCATGGAGACCTGGGTCGATCAATTTCCATGACCATTCGCTCGTTGGACATCGAGAGGTGACTATTTTCATAAGTCTAGAGAATTTACAACTAATTGGGTTTTATGATATCCCAATTCTCCCGCAAGAACTCCTACGACAAAAGACTTCGGAGTACAGCAGCCTTGCTTTTCTTTCTTTTTATCACGGCCAACCTTTTGAGGGGATATCTTAAACCTTGTCATACTTATCGGTGCAATGAGTGGTCCGGGGAAGCAGGGATGAATACAACGTCGTAATCGATATCTCATCTCAGCCCGTGTATTGGGAATAGATTGAATGCTGCTTTATTTGTACCTCCATGCGACAGACCTACAGATATCTGATTCTCAGGCCTAATATAGCGGTCGAAGCCCAAGATTATCACCCATATGACTCCGTTTGCTTCATTAGACAGCGAGATGGCGTTCATTGGGTACCTAAAGAAAGCCCCGATAATCCTTGATTTTCCCCTTCCAAGCCAACTCTTACAACCATACCGATACACATACCGACATACATAATTGTCTCACCGAAAAATAAGATTTGCTCGAACTTCTCATGCAGCTTCCCTGGCTCTACAGCTGCGAGCAGGAAAAGCTTCCAATGGCATGTTCAATCCAAACAAGGCAGAAGTTAAAACTAAGGCCAAATAAAAATGATTGAGAGTCACCTGTTTTGGTGTAGGCTTCGCACTTATGCAATCACTCTATCCTGGTAAATCGCGTCTTCCAGTCCTAGAACGCGTTAGTCCGTGGATTGCCTATGAATACATATATAAAGTGTCCACCCACTTCTCATGAGAACATTCTTTCTCTCAATCAATGAGGCTCAATTAATCTTCTGGGTCAAATCATTCATCGATTGATATCACTAACGTTCATTTCCTGTTTGTGTGGTAGAAAACAGTGTCGTGATTTTCAATCGATTTTCTCACAGGCTTCATTTTAGCAACTGACCGAGAATGTTTACGAGAAGCTTCAAAACATCGCAAGCAACAGAGAGTTTTTCAAGAAGTCGTCGTCATAAAGGAAAGTCTTCATTTAGAGAACATGCTGTATCAAAGCATCGTCATGAGAAAACTACTCGTAAACCTCCAACCGAACAGATTTCTTCTCCAGAGTATGTTTGTCGAACACAACACTTCAATTGTCACGATAATTAACTCCATCTAGCACATTAACCTCATCCATAATCACTATTGTCGTTGGTCGCGAACAAAGACTCTTTGCTGCTCACGAAGATGTTCTTTGTCTATCCCCTTTCTTCCAATCTGCTTGTCGAAATCAGTACATGGAAACGATTAACAAACGCATAACACTTCTCGACGAAGAACCCGAGATCTTTTCTTCCGTACTCGAATATCTATACAAAGGAGACTATTACCCTCGACTCGTACATAACAAACGCAAGAATACATGGGAGCTGGAAAGTGGTGATGGAGATGGAAAGGAGTCAACCATTCATCATCATTCTATTGATGGCGAATTGTTAAAAGATACGGTTATCTATTGTGCGGCGGAGAAATATGGGTTAGATGAGCTTCAAAGAGTGGCACTGAGGAAACAAGGGCTTCGTATGTTTCCCCCCTCTATTCTTTTACCTTCATCGCTAACAGAAAAAAGAATCGGGTATTCAATGCAGTACCATTCTCTCATCAGCTCGTTATGCATATGCCAACACTCCTGATACCGATTCTAAACTAAGAGCTCATTATTTGGCTCTGATAATCAGAAGTCGAAGCACATTCAAGAGAAGTGGTACGATGCAATTGGAGATGTTGCAGGGAGGCTCACCACTTTTTTTTGACTTGTTTGTTGCTTTGGCTAATCATGTTGATGACGTTGTTGCGTGAGTACTTTCTATTCTTGTCTTGTAATGATACATGTAAATGGTTTGAAATTTAGCTAATTATGAGTGTAGTGCTTCACCAAAAAGCTTCAGGACTCATTGAATGATAGTTGCAACTCGCATCTCATCTCAAGCGAACTCAACACCTTGCAATCTCCTTTCCCTACGGGTGTCGCATCATTACACGATACTCCACCTCATGATATCTTCATCCCTCTCCTTTTCACCTCACTTCAATTCAATTCACTTATCTACCTTATTTCATGAATATTCACATAAGCGTTGCATTTACATTTCTCTTCTATACCACACACAGTTTTGACCGCTTTGGTCTTAACTTACCTCGATCAAACCTCATGATACTTCGCTATTTCCTTCTCCTAACGAACCTTAATTCCTATCCTTTTTTTTTTTGGAAACCACGGCGTTAGCGTCAGCGTTTTCGTTTATGTTATTCTTCTTTATGGTCACCATTATTCTGTTGTTCTTTTCATATTGGGTTCTTTTTCTTTGGGATATGGCTTGGCTTTTCATCAGGACTTACCCACATCGCCGAGATGGCGACATGAACGAACGAATGGACAGACGGGAAGGGGCAGAGGGCGCCGCATGTATTATTATCATTCTTGTGCTGACTATTTTGATGCCAATTTTTTCTTTCTTTCTATTCCTCTTTCCTGTCTTTTTATTTGAATGTTTCGTTTCGTTTGATAGATTGGACACTTCATTATTCTATCAAGTGTGTAGGGAAATCCGGACGGTAAAGGAGGAACATATCAAATTGACAGGACACATCAATGAATGTGAAAGAGCGAGATTATGGATTGGATGAGGGACGGGACTGTATCATCTATTTATTTATCTTCTGTTTTCGCTCATTTCTTACTTTTACTCTGGGGGTTTCATTTATATTATGTTATCTATTACGCCATTTTATGCAATTTTATGTTATGTTAGTTTCTTGGGATGGGAAGGGGAAAGGGGGGTCAAACCCATGCATGCCGTTTTTATGATGGGAGAAAGAGGGAAAGATTGAAATGAAATAGGATATGATAGGATATAATAGCAAGAAAAGCAAGCCAAAATGGCAGTCGAGTTTGCAGAACAGAACAAAACAAAACGTGAGGCGATTGGAAAGGGGGAGAGGGGAACTAGATTTCGTGATTTTAGTTTTGGGTTTGGATTTGGGTTTGATGATATTGATAGCGAGTTATTACTTATAGGGATAATGAATGGATATAGGATGGTAGTGTTATCGATTATCAATTATCGATTGTCGAGTATTAATATCAATATCTGTGATGCTCATGCTCATTATTTGTCGTGGAGCTCGAGGTGGGAAATTATGTGATCTGTGATTTGTATATGTGTATGTGTATGTATCTTCTTGGACTCTTTGATCACAAACTCGGTACATTTCATTCTACTTGATTGAATCTGAAAGAGAGGAAGAAGTGAAAAGAAATAAAAAATCTCATTCAAGAATATAGGTTATCTTTTCTTCCTCATCTCTGTCCCCTATGATAACAGTACGGGTGTCTGTCTATTTATGGAATAATGAAATAAGAAACCAGACCAGACCATGTCGGTATGAAAATGAAAATGAAAATGAAAATGAAAATGAAAATGTGAATGGATGAGTTCAGAACTCCAAAATATCTCGGAGAATATGTCATAGAGATGAGGCGATAGAAGAACGAATGGGGTTGAGATTGATTTGTTAATCAACGGGATGGATGGATAGAAGCGAGGAGGTGAGTGACTCATGATGTATGGGGGAATGGAGAAATGAAATAGGGATAGGGATAGGGATAGGGGGCATTGGATGAGAGATGAAATTTGAGAGGCGAGGCTAAAGGGTATAGTATACCTAGTTTATGTACAATATATGAGAACTGTGTCGTGCCGTGCTACCCCGAGACGCGGGGTATAGAGGAAGTAGGTAGTGTATTTATTGATTGAATATTTGATGTTATCTACCTACCTACCTACCTGTCAATATACCAACGTACGCAATAGTATAGGCAGAAAAGCGAGGCAGATTTGACGTATTGGAGATGGAGAATTTGGCTGGATATATATGTATATATGTATGTAAGTGTGTGTATGCATACATGTGTGACACAGAGAGAGAATATAATCCAGAATAAATAGAATAAATGAATCATAAAAAGGCACTCAGAACGTATGTAGGTAGATGCCAAGATACTCAAGGCAGATGCTCATCTATATATTGATAAGGAACGAGGGATATATATATGACTACAAGAAGAATGACATGTATGCATACAACCGCCAGGCTCGTGTGAAATATGCTAGAACTACCAGTAACCTCATACAAATATCTTGGTGTGGTACCTATGTACGGTGAGGAGAAATTAATACTTCATTATCAAACGCTGGATTCACATATATCGCCGAGTGTATTTGATCAAAATGAGGCGAATCAACGGGTGCTTAGAAGGCAAATGTCCTCGGTACCAATCTTTGCACTTACAAATTGATGAAATTATTGTGAATATCGTCGAATAGAATAATTTCATACATGCACGGGTTATCATCTTGCAGGGTGCAATTGATATCGTTGTCGTTTCACTACCGCTAAGAGAAATCATTAAACGCCTGTTCCAGGAAACGCGCCACCTTTGCTTAACACCACGATTCCATGTGCTCGTGATATGTAACCTTTCATCAAGCTCTAAAGACTGAGTCTTAGCACATTAATCATTTTGAAGGACAAGACTCCAAGACTCACCTTGTAAATCATATTCGCAAGTAAACATTCCACTTCATCATTTTCCATTGTCTCTTTACTCCCAATACTGATCGCAGCAGCAAATTCCGCAACTGGGATTCTAGTCCTTCTTACCGGTGCAGCAGTTGGTTCCTTGGCTTCTTCATAACCACCTGCGATGAATACTTTGCGTAGAAGATTGCGTAAAGCGATATCGCGGCCACGTTCTAGGGTGAGGTAGATACGACGTTTGACGAATTCGTTTTCACCGGCTAGGAGAGCAGCGTCGAAACCGGCGAGGTCGCCTTTTTTGATACATCGAGAGAGAGGGCCAAAAAGCTTTTGAAGTTTGGGATATGGTTGGAGGAGGGCTGGAGTTGGGAGAGTGTGGGTTGTTAGGAGGTGACAGGGAATCAGGTAGGTGAGGATGAGTCTGGTGTTGTGATTAATGGCCGTTTTAACATTTAGCGATACGACTGTGAACATACTCTTTATTTTTGACCGCACTCTTGTGACATAATGTCCATGCTTCGGTGAGATATTTCTCTGCCTAGAATATCTTTAGTCGGGACCCTACATTAAAAGAATTGCAGTTTGATAAACTTACTTCTTCATAATGTTCCTCAAGAAAATATATAACCCACAATAATATTTGAACGTCACCTGATGAGACATAGGAAAAGATTCGAGGCTCGGCATATCACCTCGATATGCTTGGATCGCGTTGAGAATATTTCTTGATAATCCGATAGAGTTTAGTTTGAAGTAGGTCTTAAACAATAAATTGATAATATTGTAAGTAGCCCATTTCCTAGACTCTTCAAGGGATGCTCGGTCGCTGAGACATAATGTAAATATACGATTCAGTTGTCGAGCAGCATCTTCCAGCTTTTCGTTTGTCTCTGACTCTGGATTCAAATCATCCTGGTAGTTCATAGCTGCATTCGATACGGTGCCACTTGCTTCATCAGCTTTGATGGCAAAGATTCGTAAATATTTGCCAGCTACGTATAAGCAAGGTACAGTCCAAGCTTCAAATCCGCAGGCACTATAACCACGATGAAGAGCATTTGTTACTTCTTTCCATGATTCATATACCTTTGTCCATGCATCCTAAACTATTGTCAGCTAAATCTTTGAGCGTATGAAAGATAGAACCAGAAAATGGTAGCAAGAGAAATCGCAAGTTTATCACGTGTTTCTATAAACACGTCGGGTCAAGCAGTAGTGACACATATTATACTCTCCTCCATCTCAGATATCCAGTTTCATACCTTTGAGTTGTCTTCAGGAGCGGCCTCTGCATTGGACATGAAACCAATGAACTTCCAAAAGGCGCAGTAAACGTCCACCCATGCCCGACCTTCTTCCACCGAACAATTCAACGGAGATCGATCATCATACAGAAGTCGATACTCGATGTCTTTCTTGACATGTTCGAAGTTTGTACTTCGATAGAATTCTCGAAGTCTGTTGGGGTTTGAAGCAGGGGCGACAGGATAAAGGGTCATGGACACACTGTAGCCATTTCCCTCATTGTAGGCGGCCTTGAACTCATGCAAAAACGCATCCATCTTCAATTTCAGATAGGTTTTGCAACTCTTGAACAATGGATACGAAATTTATTATGGTCTGAGAGGAAACAATGACCCAGTTTGATGCTTGATGCTTTGATTGCTGCGAAGAGAAGAGGAACTAAAAATCTTGAACGCTGGCGAGGGTATCATGAATCTATGTAGAAAAAACGTAGAGCAAGGAATAGACTGTTATGATATCACAACTACCGTTTTACTGAGAGGTTGGAGTATTTTCATGGGAATTATCTTTCAATGAATTTCATATCTCATTCATTAGGTACATTCCTTCTTTCTTTAGTTCGATTCTCATGAAATTAATAATCACCATTGATAATATGCTACTGACACTCCGTGGACCCACCTTTCCCGTGATGGGCTTTCCACCAAGCCACAAAAGGTAAGGTCAAAATCTCTAGGGCTGCTAAAAATTGAAACCCTTAGCTTCAATTTTCAACCGAGAATTTCAATTTGGGAGGAGCGAAGCCATCAATTTCAAAATTTGCAGCGACAATCACGACAACAACCACGGCCACACAATTTCACAGTACGTTTACCTCTATCGCAAAGAAATCAACGACGTCAGCTAACCCCATAAAGATGGGTAAGATACAGATTTTCTTCTTTAATCCGATGGAATGGACTTCACAAAAATTATCGACACGACGATTGCGCACCATTCGACAATTCTCCTCTGCGGACTTCACGACAATGCAATGATTGGCACAAGGGAAAAATACATTCGATTTGAGCATTTGGAGCGATCAAAATCGAGTTGGATGAAGTCATTGGTTGTGGTTTGGAAGCGGGAAATTTACGAATGGGACCAATAGAATCCAAAAACCCAGGCACCGACTACCAGCTTCTTGAATTTTCATATCAGAGCCATCTCTCGATGAATGAAACCCTTCTATTTTCGAACGGATTCCATTGGAGTCGATATATCGCCAAATTAACAATCATCAACCACATCGTCATGGTGCCAGTCATGGATTGGATCTGTTTTTTGATACCGCATGGATTCGAGATTAAGAGTGGAAGTTCTGGAAGCTAACATGCTTTCCTTTAGGTCGCCTTAGAGAATACCAGGTCATTGGCCGTCACTTGCCTTCCGAGGCCAACCCAGCCCCAAAGTTGTACCGCATGAGAATCTTTGCACCAAACACCGTTGTTGCAAAGTCTCGTTTCTGGTACTTCTTGATGAAGTTAAGAAAGGTCAAGAAGGCAAATGGAGAAATCGTCAGCTTGAACGAGGTATGCGATTACACAATGACGTATTCGAATGCTTCAAGATTCTAATTTTCCACTTTTACAGATCTCTGAGAAGCGCCCAATGAAGGTTAAGAACTTCGGTATCTGGATCAGATATGATTCCCGCTCCGGAACTCACAACATGTACAAGGAGTACCGTGAGATGTCAAGAACCGATGCTGTTGAGGCTTTGTACCAAGATATGGCTGCCAGACATCGTTCCCGTTTCAGGTCGATCCACGTAAGTTCAATTTGTTCTTGAATGAGGAAAACCAATTTACTGATTCCGCAAATAGATCCTCAAGGTTGTTGAGATCGAGAAGACCGAAGACGTCAAGCGCCCATACATTAAGCAACTCCTCGAAAAGGACCTCAAATTCCCTCTTCCTCACCGCATCTCCAAATCCATGACCGCCAACCTCTTCGCCTCAAAGAGACCATCAACTTTCTACTAAGTGTTTCGTGGCATAAGTCTGGGTTGGGGTTTCAAATATTGGTGTTTTTACATGCATCTCGGAAAGGTGTGCTAGCTTAAGCTCAATGAATGGGATCAATAGCAAAACAACAATATTGACATGACAAATGTTTTCTGTGCAAATTTAATCAATGGTTGATGAGCTTTCATGAAGTCTATTTTTATATTTATGCCATTCTCAGGTTCTTTTAAACATAAGATTTCGTCAACACCAGTGCAATTGATAATGATCAACCCTATCACAATCTTGCATTTCAAACCCCGCAGATACTGCAAACTCTTTCTAGTCATGAAACCCAGAAGTAGTTCCCATGTGCTCGACTGAAAATTCAAGTCTAAACCCAAAACATCGAGCGTTTGTACCAACATCAAGACTCACCTACAATTTTATCCCGAATCCCTCCCTCCCAAACATGATTTATTCATAATATAACCCCTTACTCACGGATACCCCAGAATTCCATAGATCGCGAGAAGAAGCGGAGTCTGGATTGTCTCTTGACTCTCATCTTATTTTCCATGTTCAATCTTTTGGAGTTTTGGGTTTGTTGTGTTTACCTACCTACCTACTCACTATTCGAGAGATATACAGTGTATTACAGTGTATTACATTGCGTCATATTGCGTCATGTTGCAAGGCAAGATAGACAAGATGGATGGATGGATGGATGGATAGATGAATAGATAGATAGATTAAATAAGATAAGGAAAAGGAAGGAAAAGAAAGGAGGGGGAGAGGGAGAAGGGATATTGAGATTGAGATTGAAATTAAAATTGATAGTTTGATATTCCAATAACAAAATAATATCATATATTTATTCTCTTTCTTCTTCTCCTTCTGTATTTTTTATATAGGTATTGAAAGTAAATAAGTATCTATCTACTTCTATCCTATTTCTATTTATCTTCAATCTCTATCTCTATCTCTCTCTCTTTCTCTATCTCTCTCTCTCTCTCTCTCTCTCTCTATCCTTCTCTCTCTTTCTCTTTATATCTCTTTTACTTCTCTTTTTTGAGTTTCTATTTTTATTTTTATTTCGATTTCTTATCTTTATTTCTAACTATTACTATTACTATTACTGTTTCTATTTCTATTTCCATCCCAATATGGATATATATATATATACCTTATCTAGAATACAACAATCTATCTATCTGTCTATCCACGAAGTAGAATCTTATTTATCAGGGGGGTTTTAGGGGGAGATCGAGAGGGTTGGGGTGAGGATAAGATGAAGGAGAGGGGGGGAGGAATGAGGCGAGAGGATGAGGATGAGGATGAGAATAAGATAAAGAGAGGAGAGGATGAGGAAAGAATGAGGAAAGAATGAGAAAAGGACAAGGAGAGAAGATAGGATATAGGTAACCAACTAACCAACCACCCAACCAACCACCCAAATAACCATTATTATAGATGATAAAAAGATAAATAAATAAATAGATGAGAAATCAAAATCGAAATCGAGATTGAAGTTCAAGTCTCCACTTCAGATCTTCAAGTCTTCAAGATTTAAAGTTCAAAATCTAGAAGTGGATGGAGAGGTCATTTATATCAAACAATCTCTACATATAATGTAGTATTTTAAATGGATGTTATTCAAGACTGAAGACTCAAGACTCGAGAGATGTGTTTATACTCGAGGACATTCGTTGTTTATTTCCGGATCTTATATTTATACATATATGTTCTTAGAATACAAAATGGTTGTTGACTAGTCTTCCTTGTTCATTTATCATTCTTCTCTCATCTTCGCACATTTCTTTACGTCTCAACTGGAGCTACCCCATCATCTTTGACTTCCATCTCTCTCTCCCCCTCCACCTTTGAATTTGCATCTCCATCTCCATCTTTCACCTCACCCTTCTCGCTCCCCTCTTTCTCCTCATCATACAAATTCCCCTCCAACCTCTCTCCCCCTCCACCCACACTTCCTCCAATTCTCTCTCAATCCCCCTCTTCCTCTCCTCCCAAACCGCTTCCATCTGCATCCTCTCCCTCAACTCCTGCAACTCTTTCTCCGTCCCCATCTTCTCCCTCTCCGTCCCAATCCTCTCATACTCCCACTCTCCCCCATCGCCCAATCCCAACTTCAAATTATATGTATGGTATCTCTTGAGACTCGCTCGCGTACTGATCGTGATCAACGTGATTCCCTTCTCCTTGCACGTTTCGTACAGAAGTCCTTCTACATCACTTGAAACAGCAGAGGTACCTTCATCTATGAACGCATATCTAGGTTCATGATACAACAATCTCGCGATAGCCATGCGTTGCTTTTCTCCTCCGCTAAGTACATCTTTCCATTCCTTCTTCGTATCCCAGCCGCCTTCTCTATCAGGCAGATATCCCAAGCGCGCTTCTTCGAGAATACGTTTTAATTCAATATCACGACGACCTTTGGAACGCATTTCGACTTCGCCATCTGGATAGATGACTTGATCGCGTAGAGTACCGACGCTGAGATAAGGACGTTGGGGTAAGAACATAATGCCATCGGTTCCGGTTGTGCGGGCACGAGAAACGAGACCTCGATAGACGGGCCAGAGACCAGCGACGATACGGGAGATGGCACTTTTACCAACGCCGTTTGAGCCGGAGATCTGAGGGGTTAGCTTTGAGGTGTTGAGGAAGAAAAGGGGATGGAATGCTTACGAGGAGATGTTCGCCGGAGTGAACAACCATGGAGAGGGAATCTATTAGTTCTTCTCCGCCATGTGGATAGACCGATGGAGCGACTACGGGTACATTTTCCAACCTAACCCCGTCGAAACCTTTTTGAGTCGTGCCCTGTACATCTGAAAGAGAAAAAAGTTCTGATTGAATGGCTCGAGGAGGAAAGTATGCATTTGCATGAACTCGGTGAAGGGTTGAAATCAGCGTATAGACTCGACTCGTATACCCAGCCAATTCCGAGAGATCTTTGATCGAATACATCATACGCCCACCAGCATCAGCTAATGATAACATAAGTCGCTTATTGGTGATGAACTCCTTCATTCGACCTCTTTCTCGACCGCCTACTACAGAGACATCCGCCAGTTCCGCAACTCCACCAAGACCACCCCATGCAGGGAGGAATACCGGCAATGAACTGAGCAAATAACCATATGCACTCCAACTATATTTGAGAACAAAATCTTCAAGTATGTTGTAGCGAATTTTGAGGGTATATATCCCTTCCATCCACCTTTTGAGACTTTTAAACTCTTTATCTAGAAAGTTCTTTTCCATATTGGCACCTCCATAAAACGCTACTTCTTCTGCATTTGCAATAAGACGTGCATGGAGACCTCGGAAATCTCCTTCTTTACGTCCTTCAACAGCTTTCAGTTTTCCAAATGGTGGTGAAAGTCGTCGAAGGATTGAAGCCGTCAAAAAGTAATTTGTCATTAACCCAGTCAAAGCCAATGGTCCAAGAGATCGGTATAATTGATAGTTGAAAACACACAAATCAACGAAAGGTTTGCCCAACGATGAATATAGACTTGCTGCTGATTCACAGAAAAGAGTCAAGTCTTGTGTTATGAATTGGTCTGCACCTTGCCCAACGCCACCATCAAGATTTGAAAGTTTATAGTAGTTGAGGTTATCATTGAGATATAAATCGTGAATGTATCTTGTTAATCGAGTGCGGAAAGCAATTGAAACTTTGGATTGAAGGAATTTGATCATAGCATTTGTGTATGAAGCCAAACCTCCAATGCCACACCACTTTTATATAGTCAGTCGTTTGAAATTTGTAGTTTGTTAAAGAGTAATGAGAAAATGAATCGATAGAAACATCAAGTGAAAAGAAAATAGGATACAACTCCCATACTTAAAAAAAATGTTCTAGCACTCTTACCTTTATGATACCCCAACTGAAAGCTTTCCCGTTACCTGCAACCAAATCTCTAACAATTACACCATCTAATCGTGCCACAACCAATGACAAGTATGTTCGAAGCAACAGAAAGATACCATGGCTTAGAAGTAAGCCAGTCTCTTTACTTGACCATCTTGGGATCATTATACTCAAGAGACTGAGAAATTGATGTAAAAATGCTAGATTCAATCCCGGCTTTGTTTGGGGAGGTGGAATCTGCGGAGTTTGTTGACCATCCGTAAGTCCTGCAGCTCGAGGTGGATTCAGGAAAAGTCTTCTATGAGCATCGAAAGTCAAAGGCTTTGTAGGGTATATGGTGACTTTTGAGGTGGTGTCTTTATATGGTACGAATACCACCCGCGATCCATCCTTATTCTTAAGTCCAGAATTCCGCCTGTGTAATCGCTTTCCCTGCTCCTTTTCTGCAGCTCGTTTCTGCCATGACCGATGACCAAAAGTCCCTCCGCATATTATAGAAAGAGTGAGGAGTAAGGTTGCGACAAGTTTTGTTGTCTTTGAGGCTCCCTGTATTCGACTACGAATGAGATTCGCATATCTTTGATAAAGCGCGCCGATGGGATCGGAATATCGTAAAGTAGATTGCGAAGCCATGTTTCTAAATCTTTGAAGAAGATCGGGACTCTGCGATATTGAATCTGCGCGAGCTACCTGGACTTCATTTCCTCGCTCGAGAGTAAAGTATTTGGCTGACGGTGTTGCATTCCAAGGAATTTCGATGACGGATCAAGTCGCTGGACATTCAGCGAAGCTCAGGTTTATCTCACATGAATTCAAAGACTGTAGTAAGTTTGGTATGTTGTATGTTTTGATAGTACTGATACTAGTATTGTATTGTACTTTGTTCGATAGATACTCTACTCAGCTCAGAAGAGTTGATGATCATAATGTTTATTGACATGTGAGATGAAGTGGAAATGTAAAACCGAGGCTGCTGGAACCTGCAGGGACAAACCCGCAATTCATAGCTTCCTTCGCTTCCCCGCAATCTTTTGAAAGGAAAAAGAAATAAGAAGGAAGTGCTTCGTACAGTGCGAGTATAAATTGACTGAAGTCAGAATACCAAGATGGCCACAGTACTGTACCTCAACAGTAACGTACCTTCATAATAAGTACAAGACTCAATGCCTTCAAGTGTGTGTCTGGCAAAGTCATTTGTTGCTGTTGTCATTTGTCGCTGTTTCAATCTCTCCGGCACAATAGATAAAGTCTACTCGGGCTCGGTCTTCTAATTTACTGACATGCCAATTTGTTATACAGCGAACGGGAAGAAGCTAGACTGATGAACTTATTGAAAACCCGTCCGAGCCATCTCAACTTCTCGACTTCTTAAGCCGTTTCGTTCGGGCTTTCATCGGACATCCACATCTGGTGATTGAATTAGACCCTGGAAACGACTATCATTTTGAATGCTGTGATTTTGTAATGTGTGTGTAGACCGAGAGACATGGCAGTTGGAAAGTTAAAGTTGAACAAACGGTATAGGATGGTTGACTAGATATCACCTTGTCCCCTGGGCACCAAAAGCTTGATCCTGGTTTGGTGATAGCTTCATAAATTCTAGGCCCCGTTGATAGGTCAAAGCATAACCGCTGAAGTGGAGAGGAAATAGTAGTTCGAGGATCTTTCTCAACAGATCATCCGGATGAGCTTGAGTACCGTATCTCTCCCGTTTGAACATTCTGTGTACGGTGTGAAGCAATAGTCGGCCATGCAATACACATATATTTATATACTTTTCACGTATGGTTGCTCCGAGCATGTCTTGGTACATCTCTATTCAGACTTCAAACTAGGATACATGTCCGAATTTACCAACTACCTACACCTTGGAGGGTAAGCAGTTTCCTGTAAGCTGACAAGTTACCACAGGCTAGGTGCAGAGAGATAACCGGATTAGCATCATACAAGGGGAGCTACCGTAGGTAGGTACGGTAGGTACCTACTCATGTTCGAGGTACGGCATCTGTAAGTATTGATAACATGACTGATTGATTGACTGATTGATTGTCTGATTGACTGATTGTCTGTACCCATATCGGAAGTGATTGAGCATGTAATAGATAGGCACGGAAAGGAACAGGATGTTCATCGAATTCTCTATCGAATGAAGTGTCTCTTCCTTTGAGGGAGATTGATGAAGGACCTCGGGATCAATCGAGTAATCTGTATCGTGGAAGCACTTGGTTGATATCATCGTAGGGTGATGGAAAATTGTCTTGTCCACACTCCACGGGTATGTATGATGACCCTCAACGTATCGAGGGTAACATGGATGGCATTGAATTAAATCATCCGACCAATTAATGTGGTGGACTGATACTTCAGACAGACTCCGAATCTAAGATGTACGGAGGAGGTGGATAATCTTTCCAAATAGAAAAGGGAGTTCCCGTGTTTGATAGGTTAGATTGCGGGCGGTAAATTATTGGGCGCCTAATCTCATTTTGCCCCTTGAGAGAAAGATCCATATCCATACTTTATTACCTGCCCAGTTACCCACTAGGCAATCAATCCATGATAAATGTTTGAATTGGAGGGTCCAGAACGGATGTGAGAGAGATGTGGTAATCGTGTCCCGCTGGGTTGTCGAAGCACACACTGCAATGCATTCATTGTATGTATGGTGTAATACGATATAAGAAAGAGGAGAAGAGAAAGAATTATCATGATGATTGTACGAGGAACCAACGATACGAGACTACTTTCTCTTATTACTTTCTCCTCTTATTACTCCTCTTGCTAGGACTGCTAGGACCCAGATATCAAGTCAAAATACATGGAGACTTTTTAGATGCATCTCTAGCACCTCTAGCACCTCTAGCACCTCCACCTGCCTACCTACGTGCTTGTGCTTTTTCTGTTTAATGCATCACAACCCTTGGGGGTTCATGGACAAAAGCGACTCCAGTGGCAAGCCTCACTAAAATGTATAATTATCATAGGCATATACTTGTTTACTAGCTACATGTACCGTTTCCATAGCCTCATATCGATGATACATCTTGACCCAATTACTTTGTATCATCACCATCACCATCACCACCACCATCACCACCACCCCCATCATCAGCACCACCACCCCCATCACCCCCATCGCCGGTCAACTTATACTTAGATGGATCCCTAGTAACCGTATATAAGAAATGAAATGGCCCCCCTTCCCCCTTCCTGGAACTCTTTCCCTTTCCCCCGAACCTTTCATCTTTTTCCTGCAGGTTCCAAGTTTTAAGGTTCTATCGAATCAAAAGCTGTTTAATTTTACAGCCGTAAGATTTTGGATCATAATCCATAATCCATAATCCATCATCCATCATCCCCATACCCATCATTATCAAGAGCCTTTCATTACCGGACCGTTCTTGCACACATTGGTGGTTGATTTTGTACAACACCGATAAAATTCTCCATTTTCTTTTTCATCACAGCCACGGCCACGTCTTTTCTCAATCGTTGTATTATTAGACATCATACCTAATCATCATCATCATCATCATCACCACCACTCCTTCAGTACCTCTCGGATCAGAGATTACAACATTCAAATCATCCTTTCCATTCAATCACTTTGAGTTTCTCCACCTATCGACCGTTCACTCCGTTAGTTCACACCCATCTACCTACATACACATACATATATTGGTACGCCATAGTCCCCAACGCCATACATCGGTCCCATATCACAGCCGTCAAATTACGAAAATAATTGCCACGATCTTTGCCAATGAGATCAAATTGTATCTCATAAAACGAAAAGAGGACCATCCTATAAAACCAGTTGCATTCCGAGGTACAAAAGAAAGATACATTAAAGTTTGATTGACTTGGAAAGATATCTTACTTATTTTCGACTCGACCACCTATCTCGGCATCATCTCTTCAATCTTCATTTACCTACCAAGAACGGATTACCTCTTGCATACGACCTCACCCACCTTACCTACTTTCATTACATTTGATTTTATTTACCAAGCACTGACTGGTATAAAAGAAGTGAAGTGAGAAGTGAAAGAAGAAGTGATCTTATTATTGTAGCTCTGCTGAAGCTTGTTAGCGCAATCCAATCTCGCTAATTCAAAGGTCCTGAATGTCCCATCCTATTATCGACACTCATCTCGTCCAATCTTCATTCAAAAGTCATTCTTTCAATTTCTCTCCTTCAGGAGCGTCGAGATTTGTTGATTGTAAGTTTCATTCCAATATATCTTCAATTCAATTCAATTCAATTCACTCCCATTCAATTCAATTCAATTCAATTCAATTCACTCCCATTCACTTCTTTCCGAAAATATCGACTGCGCCCAGGTTCCTCGCTCCACTTCCAAATAGATAATTAAAGATCATCGCATTTCTTTATTTATCGCGCAACGGAACGCATCTCTAGTACCGAAAGGTTCTTAGATAGGAGACTAGAGAGACTAATTAAATAACGATTAGGGACATCAACTTAAATCATTCGACGCGTTTTGAAGATAAAAGTCCTTGGATTCGATTCGATAGATCTTTATAAAGATTTAGTCCTTCGATAATCTTGTTTTTTTTTCTTAACCAATATCGAATTGCCCTCGATGAGTAATGAGGTAGCTCAGCCGACTGAGCAAGATCCTAGCCGCTCAACTTCATTGGAAGGAACGAAAGGAGTTAAACCACCTACCCTCGACACTTCCAACTGTGTGTACCTTCTTTCTCTACACTATATACTTTAATTTTTATTTCCAAACATCGGATGCGCCGATGACCGCAATACCAGTATAGGTTGCTAACAATTACCTACAGTCACCGCAGTTTCCCAACCACCCAGCTCATCTACACAACAGTCAACTACTCAAAACACTTTGACAGGAGATTCCGATAACGGTTTGAATTCGACTACCAACGTCGAAAAAGATCAAGGACGAACCAGCGAAACATTAACTGAAACTCCCAAGAAGAACAAAGACCTACTTAAAGTTCCATCGAGATCGTCTTCCAACAAAATTCAGCATTCGCCAACTTCTACAGGTTTAAGTGGAGCGACGGCGAGCGAGGGAAGAGAGAGCATAGGTGGGCGATCCAAGGAATCGAAGGGTAGTTTTCTTGGGCGAAGGCGGAATGGGAGTGCGGCAAGCAGCAAAATGTCGATAAAATCACCTGGAAATCCTACGGGCGCTGCAAGTTCCTCGCAACCAGCAGTTCCAGACGCTCCTTCAGTTCGTCAACCAAAAAAGAAGAAGAGCTTTCTTTCTCTTCTTTGTTGCGGTACTCCGGACCACGCCAATTCTTTGGATGCACCTGTTCCTGCCAATAAGGTCTCCAAATTTAGTTTAAGCCGCCCTACAACAGCTAAGCAACCTGACTCGAGCAAGATGGGACAACAAGCCAGTGTTCCCGCGGTACCACAAGTAGAGAAAGAGAATCTGCTGCAACCACAACAAGCGCCTCAAGTCGAGAGTGGAGAGGAGAAGCATGACACAACAAGCTCTCAGGAAACCGCCAGAGCTACCCCCTCCTCCTCGGATGCCAATGGAGAGCTGAATCGTCCAATCAGCAACGCTCGCGATCAACCTTTGCCAGACTTGCCCACTGTCGTAGAAGCAGAGCCCACGCTACCTGAGACCGCAAACCCAACAGTATCTGTTGATGCTCCAGCGCAGTCCGAAGCGGCAATCGGAGCTGCATCTCCAAGTTCGGATCTGGGACAGCAAGATGGTGGAGACGAGAAGGTCGCAAACTTGGATCCAGGAACCACCGAAACCGAGGAGGCCCCATTACCACTCCCAAAAGATGAACCAATGGCTGGTCAAACTCTTCCACCTCCCCCACCCGTTCCTCAAATACCAACTACCGAAGACGTCACTGAAACGGAATCTATAGAGCAAAAACAGCAATGGCTCTTGCCACCAATTGCACCAAGATTCAAAGGGAAAAAATGTCTGGTTCTTGATCTCGACGAGACTTTGGTTCATAGTAGTTTTAAGGTAGGTCACGAGCGCAGAAGTAGGAAACAGTATTCGGAAGCTAACCAACATGTTCATTAGATCTTACACCAAGCAGATTTCACCATTCCCGTAGAGATTGAAGGGCAGTTTCACAACGTATACGTCATCAAGCGTCCTGGCGTTGATCAATTTATGAAGCGAGTCGGGGAGCTCTACGAGGTTGTGGTCTTCACAGCTTCTGTTTCTAAGGTATTATTGACTAGAATGTTGATCCTCATAAATATTTACTAACAAATCAATAGTATGGTGATCCACTTCTCGACCAACTTGACATTCATCACGTTGTTCATCATAGACTTTTCCGTGAAAGTTGTTACAATCATCAAGGAAATTATGTAAAGGATCTTTCTCAAGTCGGTCGCGATTTGAGAGAAACCATTATCATTGACAATTCTCCCACCTCTTACATCTTCCACCCGCAACATGCTGTTCCTATCAGCAGTTGGTTCTCAGATGCTCACGACAATGAGCTTTTGGATCTAATCCCAGTTCTTGAGGACTTGGCCGGCTCGCAGGTCCGAGATGTCAGTTTAGTTCTTGATGTTGCGCTCTAAGAAGGGAGCAAAATCTTCTTGCAATTCGCTTGATATCATAGCGGAAGGCGTTTCGGTTGATACCTTTGGTTTCGTTGTAGAATGTACTGTTTAATCTATATAATGGGCCAGCGTGCTGGGTCAGCCTTGGTGCAGGAAGGTATGCGAGTGGGAGTGATGGAGGAAAATTGCTAGAAAGCGAAAGATCAAATCACATCGATGGGTCGAAATCTCCGCGATTGGGATATGAGAAAAATAACATCATCTCGATGGAAGAGCGACCAGCAAAAAAGCGAGCATCATACGATGCACACCGTACAACAACAGATCGGCCTGTCACATTCTTTTCCTGCCCAGCAAGATCTGAGGCACTTTGGGCAGACGCATATCCGATATTTTCATTTGTCCAACTCTTTTTTTTTTCTACTTTATTAAAACTTCTCAGGGCTTTGCGCATGGCGCAGACTCTTCATGTATCAAACACTCTATCCACCGTTTGTGAATGCTTTGGAGATAGCATTCATCAAATACCAAAAATGAAACGATTCCATACGACCTTTTACTTTACTTACACTCCAATTACACCTTTCTTGTAAATAATTACTGGGTAAATAAAAACTTAATAATAATACGAAGATGCATTTTTGGGTGGCTATTTCTTGTTGATTTCCATGTTTTTAACGCCAAAAAGTGATGATATTTCAGTTCAAGTCAATCGACGGAGAGAAAAACGACTAGGTGAAATAAGATGAGATGAAATTAAAATGTATGATAAATCGTCTGTCCTATCAGTGGCATGAGGCTAAATGCCTGGTGGTCTGGGGTTCATTAGCGTCTTTTTGGTGCACCAAGCATTCGGCTCCTTTTAGAATCTGTCCTTTGACATTTTGAACCAGCTCATCAAAGACCAGCTCTACCTTATCATTGCGACTTTTTACTTTGGCCATATAAATTTAATTCAACCTTCGAGCTTTCACAACTTTCTTTCGAATTCTTTCCACATAGATCATCACACTTCTTTCTTCACAATGGTATGTACTAGTTTCCCTGTCAATTCTTCCGCGTCAACTAGACCACCGCACAGCATTGCTTCCTCTCCCAAGCCCAATGGCACTCCTCCTTTCGCGACACCAAATTTCTTACCACAGTTACTAAATGATTCCAAAACAGTCATCCCCAAGATCGGCATCCCCAGTCAACAGCCCGGTAGCAGCAGTATCGGGCAGACCTTCTAGCCCAACTCCTCCTGGAGGCCCAAAGACAGCGATTAGAAGACGTGCGGCAGCAGATCAAAAGGACAAGGTTGCAAATGCGAGGCCGAGCAGTACAAGAGCAGCAGGTGCCGGGGGAAGTTCGAGTACTATGTTGAGTGAGTGTTTTTTAATTGATTGTTTAGAGCATCTTGGAAAGCGGAGGAGTGGGTGAGGATTTAGAGAGGAAATAAGAACCCGTGGGATGAGTCGCAGGTGGAGTGGTGAATAAAGAGAATAGAAGAGATCTGTTCCTTGGAGTTATGATTATGCTTCGAGGGGGGAGCATAATTTGTAGTTCATGCATTGCGCATGCTCGGGTTTACTCGAGTGCATTTTCTCGTTCTTCCGATTCCAATTGACCTCAATGTGAGGGATACTGAACACCGCACAATTCCTGGGTCTCGATTCACATTCTCCCAGCACTTCTGCGTGAGCTATTTGATCCAGGCCACGGTTTTGAGGAGTTCTGCGATTTGGAATTATCAATCGTTGACGATGACGATCATTTGTGTCTGGAACTAGTTATACTGACATACCAAATAGGACTTTACACCGATGAATCTCCAGGATTGAAGGTCGACCCTGTTGTCGTCTTGGTTCTTTCCCTCGTTTTCATCTTCAGTGTTGTTGCCCTTCACAGTAAGCTATATCCTTTCTTATTGATGATCTCACGCTAACGTTATATTTAGTCATCGCAAAGGTTACACGCAAATTCTCTTCTTAAATTCGGTCTTTACGATGTTGGGGCAGAGGATATGAGGGCGCGGTCGAGGGGCTTTGGCTGGAGAAGCGTCAAAATGGTGCTTGGGAATTCTTACGCTGGGTGATGTGGAGTGGAGCATTTATGGTGCTCTTGTATTATAAGCAATCTTTCAAGGGATCAAAAGAATTGATGAATATTTACTTTCGGGCTCAATGATCAGCTTGTGATTCTATGGATTGTGGATATTGTGTGGTTATGGTATAATGGAGGAGATTTAACGCATCCAAATGACAATCATTCTGAGCGATTCGGAACTCGTCACTGTACGTACAAAGTTCTGTGCTTTGGTAGTAATTGGTGATCTTTGAATTTCTCTGGAGGTTTCAGACCGAAATATTGCTCTTTATAGCCACAGATATTCGAAGAGAGTTTTGAACACCGCCACGAAAGCTCAAAAGCCACACCTCGTAGCTCCACCTTGTAATAAATCTTGCTGCGCACAGGATCCATTTGCTTTCCAGTGCAAGTGTGATGATATGCTTGCTAACGGGCTACTAATTGAAGCGATGATTGGGCCTATTGGTGGGTTTAATAGTTTCCAAGTATAAACCCAACAAATAATCCAGAAGTACCTAGGTAGCCTCTGAAAGGCTTGAGCGTCGATGGATGCTCTGGAATAGCATGTATCGAATGCTTGATTCTATCTTGTGATCCAGTACAGACTACAAGCACTCAAGGTAGGCTATACAATGAAGAAGTATTCCTTTCTTTGGTCCATGTTGTATTGTGTGTGACCAATTCATTGGGACAGACATATTGTGGGGTTCCTTGCTTTCCTAACCTTGCCACCTCCACCGTCATCGCTACTCCGCGGGGTATCTATCATAGCCTCGTCTAGATTGAGAATTAAGCTTCCACATGCCTACATACAGCAAGAAAGTATTTTAAATATATACTCATGATTTCCAATACCTGATCTTTGCACACATTTGACATCTTTATGATAGCTGTCTCATTCCGCATCTCATACTCCACGCTGTTATCAGCGTAGGAAGCTTATCGATATGACCACTGATTCGAATCAGCCTGCAGACGGAGCTGTACCTTCTGCTCTGATTGCACAAGCTGAAGCTGCAATTTATGGAAATATTGAGGACAGTGATCAATCACAACATGAGAGGAGACATTCTAGGCATCAGGAAGGTGTCGCGGGGTCCTCCACGAATGCGCCTCCTTCATCGTCGTTCGTATACATTCATCCTTCGGATCTGAACGTCTACTGATTGCTCTCTTCTGAACAGTGCACATCGTCCTTCCTATTTAGGCATCCCAGATACAGAGTCTCATCACGAGACAACAGAACCTCCACCTGCATACGGAAACAAGCATAATGAAATAGAACTCAGTCAAGATGGGTTTGACACCCTGGCGAAGGTCTCTGATGATGGTCGAATCAACATAAACATTAACCAGAAAACTCGCAAATTGTCCGATCTTCTTATACCCGCCCTTCGAAATCAGCTTTTACTTAACGCACAAGAGGATGCGCGTCCCCTCCCTCCTGGATACATACCACCTGCGCTAGGAGGATTACCAGGTCAGACACCTCCACCTCAACTCAATGTTGTCATACATGTTGTCGGTTCTCGCGGAGATGTACAACCGTTCGTTGCGCTAGGTAAAACGTTGAAATCTACTTACGGACATCGTGTTCGTCTGGCAACACATCCAACATTCAAAGGTTTCGTGGAGGAAAATGGATTGGAGTTTTTCAGCATCGGCGGTGATCCTTCTGAATTGATGGCATTCATGGTAAAGAACCCAGGTCTCATGCCAGGTATCGAGTCCCTGAAAAGTGGCGATGTGGGCAAAAGAAGAAAGGGTATGGAAGAAATTGTCCTGGGTTGTTGGAGATCGTGTATCGAAGCTGGAGATGGACTAGGCCCAGCTCCTAACAAATCCGGATCGCAATTATCGTTGGGTCTCGAATCCGGTATCAATATGGATACTAATCCGTCGGATAGACCATTCGTTGCGGATGCGATTATTGCTAACCCTCCAAGTTTTGCACATATACATATTGCGGAGAAATTAGGTATACCGTTGCATATGATGTTCACGTGTGTATTTCTCTTATACTATACTAATAGACTTTTGCTTACTTGTATACAGAATGCCCTGGTCGCCTACTCAGTCCTTTCCTCATCCTTTAGCGAACATTCAATCCTCCAACGCAGACGTGAATATGACTAACTTCATATCTTATGCACTTGTTGAAATGATGACATGGCAAGGACTTGGAGATGTTATTAATCGATTTAGAGAAAGGGCTCTTGGACTTGATCCTATTAGTTTAATTTGGGCACCTGGAATGTTGAGTCGCCTTCGTGTTCCATACACATATTGCTGGTCACCAGCACTTATTCCTAAGCCAAAAGATTGGGGAAAGCATATCTCGATATCTGGATTCTATTTCCTCTCTCTGGCTTCATCTTACACGCCTGAACCCGCTTTGGCCGCATTTCTCGCTGACGGCCCACCACCTGTTTATATTGGATTTGGATCCATTGTCGTTGATGATCCTAATGCGATGACAACCCTCATTTTTGAAGCTGTCAAGAAAACTGGTGTCCGAGCTTTAGTATCCAAAGGATGGGGAGGTCTCGGTGGTGATGCGCTCGACGTACCTGAGGATGTTTTCATGTTGGGTAATGTTCCTCATGATTGGCTTTTTCAACATGTGTCTTGCGTTGTTCATCACGGGGGGGCTGGAACCACTGCTGCCGGCATTGCTACAGGAAAACCTACTGTTGTCGTTCCATTTTTCGGCGATCAGCCATTCTGGGGTGCAATGACCGCTAGAGCTGGAGCCGGTCCACTACCCATCCCGTACAAGCAACTTACTGCCGATAAACTTGCCGCAGCTATTACTGATGCTCTCAAGCCTGAAACTTTGGCAAAGGCACAAGAGTTAGGGGCTAGGATTAAAGAGGAGAAGGGTACTGAAGAGGGTGGGAAAAGCTTTCACGATCATCTCGATGTCGACAACATGAGATGTTCATTGGCACCGCATAGAGTAGCGGTTTGGAGGGTTAAGCGTACTCAAACCAGGCTTAGTGCTTTGGCCGCGAATGTTCTTGCTAGTGAGAATCTTATCAGTTTTTCGGATTTGAAATTGTAAGTTGTTTTGCATATGTTATTATTCAAATGGTGGCTGACAAAATTAGATATCGTTCAAAAGAATATGAAACTGATGACGGTCCATGGGATCCAATATCTGGAGGGGCAACTGCACTTCTGGGAACTATTGCAAGTCTCAGTATGGGTGTAGCAGATTTCCCTATCGAAATCTTCAGGAAGGTGAAGCGAGATAAGGAAGCTCATGCTGCTGCTAAAGAATCGTCAAGTACTTCTGCTACACCGAAATCTTCTATGCAGGGTCGTCCTCAGGATCACTTGCTGTTGGACGAAAGATCGCTTAGATCGGTTGACGCTAGTCTGCTGCAAGCATCAGATTCGTCAATGAAAACTTCTTTCGAAAGTAGTCAGCGATCCTCCAACGATATCGATACTCCTTCAACGCCAAGTACCCAGAGTTCAATATCGCACACAGCGAGTCCAGGTATCAAGCATACAAATTCGTTGCGCCAAGTGCTGAAGGATAACATAGAATCCCGTCATGCTCGCAATGATTCAGGTTCCGAGACACCCAAGGAATTTGATCCTTCCAAGTTGACGATTGAAAATGCTGTAGGAGCAGGAAAAGGTATCTCGCGTATTGTTGGTGCGGGATTGAAGTCCCCCATGGACTTCACACTGGGTTTGGCGCGTGGATTTCATAATGCACCTAAATTGTATGGCGATGATACAGTCAGGCCACAAGAAAAGGTGACGGATTTCCAGAGTGGTTTGAAGGCAGCTGGAAGGGAATTTGGTTATGGAATGTTTGATGGCATCACTGGTCTTGTTACACAACCTTTACGTGGTGCGGAGAAGGAAGGTGCTGCTGGACTCATTAAAGGTATCGGAAAGGGTATTGCAGGAGTGGTTCTCAAGCCTGGAGCTGGTAAGTCAGACTCTAAAAACTCGTCACGTGCATTGCTAACATCAGTAAGCTATATGGGGACTTCCTGGTTACACATTCATGGGTATCCATAAAGAAGTGAGAAAACTTTTCGGCTCAAGCGTACTCAACTATATCATCGCAGCCAGAACAGCTCAAGGTTTCGAAGATGCTCAGAAATGTAGCAGAGAAGAACGTCTGGATATTATTCAGCGTTGGACGGAGCATAAAAGGGAATACCAAAATGCCAAGCAAAAAATTCAAGAGGAAGGTCCTGATGGTCAAGGCACTGGACGCCTTTCACCAAAAGGTTTTTTACAGACACGACATCTCACTTTCGATGAAAGAAAGAAACTACACGAGGAGCGAAAAGCCAAGCGTGAAGAAGAAAGCAGGCAAGGAGGTCATGGTCCACGTTCACATTGCCCGATGGGACTTTGCCGAAGAACAACAGCTCATACTCACTCATCTGATGAGATTCTAGAATCCCCAGTTATCAATGTGAATTCACCAATCGGGAATAACAGTAATGTTCAATCTGACTTCGAAGAAGCAATTCAAGCATCAGTCGCCGCTACTTCACGGGGTAATATAGAAGAAGATCTTATGATTGAGCGGGCTATAAGAGCTAGTGTTAAGGAACTACAAGGTGGTCAGAGAGCGGGTTTAAGCGATCAGGAGGTCATGGATCGTGCGATTAGAGCTAGTGTTGTGGCTAGTCAGGAGCAGGGCGGTAGGGGTAATGGAGAAGATGATGATAGAGAACATGATGAGCAGCTTGCGAGAGCGATTCAGGAGAGTTTGAGGGGATATAACATTGATGGGGCGAGGGAGAGAGGTGGGGATATCGATGATAATAAAGGGGCGAGTGGAAGCGGAGGTGGATTTATAGAAATGAGAAGTGAGGAGAGTGAAGATGATGAGGATTTAAAGAGGGTACTGAGAGAATCGAGAGAAGAGCATGAAAAGTCCCTCGCTTCCAAAGGAAAAGAAACTGAGAAGAGTGGAGGAGGAGCTGGTGGTATGACGGAAGAAGAAATCGTGTTGGAATATATCAAGAAACAGAGTTTACAAGAGGAAGAACATAGGAAGGAACGGGAGGAAAAAGAGAGAAAAGAAGCGGAGAAAGCGGTAGAGGAAAAGAAGAAAAGAGAAGTAGAGAATAGTCGAGCGGATGAGGAGGCATTGAACCAGGCTATCGAGGAGAGTTTGAGGGGGGCGGGTGGGTCTTCAGGATAAAGGAAAGGAGGGGAGAATAGATGGGGATATGTGGCTTGGTTGAGATTGCAGTGGGAGTGAGAGTGAGATTTGCCAATGAGATGGTTATGATACTTGATATATGATACCCGGGGATAGGATATGTAAGATAGGATAGGTTGGTTAGGTTAGGATGGAGATGAAACGTGATATGAATTGGAATAGAATATATGTTGTTTTTCGTTCATCTTTGTTGTGGGATTTGGGTTTGGCTGTTGTGGTTATGTGGTTATGTGACTTAGCTGATTTGGAATAGAGAGTTCACTGGGGCGTGTTTGTGTTTGGTGATGGGAGATTGGTTGGGTGTATGAAGAATCTCTTGGAAGTGATGGAATTGGTATGTTGAGGTAATTTGTTCTGTTTCGTTTGAGGAGCCTCTACTGAAAGTCTTGGGTTTGGAGATAGTAGATAGTCTATTGATTGTAGTTTGTTTGCACACATCTAGAGCTTTATAATGGTAGTTTAGGAAGGATCTCTTGGAAGTGCTGAATAGGTATGTGAAGGTGATTTCTTCCATTGTGTCTCATACTACTCTACTAACGGTCTTGAGTTCATCTAGTGAAAGACTACTTCATATTTTCAATCACTTGCTTAAATATTAAAGACTTCAAGGCCTGGTCTGTAAAATATGTAATGGTGAACGAACAACTTCACTATCCAAGTTGGATGAAGTGTGAACGTCCTAACAGATTAGACGATACCGAGATATAGTTCTTTCAGTTTTGGACTTTAGACAGTTCTTGAGACAAAATGAGATGATAGTCTTCCATTGGACTCTCGAAACGAGTTCCCACCAATAACAAGTTTAAATAAATAATATTAGTTTCTTAAAACTCGCGTAAATAAATATGTCTTTCTTCGAGCCAGCTCATCGTCGCAACCTCATCGTCCCGGATCCTACAACCCACAAAAACCATGGCTTCAAATGGCACTCCGCGCAAACCCCGTAAGAAGGCAACACCTCTCTCCTTCTCTACCACAAATATCGGTACCTCTCTATCACAAGGTTCAGCCGTTGCATCACTAACTTCGCCTTCGCAATTGGTCCTGGGATATTCGGCTGGACAATTAATTCGCACACCACCGGTCACTTCATCTTTCAATATCGAAGATCGAAAATCTCCGAGGTCGCCTACTCCGCGCTCTACGATTGCATCCAAGATTGCATCGTCACAGCCGCGTGCAAGAGTGAATCAGACATATCACGCTTTGGGAAATAAAGCTGATTTAGCTCACTTTGCAAATTCACATTCACATCCACATTCACCATTTACGAACGCCGAAAGTTCACTTGGTGATCTTTCAAATAGAGCAACGGCGCATGCTGGGGAAATACCAGTTGCAAAGATGGCGAGTTTGCATGTTGGTGACGGCGATGCGCTTGCTGCTAACTTGATGGGAGATGCTTCGACTTTGCCAGCGATTAACATGGCTTCTGTTGCTTCGGCGCCTCAACTGATTCCAAATTCCAATACAATAGATCTCGGCGGTGACAAAATCCACAACCTTTCTCACAATGATAGCAATAGAGAGACAAATTCAGCATCATTTGACAAAACACCGGTAACATCGGCACAAGAACCATTCCTCACAACCAATTCCGAATTTCCCACCAACACCGATGCCAATAAACAGCAATGGAAAGCCGCAGTCAAAGCGAACAATCCCCCTCGCAACCCCTTCCACCTAAGTCTCCCAAACCAAGCACATCGACGCACTGCGAGCCAAGGAAGTCAGGGAACCCCATCAAACAATAATCGTAGCGGAATCGCTCTCTCAAATGCGTATACCCAAATGGTCGAAAGTGTGGAGAAAGCAAATGGGACTCAGGGAAACGCAAATATTCAAGCGACTGCAATGATGACTGGTAGAAATCCCTTTTCGAGACCTTCAGCCGTGGCGGCGTTGGATGTCGCGCCGAATTTTGAGGCGAATTTCAAGGAGATGATGGAGACGTTGGGGAATGCCAAACCGGGAGATTTTTTGTGTGGGATGGATTTGAGTGGTCGATTTGCGCAGGCTTCTTCTGTGGGGGCAGTGATGAGACGGGGTTTTGAGGATGGGGCGAAGGAGGGATTGAGGATGCAACTTGTGGATTGTTCGGCCAAGCAGGAGATTGTGATGAGTACTGGAAGTCAAGCTGGTAGGACATTGTCGTCAGTACAAGTCACTACACCAGATCGTTCTTCAAAATTGCAAATGAGATCGCCTTTTCAGACTTCGATGCAAATGCAACCTACAAATCATCCTACCGCACAAGAAACAATGATGAACACTGGCAATCAAGCTGGTGGAATATCATCGGTAGCACAAATCACCACACCAGATCGTTCTTCGACGTTTCAATTGAGATCGCCTTTTCAGACTTCGATGCGACCTGTAACTCACTCTACGACTCAGCAAAACATTACGAACAATGGAAATCTATTCGAAGGAACTTCACTGTCGACAGGTCAAAAGATTCTGACGGACTCCTCACTCGGATCTAACTTTCCAAATACTACGCAAATGCATCAATCTAGTGGTCAAGGAGATACGATGAATAATGGTGGATATGATAGTGGTGTTCAAGATGATAATGCACCATCTTCGGATATTATTGGGGATTTCGCTAGAGAATATGGTTCTGCAAATCATAATGCGTGGTTGACGGCGGATATGAATGAGTCTTCGATTCAAGGAAATCCAGCAGCAAGTATAATCGGAGCCTCACCTTCAACTCATGCGAATACAAGAGTGGATATGGTTGGATCGACAACTCAAGCACTTTTGCCTAATACTGCTGGTCATCCAATGGATGGAATTACATTTACTGGCAGCAACAATGGGAACCTGTCAAGTGTATCTGGTGGATATAACATGAATCTTGGGCCAAATACTTCGAGTCAAGTGATGAGTGGTGCTCTTGCATCTGGACTTGGACCAGATACAAACAATTATGAACAATCTTCTCCTCGACAGGTTATACGTCAAAGTAGTGCTACTCCTGTACATGGGCACACTCCTAATAACTCAATGGAATCGAGATTTAGTCATATGGGCTCACAAGTATTGAATTCCCCCAATCATCCTGTTCAATCGACACTCAAATTACGCAGATCTGCTACACCTATTCAGTCAGCCATCAAATATCCTAATGAAGGCTCGCCAGCAGCAGTGAATTCAATCGCTAGATCAACAAGATCCAGCTCCGCGACACTGACTGCTCCCGAAGTTTCTCTTGACGAAACCTCTCCAAATCCTTCACATCCAGCCAGTTTTCATCAAGACACTCCATGTATGCCAGATACACCTCTTTTTACAACTCGCAATCCTTTACACCCTTCAAGTTTCCATCAACCTACACCTCGTGCTCAATGGCCAACATCGCGTGTTCCGATCCCTCCAAATCCTGCCGTATCGGGTAATACGCTGGGTTATTTCGAGCCGTCTCCAATGTTCAACTCTCAGATAAATGCGAATTCGAATACAAATTTGATGAACTTGAATAGAGATATGCTTATGCAATTCAACCCTACTTTTCAACAACATCAGTATATGCTAAACCAGAGAGGCCAAAACAATCTACAATTGCCGCAACAATTTCATCAGCCCATGCAATCAGATCAATTCGAAGCCAGGATGAATCAAGCCGCAATGGAGAACGAAGCAAATGGAAATGGAAATCAAGCAAATATACAAGGATACACTCCACCCGTCTCACCACCCGTCTCTATTCTGAACACCTTGTTCCGTCACCGTGCCAGTCGATTGGAAAACTTTCAACCTCTGACCGAGGAATCCATCGAACCCTTACGTCTCTATCAAGTTGCTGCTGGTATCAATACTTCGCTTCAAGCATATAATCTCAATAGTCCCATGCCTTTTGATAGAAAGCCACCTCCGCGACTTCCGAACTATCTTATTCCAGATCGTCGTTCAAAGATCATTGATTTGGATGATCGTCCCTTAGCTCTAAACAAGTTGACCGTTGGAGAAAGCTTTGAATGCGACTTTTGTACCGGAACACCAAATTTAGGTAGAATCAATCGGTATAATCATGACTTCGTGGAGATCTGGGGTCCCGCTGGTAGAGATTGGTGTGCTGAATGTAAGCAAGCCGGAAAACATATACTCGCAGCCGCTCTTACCGAGAAGAACGACCACAACAAGAAAGGAAAGCGGCCGGCTAAAGATCCAGCAGGACCCGGTCCGACCCCCAAAAGGCAAGCTCATGCATCATCCGCTTCTTCGACCAAGATGACTCGTTCAGCTACTGCTGCGACAGCTAGCTACGATCGCTATGCGCCTTTATCCGAAGAATCTAACGTCTTTGGTGATCCCCTTGAAATCCTCTCGCCAATCGATAATATGTTGATTAATCCCTTCATGCACAATCTCACATGTCGCGGCTCCGCGTATCGACAAATCGATCTGTACAAGACGAAAATCTGTTTGGCGTGTAAAGTGAGGAAGATGGAGATTGTGAATCATGGGTGTCATGATGAGTTTACGCATATTGTGGCGTTGAATATGGATGGCCAGTGGCAAGTTGGGTGTGGTCGAGGACTTTCGGGTGCGGGTTTGAGGGATGGAGAGGGTGGTTTGGGGGCTGTGGATGGGAGTTTTGGTGATTTTGGATTTGATGTGGGCAGGGATTTGAGTGTGGGAAATATGACAGTGGAGGAGATCAATTCGATTGTTAATGTTGGGTTGAGTGCAGGTGGTGTGCAAGCAAGCAGTGGTGGTATGAATCCAAGTGTTATGCAACCGACCAGCACGCACACAGACAACATAAACTCTCGCAGAAACTCCATCGTCGACTCACGCGCCAATCCCCTCATGAGCACTAGCATAGATTTCGATATCGACTCCGATCTCCACTGCGATATGAACTCCATCCTCAACAGCTCTATGGACTCTATGTTCGGCAACGACGATTTCTCCTGGGGCACATCCGGTTGGCTAAGCACCCACACCTCTACTTCCAACTCTGCCATTCTGCTTCCTACACCCACTCTCACTACACCCTCCATTACCTTTCCCTCCCCCAGAGACGAAACACACGATCATCAAATCCACATGAACCGACTTCCGCATCGTCCCATCTCTAAATCCTGCATGATCTGTCCCGCACCCTCCGTTTTTCTCTGCGACGGCTGTCCTTTGACGCTCTGCGAAAAATGCAGATATCGTCTTCGAGATGCAAAGGGTTGGTTGAATAATCTGATCTATAGTAATGGGGTCAATCATAATCGGAATGATGCATTTTTGTTAAGGAGTGATGATGGTGGGTATTATGATTATGGAAAGTTTTGGCCGGTTCCGGCGCATGTAAATGGGAAGGGTGTGTTTGGAGATGGGGGACGTTGAGGAGGGTGTGAAAAGAGGGTGGGTTGGTGTGATATGTTTTTGAAGTTGGGAGAGAATTTGATAGAGGGAATCTTTCAATATTCAATCAAAGAAGATCTCTTTATCTTCCTTCTCTCAATTCTCATCATCTACCTTCTCGACATTTCGATTCCAATCCCTTTCATACCCACACTTTGGATGCTCAAAACCACCAGGGTAAAGATTTTCAACACCAAAGCAAAGACACTCACTTTATCGCTTTCTGCTCCTCACCTACTCTTCTTTTCCACCCCCTTTCCAACACCCCACTTCCTCGCTTCTTCACTTTTCTCCCACCCCACACCACGTATTAATCGCCACTCTTTTGTTTTCTGCACTTTTACTTTTTTTGCTCTTACGAATGACGACTTTACGTACCATTTCTTTCTTTGTCATAATATCACGAATTCAATCTGGGACATGCAACGAATCACATACGAATCACGACTCACGATCCATACGACCACGGATTCTTCCTCTCTTGCTTGTTTTTTATGCGAATGTATTTTCTACAGGCGTTTCCAAAGGACACCAACAAGCGATCTGAACATCAGATTCAGGTAGACTCGGGATAAATGGATATCAGAAATGGCGTACATGAATGAATGAATGGCCGGAAAAATATTCTTCGATATGATATTGCTGGAGGAAATGTACATGAAGCTTCTCTTCTTTTATCGATATTTTGTTTCACTGCTGCACTGCTGCATACTAAGTAACACCATTCGATATTTCGAATCCGTACCTAGTTAAATAATGAATAAATGAATGAATTAATGAAAAAATAAACTATCTCCCCTTGTATATCATAACTGTACAGACTTTTGTTTATCGCCAAGTCTCTGGGTATATGTACTTAAATTACAATTTCCTCTCATCCTCTCCCACCAACCCCTCCCTCCAAACATACTTCCTTCCAAGTAAGTTCCTACGAACAAATCGCCGCCGGAGTCCCCGCCCTCAAATCAGGGAAGATTCCATACTCCACCAACTTTGCCGCATCCCACTCATGGGCACCCTCCGTCTTGAAGTTCCAGAAAATCCATCCATTCGCCTTCGTCTCATAGCTCGCCAACTGCGCGCTCAGATAATTCTTCATATCCGTTTTGAACGCGTCGCTCCACGTCGTGATATCCGATTTGCCATCGCAGGAACCGACCTTTGAGGAACCGGGATATGTGCCGTCGTAGCGGGCGCCGACGCCGTAGCCGTTGAGCGCATAGGCGCAATCGGTCATGGCGGCGGTGAATTCGCCGACGACGACCCATTTGTCGGCGCCTGTGTAGGTGCCCGCGTTACTGCAGACGTAGTCGATGTGTTCGGTGGCGGACATGGCGACGAGGGAGTCGCTGAAGACTTGGTATTCGTGGTGGTCGACGACGACTGGAGAGTATTAGTATTCTGTATATGAGTGTGTGTAATTGAAAAGGAAGTTAGACATACCTCCATAAGCACTGTTATCATTTGAAGACAGGATGTTATTCCAGTTACTTGGTGCCAAGAACGCATCATGGATTACAACAATACTATCGGAAACAGCGCGGACTTGTCCATATCCATCTCTATAAAATTGTTCCAATACATCGAAATCGACTTTCCAGTTTGCCGGTTCGTTAAGTAATTCGATACCAACGACGACATCTTGATACTGTTTCTGAGCATATTTTTGGGTAATAGTGTTTAGAACAGAAAGTGTTTTATTAACCGAATCACCCTGTCCGAATGCCGGCGACGAAGTCTTGTGTCCAGAGTTATCGAATCCGTTTTGGGAAAGAGGAGCTCCGTGCAGGTCGATCCAAACTTTGAGACCGGCACCACGGGCCCAGTCGATGGCAGCATCCATATATGGGGCTGCACCTTGAGTATAAGGTTCATTGTCAGAGAGTTCATATGCCCAGTATCCTATTGGGATGCGGACTGTGTTAAAGCCGGCTTCGGCTATGTTTTGAAAGTCGTCGGCATTGCACCATGAATCCCACTGATTTCATGTAAGAGGTGTGATCTGAAAATGTGAGCAGTGAAACTTACATGAGGTTTGAGGATTGCTAGAGCTGCATCTGTGCCGAGTTTCTCTGTCAATGTATACCTGAGTTACTTGTTAGTATCCATCCCCGTGAAGTAATGAGATAAATTGAGACTTGAATATCAAAGCAATAGAGAGAAGGAAGAGATAAACTTACTCATCGACTATTCCCAAGGATTGATCGACTGCTTGAAAGATCGACGCTGTTTAAAAAATATCAATATCATTTACCACCAATCAACTTCAATAAGCATTTACTCACGTGTAATCCATGGTTCAAGTACAAGCCAGCCACCTATGTTAACTCCTCTAACGGGTGTTGACCCATATGCAAAGTCAACTCCTCTTTGGTAACTGCAAGAACAGTTAGTGAGAGATTATAGAAGCTGAAGTGTGAAAACTTACATTGGTTTCGAAGCTACCAAGGTAGCCGCGAGCAGGGTACCAACAGTATTGGTAAAGTACATTATGTATATGTAAAAAGCAGAATGTTTATTTGATATTCATCAAAGGAACGTGAAGTGGATATTCCTGAAACCGCGAAGGAAAGACGAAGATATATAAGTCAGGGAATGAGGGAAGGAAATGACTCTTCAATAGACTCTTCAATAGTATGTGAAGAACAAGAAATGATATTGAGATGAATCAGATGAACTTGACGACTGCCGCTCCTGTCCACTCTCCCCGCAGATTAACACTTAATTGCTGTATTGGGGGTAGTGCTTAAAAGCTACCGAAGCTCATGACAAGTTTGCAGTTCAAAAAGAAGACAAGAAGTGAAAATCCTATCCTTTTTCATTGAATCAAGGCAAATGAAAGAGTCGTGACCATATGGTCGATCATATAGACTCCGAGTCCCTGAGCCGTTTGTCATGTTGGCGAGGATAATAGCTCGGCCATTCGAAACAATGATGCTGGATAAATAGGTTACCCCGGTGAACTATGTGGTTTGTGGTGGCCAAGATCCATCATCTTGCATGAGGTTTTTGAAAGTTGTACAGTATATGTGAGCCTGACCCCGATTCAAAGTCTCCGAACAAGGAAGATTATGTTGTGGAGCTGGGGGATCTGCATTTCGCGTAGGGGTGTATGGGGCCGAGCGAGTGGTCACTGGTCAGGGGATCAGAGCAATGGACCAGTAATATTGTACTCCATAAGATTTATTACTAACAAGGATAATTATTTGTTGTTGGTCAAAGTTGGCGGGGACCTATTGCCAAGGGCCCTGCAGCTGAAGTTTCGAGAAAAGAGTCAGGGGGTGGCACGATACCAAAGGACTTTTTTTTAGTGATATCATGATTCATTAATACCGGTAGAGACTGACCAGTGACAACTGTACTGCAGTACTTACTCCTCGGTACAAAGCAAATCAGACATTCTGATCATCACTGCCATGCCAACTCAAAGATGTGTGATCTTACATAATTGCTAGCGGTGACTTTACCGTTGGCTGCACATGCCACACAAGTGCATGCATAACAATAGAGACTTTTTGCTTTGCTCTGGAACCGTCTCATCACGTATAGGACGACATTCCACTTTTCATTTTCCCGATGTTCACATATTTGTCTAATCCAACACGATTTCTAATTTTAAGAAATAACAATTAAAAAAAATAAAAAGTCTCAATCTCTATGAAGATTGACTACACTAGTGATCCAAAAGAGGTCAAGTAGGTATGAAAGTGACACCCTCACGGGTGATGAGAAAGTCAAAAGGAAAAAGTCTATCTAATGCACAAAATACGCACGCTCGAGGCACGTTCTTGACAAACTTTTGGAAGCCGAGGGTCAAAGCTACCTAAGGAATAATGTTGCCGTCGAAGCCCAAATTATGGGGTTTGTATCGTCACTAAAATATAAGGTGGCTTGCATGGTGGCTGAGCACTATTTCGGTCGGTTGAAAGGGGCTTCACACAAAGACAACCGGCAGGTAAAAAGGTTGATGAACACGATGTAACCTCTCCAGCAACCCTTTCTTTTTATCGATTTTCTATTTTGAAAGATCGAGCTCCTGTTAAAGAAAGAATTGGGGTCAATTTAAGGCCTTAATAGATAAGAAAGAGTACTGCTTATGGTGGAAGTGGTGGGGCCTCTCGATGGTGCGACAGCCACTACCATTAAGCACCGGACGAACTTTAGCAGAAACGACGACTCCAGGAACTAGGCACCAGAAAAGTTTGGTTCTGGATTGTTCGACAAGTTAAAGAAATACATTAAAGATCAGCCAGCTTCTGGGACGCACCTTGAGAGACGAGTAATAGTTTAGGGGTTATTGCCACCAGAATGAAATAAAGATCCCAGTCTTGGAACGTCTTTCAAATGCCTATGTACCCGCTGCCCATCCTTGGATGTAATTGTTGCTTTCACTCGGACGGAAAAATTTCAATCCGACACAATAAAATGGGGGCAAATGGGGGGCCCTTTGGGTTGAGATACTGAAAAGTTATGCGCTTCGCCACCTCGATATTTCCCCCAATACCCCCTCGCTAAAACATTGAGCATAATGAGAATATTTTTTAGATGAAAACAAAACTGTATTGGGTATTCCGTATGAACTTGTGGATAATCTGTTAAAATAGCCTCACTTCGTTGTATTCTTCTCAACTACTCCTCTCGCAAACTCCCCGAAAGTAATGCCCATTTCTGAGTCTACAATCTCGTCCAAATTAGGTTGAGTAAAGACGGCAATAGTATTTCTTGCAATTCTTCCTCCTTCGTTTTCACCATCTGCAATTCCTGGTCGCACACCTCTCACGTAGTGAGGAACTGCCTTGAATTTACCTTTAGTAATTCTTTCGAGGGCCTCTCCCGTTTGGAAAGCGATACAGTCTTTGGGAATTTTAACTTGAACAGTCTCGCCACTTCGAGATTGAATGTAAAGTCCTGCAGTTGGATCCGGAGATGCAGGAAGCTCCTTAAGAGGGCTAAGGGTAGTTGGACGATATGAGTAAGATACTGGAATCACGGGTGGATTGCGAGTCTCGTTGATGAACATAGCAGATGTGAGCCCAGTCAAACAGCCATGGTCCAGATGTGTTGCGCACCAATCATCGTCTAGAGCATCAGAAGAGTCCTTGGCTTCTGCCGGGAAGTAATGCAGCAATCGTGCTTTAGTTGTTGTTGAAGTTTTTACAACGTGCTCAAGATATCCAGGCTTGTAGTCTGGAATTTCCTTCTCTGCATACCTGTCACAAGCTTGAGCGACTAGTACTCCGGTGTCAATAATAATTCGACACAACCTCTCAAAGGTGTTTTTGAAACCAGGCAATACGCTGTCTCCAGGCCACAAATTTGGACTGAGATACTCAGGAAAATTTTCAGGTGAAAATTCAGGAGTAGGAATCGCACATGCTAAAGATGGGTCGACGTAAAAGGCACAATTCGCATAGTATGATCCTTTGAGTGTGTCCACTTGGCCATTCTTTAGAGTTTCTTTACCACGAGACCAGCCAGTAAGATATTTTGCAGCCGCGTTTTCGATTTTCTCTGCTAGACATTAGACCTTTTCCATTGCCTTTAAATGTAATCATGATACTGACCTAGTCTGGCTTCGGGCAAGTTTCCAAGATAAGACGAATATGAGAGTAGACTATGTCTTAACTCTACAAATGGCTCTGGAACATCTTTGACAAGTATAATGCCTAAAGACTCGGGGCCAAAAGCCTCTTCGAGTGTTGAGAAAGATACATTGCCTATAATGTTGAATTAGCTGAGGCAGGACAAACTTACATCACTCTGAGACATACCACTTTGTAAATCTTTTAAGCTTACTGTCACTGGAGAAGGTGCCATATTTATCAGGACAATCACAAATGTAGCTTTGAAGTATCCAAAATTTGAAAGAAAATTTGAAAGTGGGTGTGCTTGAGGTTTTATTATCCAAGGTGATGCCGTACAGTTAAAATAGGCAGGAGGGGAACTGCTGTGATATCTTGCCGATGATTAACCGAATTCGGCAGCGCCCGAATATCGCGAACCTCCGTCATTTGCTTCTTTACAAACACACGGGTAAGCAGCTCTTCATTTGTAAGTGAATACCACATCTCAACACAAGAATTATGGTCAAACCATTGTCTTTTAAAGGTGATAAGAAAACGAAGAAAAGAAAGCGCGTTGATACCGCTGAGAAGTTTGGGGATTCCGAAGCGACAGCCTCCCAAGCAATTGCAAAACCCCAGGAAGAAGACGACGCGCCAGATGATGATACCTGGGTGACGGCAGAAGCTGCAGCTGATGTAGTTGGGCCGGTGGTATTTGTTTTACCTTCAGATCCACCATCATGTATAGCCTGCGATACAAATGGAAAGGTATTTGCAAGTGCGCTGGAGAATATGATCGAGAACAATCCCACCACTGCCGAACCTCACGATGTAAGACAAGTATGGGTTGCCAACAAAGTAGCAGGTACGGAGACTTATAGTTTCAAAGGTCACCACGGAAAGTGTGTATAGCAATTCCTCTGCTGTAACATTGCAATGCTGATCAATCTTCAGGTATTTAAGTTGCGATAAATTCGGAATTCTATCAGCCAATACCGAAGCTGTGTCGCCCTTGGAATCCTTCTTATCGATTCCAACAGCCGATACTCCAGGTACATTTCAGATACAAACACTGCGAGATACGTTCTTGACGATAAAGCCACTTGCATCCGCAAAGGAGAATGCTTTGCCAGAGATCCGAGGAGATGCTGATGCAATCAATTTCAATACTACTTTACGAATTAGAATGCAAGCAAGATTCAAACCAAAATTGAAGGCTTCCAAAGAAGAAAGGGCCAGTCAGAAAATAAGCAGGAAGGAATTAGAAGATGCCGTTGGCCGAAGACTGGATGATGATGAGGTACGGAAACTCAAGAGAGCAAGGAAAGAAGGCGATTACCATGAGGCATTACTTTTGATCAAGGTAAAGAACAAGCATGATAAGTACAGCTGAGAAGTTAGCAACAAGCAGAGCTTGCAAATAAAGTCAATGGGAAACTTTACGGAAGGAGATATAATAACTGACAACGGTCGATACTTTTGATTCGACCAACTAGAAAATAAGACCAAGTTGCGCCACAGTAGCAAATCTACGATGAGTCTTGGAATCCGAGAAGTGGAACGAGGCAGCAATATACATAGAGACAGGATCATAGTTGGGCATTCTCGATCAAATTATCAAAATTCGATAGATCACGTGATGATAATAAATCAATATCAAATTTCTTCCCTTGCCTGTGAAAACATCGAATGGCATTTTAAAATTGTAGCTTATAAAGACTGTTAGTTGGTAACGAAAATTCCTGATTTATCCAAATTGAGTTCTCTTCGCCGGCGAGGGCTGAAAATCTTTTCCCTGAAAACTTTTCTCTCCAAAGTATAACCAAAACATTACATTCATACGTGCTTCAAAATGTACAGATTCTTCGCCTCAGATGTTTTCGAAGTCAAGGGTGCAGAGCCAATATATATCTACGATATTGTGCCAGTCGCAGCTGGACTCGCATCCATTTCATCAGATGACTGTTTACGGTTGCTAGATCCAACGGCTTTGAACGGCCAACCACTGAACACTATTAAGAAAGTCAATTCTGATGTTACATGTCTGAAGACTATCGGAAACGGCGATAGTTCTATTGTGGTCACGGCTGGAAGGGATGGAAAAGTGTGTTTGATTGACCCAAGGACTGCTGGAAAGGTCGGAGAGGTTCAGAGTGGTGAGATCATTTTTCTGAGGGATTTTTTACGTGGCTGGATTGGAGGAAATGATCTTCTCGAGTGAGAAGGTAGCATTTGATTTGGTACCTGATGGGAATCGTAAATATTACGAACAGATGTCCACACTATACGTCTTTGCGGTGGCTTTGCTGTTCACAGGAGTCCAAATATTCATGGAAGTATTCTGACGATCAAATAGACCAAGGCGCTCCGGTTCTATCTTTAGCATGCTCAAATACAAACGGCATCGCTGCTGGAACAGAATTAACGAATCACCAAGCAACTGTTTCAATTTGGTAGGCGTTCCCTGTTTTAATTACACAAAATGTTCAGTAGACTGATAGAAGTAGGGACGCAAGATCTTTAGCTGCTCCGATCGTACAGTACGTGGAAAGTCACAGTGACGATGTTACAGAGGTTTATTACATTCACACCAAATTGTGGGTGGTTTTGCTGATTTTTCCTCCAGCTACAATTTCATCCAACTCAACAATCACTTCTATTGTCTGGTTCTACGGATGGTCTCGTCAATATATATAATATCACCATCTCAGAAGAGGAAGAAGCCCTCCATCAGACAATCAACCATGGTCATTCAATACATCACGCCAACTTCCTGAGCGAAACCGATATCTTTGCTCTTTCACATGATGAAAAATTCTCTATGTACGAGCTAGTAACAAACCCAGAAGAGGGTGTTGAAGAGCCAGCTCCAGTGGTATATGGTGATATGAGAGAAAACCTTGGAGGCGAATATGTAGCAAACGTTCTATGCAGACCAGACGGAGGAGCTGTCTTAGGGACCGGACGTCATAGCAAGAATGATTTCGATTTGATACAATTGAAAAAGGGAAAGCCTTGGGTATTTGCTCCTGAGACGAAGGTTACACTTGATGGTGCTCATGGATCAGAGATCATCAGATCGTTTTGCTTCCTTGATTCGGTATGTCCTCCTTTCATAGTCCTTAAATCGTGTGGTATGTATACAAGCTAACAATTTCCGATTTGTAGCATAGAGCAGTATTGACTGCTGGTGAAGATGGACAAATCAAGTCATGGACGGGTGAGAACTGATATCCGGAAATATAGCAACTGCAAGACACCGGCATTCATGAGTTAAAAAATGTAAAAAAAATCTATGTATACATTGATCTTAATTTTGTTATAAATGAATAATATGTGATATGTTTGTCCGGCATAATATTTTAACTGTTTGGTTGAAATTTGACACAATCGTTAATCGTGGTTTTCGAGCTTCTTCGGTCGGAGCTTCCTGGCGCGGATTGCCGAAGATGACAGCTTTGAGATAGCAACCTAGCACTACAAAGCCCCGCCAATCTATACAATTGACCTCTTCATCCTGATTATTGGTCATGATCATGAAATCATGACCGGATTTTCTTTTGCTACTTCAAACCCGAAGTGAACGTTTATACGCAGAGGTTCTGACAAGATGAAGAGCCCGAGACAGCGGTTTATACTGCCATTATTCATTCGTAAGGTTTCGAACAATTCACAGAGAGCTTGAGAAATACTGACTTTGTTCCGTTATAGTTTTATGGCACTTCATTCTTCCAATATGTTATGCGCAGGCTCAGGAAGAAGAGCTAGCGACGTCTCTCACAGCAGAAGGGAGTCCAAAGCCGTCTATTCAAGCTCAACCGTCTGCAGCTCAAGAATCACATCGAGCGCCACCAATAAGGAATACAGCTGGTGAGGACCAAGTACATGAGACTCGAATTCGATGTTTGCTAACATAGTATAAGAAAATGAGTTAGTTGACAAAGCTTTACATTCCCTTCAACGTTACGAACGAACACATCCACGTTCCACCTCCAATCCTTCCGGAATTGTCAAAACTTTGACGCAATATGTCGTTGCAAGTCTTCCCAAATTGACTCAAGGGCCGCCACCGGATGGAAGGAGCCCGGCGCATAATCAAGCTCCAGGCCCAGTCGCAGAAGCAGTGCAACTTTTGGAGCAAGCAGCTCATGTCAATAACTCCGATGCTATCTATCTCCTGGCACAAATTAACTTCTACGGGAATTACTCATATCCCAAAGACTATAGCGAGGCATTCAGGAGATATCATCAATTGGCATCATTGGATGGAAACAGTTCGGCACAACATATGGTTGGATTCATGTATGCAACGGGAATTGGAGGAGCTGTTGCGCAGGACCAAGCAAAATCTTTGCTATACCATACCTTTGCCGCTGAAGGAGGAAGTATGAGATCTGCGATGACTCTTGCTTATCGACATCATAGTGGCATCGGTATGTCAAGAAATTGCGATTCGGGAATCAAATATTACAAGAAAGTGGCGGATAAAGCAATCGAATGGCATCGATCCGGACCACCAGGAGGTATGGCATATGTTCAGGATTCTTATCAACTTGCAGATGACGATGGAGGAGTCTATGGGGAAGGAGCAAGTTTTAGTAGCGCCGGACACAATGCAAAGGGCGGAGGACCAAGTTCAGATGCCCACGCCGCACTAGATGATGTTCTAGAATATCTCGATTTGATGTCTAGAAAAGGCGACTTCAAGGCAACTTTCAGCTTAGGACGCATTCATTACGATGGCCAAAAGGGACTTCCACGAAATTTGAAGAGTGCGAAATGGTATTTCACAAAGGTTGCCAAATTATATTGGACGAGAAATGGAAAGATCATCGAAAATGATAAACCGCAACTGGACAAAATTGCTGCCAAATCCGCAGGCTATCTTGGACGAATGTACCTCAGGGGGGAGAGTGTTGATCAGAGCTACGAAAAAGCCCAGACTTGGTTCGAACGCGGCATTAAAAATGGAGATGCTGGTTCTCAATATGGAATGGGTTTGATGTATCTTCATGGCCTAGGAGTACCCAAAAATTCCGTGTTAGCACAGCAATACTTCAAAGCTTCTGCCGATCAAGACTACGCGCCTGCTCAAGTTAACCTAGGAGCTATGTATCTAGATCAAGGTACTGATAATGATATCAAGGTTGCAAATCGATATTTCGAACTCGCTGCACGTTATGGTAATATTGAAGCTTATTACTACCTCGCCGAACTTATTGATCAGGGAGTTGGCCGGGACCGAAGTTGTAGTTTGGCAACTGCATACTACAAGAATGTTGCGGAGAAAGCAGAACCACTTCTGACGTCCTTCGCCGAAGCAAATAATGCATATGATCAAGGTGATCTCGAATTGGCTTTGATTGGTTATATGCATGCAGCTGAACAAGGATACGAAAAAGGGCAATCCAATGTTGCATATATCCTCGATGAACAAAAGTCGAAATTGACCATACCGTCCTGGCTAACCCTTGTATCCACCACTCGACCTAAATTATTACAGAATGCGGCACTTGCACTGCTTTATTGGACTAGAGCTTCTAAGCAAGCAAATACAGACGCTTTAGTTAAAATGGGTGATTATTATCTTAATGGTATCGGCACACCGGTAGATTTAGAGAAGGCTGCAGCTTGTTATACATCCGCATCTGAATTTCCTCAAAGTGCCCAAGCATTATACAATCTAGGCTGGATGCATGAGAATGGTGTTGGCCTTGATCAAGATTTCCATCTCGCAAAGAGATATTATGATCACGCTTTGGAGACGAATGAAGAGGCATATCTACCTGTAACTCTTAGTTTGTTAAAACTACGCATTAGAAGTGCATGGAATTCATTCACACATGGCAAAATAAATTCTATCATTGACGAACCAAGTAAGTTATCCACAATTTAAATGAAGGGAGCAGACTTTCTAACATATCAATAGCTCCTAAAAAACAATGGTCTCTAGCGGAATGGGTTAGCAATTTCTTGCAAGATGATCATCCATACTACGCCGATTACGACGCAGAAGATGCTTATGGTTCTGTCCATGACCCCATGCCAGGTGGTGATGCGGATGGACTTTATGATGACATCCTTGATGACGGCTTGGTGGAAAGTCTTATTATCATTGGCTTAGCAGCTGCACTAGTGTTCTTGATAGTATATAGACAACAGAGGCAGGAGGCGCATCGAAGAGGTGAAGCACCTGCGAATGCACAACAACAACCGGCGAATGGAGAGGTCCAAAATGGAGGACTGTTTCCACAACCAGGTGATGCGAATTTCAACGATTGGGTGGCGGGTGGTGTGGGACATTAAAAAACGGTGTGGGTGTTTGGATGGGGTTGTAATTAGGATTGTACTCATAAGGCATACGAATCTAAACGAAAAATATGATTTTAAATCTTGAGATAATGCTAGAAGTCTATAATTTAGCTTATATTCTTTATTGCTAGGTTACTTCTAGCACTTGCTACGATAGATTGACTTTTCAGATTTTCTGTTTCTCCTCGAGCTCTAAACCTCTATCTTTATGTCTTTTACTACTTACTATTAGATCTATCAAAAGGCATCTGAATACTTGCCAGCCCACACCAACAAACCCATAGGAGACTCCTCACTCACATCAATCCACACCTCACTCACCTTATTTTATTCATACTATAATCTCATCTCATCTCATCGCTACCACACTTTCCCGGTTGAACGACATGCCCTCCTTCTAAGAAAGAACATTAAGATATCAAAATAGCAAAACTTTAAGAGCGCGACGCTTTTCAACCCCAATGAACCAACATCTTCCTTTATCTACATAAATGTATATAGAGCTTATGTCACTGTCCGATCGTTGACCATCTAAATGCGAACGGAGAGGCGGAGAATCATTCTCGGAATAAGTGAACTCTACCACAACGTGGGGGTGCTTGGAGGAGAAGGAAGTGAGGTTGGGGGATGAGTTGATGAGAAGTGTTTGCATTGGGCTTGGACTTGGGTTTGCGATGGGGATTATGTATATTGTTTTGGGCTGCGCTATGAGGATTCTTCTGGGTTATATATCAATTCTTCACGTTTTTCTGATTTGCATATCATGAACATGCTGAGCTCTCTATATTTAACGTTGTGCTTTTTAATGCACCCACGTCTCTTTGTCAAAGACTGTCTATTTCATCCCAAAATTCATACGAGGATTGCGCCTATGATTCCAATGAGTGCCAACCCAGCAATGTTTTTACATCTCTGCATTTTTGTGGCAGTATGACATATGGTCAACTTGCCTATACTGATTGTAGGCCGAGAATTTTGAACGGTTGTCGATGAGTAGTAAAGTGATCGAAGTTTGCTTACATGCCTAGCTATTAGTAGGTATGAGAGTTAGATTTGGTTACTTGTCAACATGTCGATTTAATTGGTAGATTATAATGAAAAATACTCGAGGTTTAATCCCATCTGTCTTGAATGAAGCCATGTCTTGTATCACCGGCGTCTTCAGATTGCATTTTGACGTAGGTTTACCTAAATGAGCGCGATGCCTGCACTACAATACTTTTATTTGCAGTTAGCTATGTCACGATACCAATTGGATAGTAAGTTTAGAAGCGTTTGTTCCTGAAAATTAGACATTCAATAGTGGCATGGTAAATTCCGTTCGATAAATACTATGTAGTATCTTTCAGTATAAGAAAGATTCGAGGGGCAGGTTGCGGAGGCCAACCTTAGCACCATGAAATCTAAACCGCCATTCGTACATAAAAATATTGTGTTATCGCCCGAAGCACGACGACAGCAATAGATCTATTGGGGATTTAACCATCTATTCCACTCAATCCCACCGCCCATCAACCAGTTTAATATCGTGTACTGATTACCACCGGATAATTCATATGTCGTGATGTCTCGAACGTTGACATGTTTCGCCGTCATCCATCACCTACGGACATCCTCCCAGAAGATATCGTGCCGCCAATCCTCAACAATAGAACGCCGACCATGTAAGCCATAAATATTTCCCATGCGCCAACACCAATCTGAAATGCCCCGTACCAATGCCCATACCCATACCCACACTCATTTCTCATATATTAACCACTTCCATCTCCCCATGCTACCCCACGACTGGCTAATCCTGCAGTCGCCGCTTCAGGTGCTTCCCTCTTCAATTCTTCAACGACGACTCCCAAACCCTCAGCCTCTTCAACCAGCACGCGCCTTTCTTCTAACTGTATCCGTATATAATCCACTGTTTTTTTCAAGACTACGCTTTCGCTTCTTCCTTGACCTTCCAATCCAGGAACCAATTCTGCCAGTCGATCAAAGCCTTCGCGGATTGCTAGGCGACGTTTCTGTTCTACGAACAAGAATGTTCATTAGCTCCGGTAGATGAGATTGGCAAATATATTGCAATAGGCGCCCAAGAAGAAAGAACTATAGAATTACATACCAGAAGCAATATGATTAGCCTTCTTCTCATGTTCCGATAACCGCGGTTTCTCATCGGCTGGATTGATGCCATTCGCGGAATTGGTATTGGCTGAGGACTCGCCCGTGGGAGATGCAGACATTTTGGAGCGAATGAAATGCTTCTGCTAGAGCTTGTGTATTGACCGCTATTGTGTAGGTGTTATTAAAAGAGAGTCCGAAGGCATCGTAGAGTTGCTCCTTGGGGTGATGAGGGGTGTCGTATGAAATTGTGGCTGTCACATGGGAAATTGTGAGGTTAATACAAATATGGGAGCTTTGCTATTTTTGGATAAGTGCAGATCTCCTAGCGCTAATCTGTTCGCAACAATTCCCCAGTTCTCATCTCGTCGCATGTAAATCTACGCAATATCACTCAAACCATCCTGATGAAGTCTCATCAAGAGAAGAGCAGCTATTTTCTCACAAGAATATCTACGGGTGAGTATTCGTAATACGCTAGTTTTCACGTCGAACAGTTTATTGGCGCTGATGTTATTCTGTCCCACAGCATGCAGCAAGATAACCCTGTCGCTTCCTATCTTTGGACTCGTTTATTTTCACTGTCATCGCCGCAGGGCGAAGCGTGGGAATGATATCATGGCAAAGCTATCCATTGCGTTAATATGGCAGTTTTCGGGCTGGAGTTTCCTGAAAATGACAAGAAAAGACCGAATAAATTTATTCGAGCAAATATGGTTTCAGTCCCTTCTTTCCCCCTTTCTCTGATTTCTTTAATTCAAAATAAACTTCAGATGAGGAGCATAAGTATGGGAGTTATATTGTCCATATAGCTATATTCAACTTCAAGTGGCCAAACTATGAACTAGCATGTTAATTTCCTTCTGCATTTCCAAGCTCGATACACTGATGTCAAAACTCCCGCAAATCCTTATACAATGCTTGACGTGGGGATAGTAGTTACAACCCATACTTCCTTCGGAAACCGCAATTGTTGAGTAATAGCAGATTGTCACAATTTGTTTCATCAAACTTAACATGCGATTTTTTCCCATCAATTGGCGAGTGCACTCGGCCCAGAGAGGCTGGATACGAAGAGGCTTCGAACGCCTGGTTCTTTCCATAAAAGAAACTTCTTCAATCTGACGCAATAAAGGCATTACGCCCCCTTTTCGCAAACCAAGAATATCGAAGTCTGGAAATTCTTCTGTATTCTTGATGTTTGAGAATGCGAAGAATTTCTTAAAATCAACAATGGATTCGTCTGTTTCAAGAAGACTGAGCACTTCCATCAATGACCAAGCCGGGCCCTGAGGATGAGATAGGCGCTTCTTGGATACGATTAATGTATCCATAATAGAGGGCATTTGTGTTTTGTATTGTAGAAATGACATTCGTGCTTTGTAGTCTGAACCAGAAAGCATTGAACCAGAAAGCATGGAAACAAAATCCTGGCCACCGGACGTGTAATCGTCAAGAGACTGAACCTGGATGATATATTTCATGGCTATACAGGCAGCAAGTGGATGCCCATAAACTGATTTAGCAACATAGAGTAAGACATCAGAATTATTTAGGCCGAGAAAGTCTTCGGTGTCTTCATCTTCCAACGATCGAACCTCTTCTAAGACAGTTACAATATCATCAATCTCCATGTTGTTTAACTTGATAGTCTTGCAGCCGTCTCGCAGATGGATATTTGGATTTCTTGTTGTCAACAAGATGTTCTTTGCTTGTTCAGAAACGCCAGCGATAGGATTTTGACCAGATTTTTTCATCCCATCAATATGGTCAAGGATGAGCAGGGCACTTTCATTTTCTTCGTCACCCAACCATTTCTTGAATCTTTCAACCTTTTCATCGGAAGTGTTGTTCCTCCAAATGGCATACAGATCTCGGCCTTGGTAGTCTTGAAGCAAATATTCCTGGCCTACTTGCATTGCAAAATCAAGATATGCTTCTTTCAATGCCTCCATCATTTGCGTGCACAAAAAATATATTACATCGGTCTTTATTTTCACGAGCGATTTCTAGTACAGCTGTCGTCTTTCTATATTATCTTTTAGTTTTGTTATTAATCCTCAATGAGTGGTGAAGCTTACCCAATGCCCCCTATACCTGTTATTACAAGAGACGAATAATCTTTGCTGTCTGATGTTTCAACGAAATTGACCAAAGCATCCATATCTAATTGCCGACCTTGTATTTTTGGGTTTCGTCTTAAGCCCTTGCCTTCAAAAACTGATCGACTGATTAGCATCGTATATGTCGAACCTTGACTTGTATAGACAGACCGTTTTCTATGAACTCAGTAGAGATTCCCAGCCACTGTTCATTGCGGCATAGAGAGATGCCCAGAAACACTCTGGCGCTCAATCTTGAAACCAGTCGAAGTATCGTGTGGTATGGCTTGACGGTTACCTATTCATCTGTTGGAGTCTGTTAGAGCCATGGAAATACAAAAAAAAAACAATGTACTGACCTTCGTTGTGTAGAAAGTCGTATTGCAATGCGTGATTTAGCTCCTCCTGCATTGGAACAGTGACGGACCCTAGGTTCGGTGTCACTTTTTCCTACAAAGTTCGGAAGTGCAAGTTGTTTCTCAATATCACATCCATATTTGTATGGCGACCCGTGAGATTGTGGACATGAGCAAGAGTTGGACTTGCAATCGTACTTGGAAGGTTACGCAATTCATTTATATATTTTGCGGGAAGCACAAGTATCTCTGTATCGGCTCGGATGAATTTAAAGGTGGTGTGTTTGAACTAAATCAATCAGTTATGATGCTATATCTGTATAGGTCTCACTCACTCTATCATAGCCATCGTTCAGGACTCCTCCTGCGTGGCAAAAGAATCGAAAGTTGGTCACAAATTGCGGCTCAAGAAAGAAACGGCTTCCTACTAGCGGGACCTTTGCCGTCCTTAAATACTGAGCCAATGTTGATGCTGTGTAGAGAATCATGAAAACGATCGCTAAAGATAGCCGTTGGTGTTCTCGCCCTCGAGCTACTGTTTCATTGAAATTTATCATGTTGATCAAAATCACGCGCCACTCAATGTATCTTAGGATAGAAAATTCGTATATAGAAGAATTAAGCAGAATCCTTCTAAGATCAGGGACTACAAGCTATTTTCTGAAGCTACCAAAGGTACTACGGCCATCAACAAGGACCATTTTTTCACAACGCCCAAGGTAAGAAGAACCGGGCGGCATAGCACGAAATGGAGAAAATTCGCCGGAAATCTATAAATACCATATAGTATTCAAACTAAACGATCGATCAGAAACAAGAGAAGAAGGTGTGATCATGTGAGTCGTTAATTTCAAATACAAAAATGAATTGTTGAACTATATGCATGTAAGCAAATAAGCGAGATAGTGTGGTAGTGTTGTATTTACTGAGCCGCAATACAGGGATTCATGCGTCTTTATTCCGACCAATAGGATCCTTGTAAATGGCATTTGAGAACCGCTATCCAACTGTTACCAACTTCCGTAAACGGCTTAATGTGTCAGAGGTCACACTCTTAGCTTCAAACGGGACTATAAGAGTTCTGCATAATCTTTTCTCTGCCTTTCACTCCTCTGGAAATGTCTGCTCTGTAGATTTGCCCTCTCAACTCTTGCGGCGACGTCCTCAAAATTCTTGGATCATGGTTTCCACTATCCTATTCTCTACGGTTGCGGTCGTAAGTGCTTTCTTATTCTTCCAATATCGAAATCTGCAGCGACACATCGAAGAAGCCAAAAAGTCGGGCTTCAAGTATACCATTTCTCCGTAAGTTATACTTTAAATGTGACAAGATTGACTCGCTGATGAAGTTTGATTCAGAGTGTATTTTCAATCTATACCATGGATCATCCTCCAGAATATCTTTATACCATTCCTTTCCAGACTTCCCAGTCAGTGGACTCAGTCTTGGCTTCCACTCTCCAAATGGGGCGAGACCTGGCATGAAGGCTACGAGCCCTTCAGAAGGATGAATGATGATACGATAATGATAGTTTCCGCCGGGGGCAATATACTCTGGACATGCGATCCTGAAATTATCATGCAGGTGTCTACCCGACGCAACGATTTTGTCAAGCCAACTGAGATGCTTGATATCCTCAACATTTACGGGCCTACCATTACCGCCGCTGAAGGGGAAGAGCATCGCATTTTCAAAAAGGTCGCTTCGCCATCTTTCAATGACAAGAACTTTCAGTCTGTTTGGACAAGTACTATTGAGCAGACAGAAATGATGATGCAAAAATGGCTCAATAATGGTGGCTCTGTTTCCAACCTCAATGGCGATGCTGGAAAGCTCACTTTGCATGTCATCAGCAAGGTCTTCTTCGGGAAAACAATTAAGTGGACAGAGGACGATGCAAAGCCCAGTCCAGGGCATACTTTGACTTATGAACGCGCAATAAGTACTGTCTTCGAATACAATAGTACTATCTTTCTGACCCCTCGACCAATTCTCAGTAAGTCGATGTGATGTTCCTCCTTGAAAACATATGCTAAGTTGTGAAAGATTACTCCCCTTTGAAGATTCACAAAATTGCAAAGGAAGCCTTCGTGGAATGGCGAAAATATATGGAAGAGATGCGGGACAGTACCGCTGAACATCTTCAAACTCATGATCTGGAAGAGGATGGGACTCTTCTAGAACACTTCGTCAAAGCTGGTACTCCTGGACTTCGCAGTCCAGAGTTGTCAATCCCTGAGGCTGCGATTCTCGGCAACATTTTTATCTTCATTCTTGCTGGCCACGAAACTAGCGCCAATATCTTCACGTACGCGGTGATGCTGCTAGCATGCAGGCCGGACTTTCAATTATCTTTACAAGCCGATATTGATACCCTCGTTGGTGATCGGAAAGCAAGTCAGTGGTCCTACAAGGCGGACTTTTCTAAACTTATGAATGGCCATGTCGGAGCACTGATGAAAGAAACACTTCGACTTTACACCGTCCTTCCATTTCTACCCAAAGTCAACAAAACGAAAGAGCAGACGCTAAAAGTAGGCAACCAAACTCATATTTTGCCCCGCGATACGCTTGTGATGATCAATACAAGCGCCACCCATCGTAATCCCAAACACTGGTCAGAAATCCAGAAAACAGCTGGAGATGGGCCGCCGTACCCCTTGTCCGATTTTCACCCAGAACGCTGGCTTCAGTCATCGGACTCAAAGGCCACATACAATCCTCCGGAAGGAGCTTATGTTCCATTCGCTGAGGGCTATCGTTCTTGTCCAGGGCAAAGATTCGCTCAGGCAGAATTTTGCGCTGCTATTGCTCGATTGTTCAGCGAATTTAGCGTGGAACTGGCTTGCAAACCCGGAGAAGATCATGCGAGCACTCTTGAGAAGGTAGAGCAACAGATGTCAAATGGTACAGTGTTCGAGATGGGCTTGAAAATGAAAAAACCGGTGCCGTTGAAATTTGTGAAAAGGAAAGCTTAATTCTCGAGCCAATCCTTACTATCAAATCTATTGGAGAAGGTTCAAGGATGGGATTCTAGTTACATAGATATGTGTAGAATCAATATGTGAAATTTTCATCCACTTGCTTAGAATATGTTGACACCAAAATTGGTGTTTGGACATTGTATGACACCTCATAATGTTTGATGACACTTCACCTCAAAACTACCGTAGTAAATGCTCGTATCTATTACGGGGCTAGCAGACAGATCTCGAATATCAGATTATAAACAAGATGTAGCTTAAAGAGCTACAATATAGAGACTATGTAGGAACTATATATAGAGTTTTCAGAGCAAGCTAACCCCAATTAGGCGATAGCCCTTTTTCTGACAGGAAGACGGTCAGCCCCCGGCTGACCCCGTGACAGTACCCCAGCTGCGCGTCAAAATACAAGATCTTTGCAAATTATAGTGATTGGCGGGCTCACTGTTTTAAGTTGCACAGGCATCTCTGTGTCTGCGCAACTTGCAATGCGTACTTTGCTTTAGACGATGATTTGGATTTCACTGCAATAGTGGCAGCTGGTTTGCAAGATAGTGGCTTCAATCCTGATCTCATAGTTGAAAATCTCGTGTTCCGAAAATGTGATTCTCTACCTGGCTCTAATGAATACAAAACACCATAAACAAGCAGAATTAAGGCTACAGAGAGGCCAGGCACAGTACTGAACTGAAGGGGGCTACTTGCCTAATACCCAATTGCCAGGCTCGTCAGCGAAATTTCAACAGAAGAGACAAATCCATAGAACATGAGGATAGATGGCATGGTCCTTACCATTGTTCCATCACAGCTTGTCCTCGAGGGCCAGGCCATGGATTCAAGGACCAAGCTTTGCTGGATGGTCATCTAAAAAAAGCACACGGAAGTGAACACAACGAATAGTGAATAAACATATCGGGGTCGCAGCTGTTCGCGAAGTAGAATAATTTAAACCCTACAAAACGTTCGGAGAGCATTATGAGGACACAAAAGTTGTATGTACAAGCTTAACATAGCAAACTAAGGTTAAGCACTATCTAAACCACCAGCACATAGAGAATCCGTTATTACAACCACAAAGTTGTTATAACTATCCCATCATTTTCCTGAGATGTGTGTCTTTGAAGGTATGTGATCCTGCTGTACAAACCTTCTTCAACAAAAACCTCTTGGAGCTACTTAGCTCGAGTGCTATTATGAGCAATTTCCGTCACTATCTAGAAACAGCTCTCATCTATTCCCCATGTATTTGAAGATAACACTGGAAGTAATATTTAAGGTGAATCTTGTTGCAATTCGAGTGAATATTGGCACGTGGTCATGCACTAGCAAATTCCGCACGTATAATAAATCTCTCGCAAACCTGAGCTTCCGAAAAGCATGAACATTCAACTACACGGTCGAAATTCAGCTTTCAATCCCAAGTCCACATCACCACCAAGGTGATATCAACAAACATGAATCCCAACCATGGCGAAGATTTGCCTTTGGGCCCAAACTCTTTACCTATCATCGTACATGACCATACCTCAACTCCGACTGAGCTTCGACAAACTGCAAATTCAGGTCAACAAGATACAACTTTGCTAGGCAACAGCCACGATTCCCCTACCGAGAGTGTGCAACATCAGGAACAAGAACCAACTGCACAGAATGAAGCGGACGCCTCGATCAGTTCTTCGGAAGACGAGTCAATTATCGATGATACGTTCCAGAACCATAAACAAAAAGCGCAGCTCTGCGAACCCAGAGAGTTGACGGAATCAGCAAAGGAAAAATTACTCACGCAAGCTCAAACGGAAGTTTCGCAGAACAAAAGCAAGAAGATGGAAACCGCAGCTCTACATCCACCAAGCAAAGACACAACTACAGAACAGACTGAGAAACTTCAACAGATGGTCCAGGAATACATTAACCATAATCCGGTTCAGACGCAACAACAAGCAGTCAGTATGTATAAGCACCTCGTCGCTGCAGAGCTGAAGAAAGGCACGTATCCTGGTGGATTACCGGAGCAGGTGCAGAAGAGATTACAGATGCAAGCTCAGGCATGTGTGATCCAAAATATTAAGAATAGGTTCCAACAACAAAGTATGGAGTTTCGCCCCTTGAGTGGTCTGCAGTCTCCGTACATCTAGATTAGATTCGATACATCGACTTGCCAAACTTTTCTCATCTAGTATCGCTGCTTGGGATCGTGGCTATGGTTACGATGTATCTCAATACCGAATACGGAATCCGAGGACGACTGGCATCAACAAACACTAAGTTGGGACACATGATAGTTTGCAGGGGAGCTTCGATATTTCTAGGCGATGACATCATATTTATCTGAAGTAGGGGTAGCTTGTGCTACAGCCGACGTTGTGGAAGAGAGTTTGAGACAGGTTGCATAGCCACTGACTATACAATACTCTGTCAATATGGATTGAGGAACTTGTCGGCAAGAGTACTAAATGTCTCATTAGTACTCTTCCTTTGACTTGGGCTCATACATACAGTCAAATCAGTACATGAAGATATTTCAACATCAGAATACCAAGCACAATACATACTCAAACATCTACCAAAACACTCTCCCAAATTGCTAGTAAGAATTCGTATCTTGATATGACTGAAAAGTGACCAATAGTTCATTATCATCACCATAACATCATCAAGATAATAAAAAGACTTTGTAAAATATTAATGCTAATGCCTTTGTGAAGTGATGATTTTATAAAGTCACAACCCTGCTCGCAACACCAAAGATCCCCACCTAAAAACCCCTGTGCCATCCATCTCATCCACAAACCACAAGGCTGACGAAACCCTCCATTAAGGTTACCAAAACCCGCAATTCCATTCAGTTCATCCCTATAAAACCAAGTCAAATCCAATCCAATCCAATCTACCAGCAAACTCACAAACTCATAAATTCATTCCAACCTCCAGTTTCCCACCTCTTTTCCCACCTCTCACCCCATCCACCCCCAACCCCTCCCTCACTCACCATGCCCGACGAAAAATCCCAGTACACCCCCCTCTCCACCTCGGCGCCCAAATCTCCTCCCCAACCTACGAAACCGCCTCAACCCAACACGGCGCGCTCCCCGCCCGTCCAGCTTCCCAATCCATATCTACCGGCAAAGGACCGTTACCCCGGGGACCCTTTCCGCTCGACATTCCCCTTTTACAGGAATTAAAAGGAAAACGCATTATTCTCGCATCTGCGAGTCCGCGACGGAAACAAATATTAGCTACGGTATGTTTTTATTTTATCAAGTAATTAACAGATAGATAGATAGAAAGAAAGAAAGAAAGTAATAACATCAACTAACCTCCCCTCACAGATCGGTCTCACAAACCTCGAAATCATCCCGTCCCCCCTCCCCGAGAACCTCTCCAAAGAACACCTCGGCCCCTTCGACTACGTGCTGCAAACCGCCATCCAAAAAGCCCTCTCGGTATACACCCACTGTCTTGACAATTCCCTCGCCAGCATCCCAGACCCCTCCCTCATCATCGCCGCCGACACCGTCATCGTCACCAACTCCGGGGCTATTCTCGAGAAGCCCCGGTCCCAAGCGGATCACATCCGCATGCTACAGCGTCTCCGCGACGATAAATCGCACAAGGTCTTTACCGCCATTGCGGTGGTGGCTCCGCGCGACGACGCGCGGTATCCGGGGTATAATTGTGAGAATGAGGTGGTGGAGACCAAAGTGGTGTTTGATTCCGAGATTGGGGATGAGTTGATCGAGGCGTATGTGAAGACAAGGGAGGGAGTGGATAAGGCGGGGGGCTATGCGATCCAGGGGATGGGAGCGATGTTGGTGGAGAAGATAGAGGGCAGCTGGGATAACGTGGTGGGACTACCCATTCGCAATACGGTGGCGTTGATGGAGAAGGCGGTGTTTGATCAGGAGGATTTGGATCCAGAGGAGAATGAGGAGGGGATTGAGTAGAGGGGTTGGAGATGCAGATGCAGATTGCATGTGAAATAGGAGAGTGAAAAAGAGGAAATCATATATGACATGCACATACACGTGCACATGCAACGTCTACTCCAACTTACAGGTCAAAATTCAGGTTTCAAAGGGTTATACATATGTTACTAGGTAGTGTAAATAGCGCAGCAAAAGCTTATAGAAACTCATTCTCTGATATTACAAATACAAGACACAATTCAATCCAATCCAATCCAATATCCGATCCCATCCAAAATCCCATCCAAAATCCCATCCAACATCCAAGAACCACCCACCCCTGTTTTTCAATTCCGCCCCCAAAACACCCCCCTTTCCAAACACCTAATCTCCAAGCGAAACTCACACCATTCATTTCAACATTTACGCCTCTACAAGATATAAGATACAAGACAACAGAAACCCAATCAATAGATCTCTATCTCTAGAATGAATTACTTGATATCCATCTTTACACTCACTCACATTAAAACATGTAAAACTACTCAAAATATCATTATCCCCAAAGTTACAGATAGAAAAGCATCGTAATAGCATTGAAACTGTAACACTTTTCCAAAGATCTATCTAGGTCTTTCTCAATGAAGTTTATCGTTCTCGCATATTCCAATCGTTTGCGTGACTTAACGATTTCAATAGCGTCATATCATATCATCATCGCTCATACCCTCATTCCTCATATCCCATCACATCATCATGCCACCAAAGCTCTAGAAACCTAGAAACCCCATCCACGTTCCTCTCTCCTCTCCTCACGGTATTCATCTTCTCTCCCCTCCTCTCTCTCCCTCTCACCCCAACCACCTTCATTTCCATGATCTCCTCCACCGAATCCCATACCACCAAATCTCTCCGCCAATCCTCCGACTGCCTCACCAAATTCTCCACCACCACCACCACCACCATATTCGTGTCTTGGTGGTTCCTCAAATCTTTCACGTTCACCACCCCAACCACCATGCTCTTCTCTTTGTTGACCATATCCACCATAATCCTGACGAGGCTCCTCAAATCTCTCTCTGCGCTCCTCTCTCTGGGGAACATACTCTTGTGGTCTATCTCTATCCTCGTTGCTGTCATCACTTCCACGACGACTGTGATGCTTGTGATGCTTTCTGTGGCTCCTGCGACTATCACCACTATCACTACCAGATCTCTCTTCTCTGTGATGTTGCGCTTCATGATAGTGACGTCCATCAGCTGTTTCACCCTCGCGCCATGTTTCGGTCTCGACTCTACCATCAGAACGTTCGTAGATGCGTTCGTTGGTTTCTTCGTAACCTCCACCATGTTGAGGTCTTTGCTCGGTAATTTGTTCAAAGCCAGCTCCGTGGCCTCCTTGCTGACCATATTGTTGATATTCTGTTCGTCTGCCACCATCTGGAAATTGTTCTTGTGTATACTCGGCTTGAGCATAGCGATTGCCAGAGTGACCTACTTCAGTATAGCTCTGCTGGTAGTTACCTTGAGAGTTGTAACCTTCAGAAGAATATGATTCTTCTTTCCCTCCACCACCTAGAACTCCCGCTAAAAGGCTTCCACCAACACCTCCAGCGAGAGCACCAACAATACCACCAAAAGCGCCACCACCAACTGCTTCTCCAGCAAACTTGCCAATTCCGTCAGATGCTTGTCCACCAAATCCTGATGATCCACCGTTACCACCCATTGAAGAAGCAAGTCCACCCATAATTTCATTTGCCATTGGATTTGATGAAGACATCATAGGACCTTGCTTAGACATTTTAAGTGGTGCACCACATCCATGACCAGTATCATGAACACCTTCAAGATGATTTTCCCCGTTTTCAACTCCATCTCTGCTCAACTTTCTTCGGTATTCCTCTTGTTCGTCACCGTCCTTGTTGCGCCACCACTCCTCTACAACTCTGAACATAAGTTGACGACCATCAGATGCTCCATCGTCACCATAGTTGCGAAGAGCGGGATGATGGAAGACACCGTTAACGATACGATCAATTGTACGATCAGGATCAATGCGTTCATCGTCCCAACAAGAAATGAGTTGAGGGACAACCCACTTGAGAACTTGAGAAGCGATCCTACCAGCGCATTCGTTGAGGATCTAAAAACTATGTTAGTATCAATGATGGTTGTAGAATGGCTATTATATGCTTTCGTAAAGTTCGATGCCAAAGGCATCATACGACCTGAGGAAAGATGGTCTCGCGGATAACAACTGTAGTAAGGAAATGGTACTTACGTTAGAGAAATGATCCTTAGATAACATAGAATGTGTAGGATCAGTAGAATGGTCATCATGGAAGACAACCAATTGCTTGTCCTTACTGCTTTGGATAACCTCGGACGAACCTGTGTTCAATTCGGTCTTAATCTGACTAATGATTGGAAGAACGAATGGAGCAAGGAGAGAGAAGACAAAAATGTTGATTTGTTCTTCAATGTTCTCGATGAGATCTGGAAGGATAGGAATCTTTTCGATAGCTTCACGAATTGATTGCATAGTCTCGTCGTGCCATTGAATGATTGGATAAATTTCCTTGGCGACTTCTTGCATTTGGATTGTAAAAGCTTCTGGATCTTTTGGAGAGACTTCCTCTTGAGATTGTTGGGCGGCAGCAGCATTGGCTTGAAGTTCATCTGCTTTGCTAGCTTCATCTTTACCACCAAAGAGTCCGGAAGGAACTGAACTCAATAGGTCCTTCAGGACACTAGTATTGCCTTGGCTACCTTCCTGCATGGTTCCCTCAAGGGCTTGGATTTCGCTTTGAGTTGCTTTATCGTCGAATTCACCCATGACAGAGTGAAGGAAGTCAACACCACCAAAGGTACCAGTAATGAGTGGGTAAACTTCATGTTCAGCGCCTGGAAGCTCCATTCGAGTTCTTCTTCCAACATGTGGGAAAACATCACGTTCACCCATCTCGATAAGAGCAAGTTCGGTGTAATTGCTGTGAGCAGAAAAATCCTCCAGACAGTGTAGTCCAGTACCCATCAATCGAAGTGCCTCATATAAGTCGTCCTTGTTCTGATTTCTTCCATAGGATCTACCAAGTCGAATGGATTCACGGAAAAGCTTTCGGACATGTTCAGCAGATGACATGATTCCAACGTGTTCGTTTGCAATATAGTTCTTCATGCCAGTCTGGGGATCGATGGCGAGCTCAACTTCTTCATCGATTGGACCTCGAAGTCTAGGATCATATTCTGAAGCATCAAGGTTATCGGCATAATCTTTTGGGTTATCAATGTGATCTTCTGGTCGATAACAACCCAACCTTTGAGCTGTGACTTCGAATTCTCTTGTGCCATATCCGAAGGTCATAAATCCAAGAACCCAGAGTAAAATGCGAATAGCTTCGGCGGAGACATATTTGACGGTACCAACATCGATTGCTTGAGCTGAAGGTGGAAAGAAGATCAGTTTCCGATAACTGTGAGATTGAGGGGTGGATGAGGGGTGAGTTAGTTTGAGTTATGATGAAATTCTACATACAGTAATCTCTAAGCCAGTTACCAAAGTAAACTCTTGCTACCATCATTTTATCAAACTTCTTTCCACCACAAGCTCTTGACATCACAAGTGTAAGAAGGGTATCTTCAATATCTCCATGGCGCCCTGAATAACAAATTAGAAAGTGTCTTCTTGTACAGGCGGTATAGATATGAACTTACAGTTTATCCCTTCAATTTTTGAAACCGATGCAATATTTCCAGCGCCAAATGCATGAGCTGGATGTGCTAATAGTAGCAGGATCGCAAAGGATAGAAGCAGCGTCGAGCTGCTGAATGAAATCATATTGGCGATGATATATTCGAATAGTTGTTGAACTTATGGAGGGGTTCAAATCGAACACAGCAAGAACAACTAGAAATAACAAGAAAACCAAGTATGGTAGATTAGTGGACCAACCGATTGAAGGCTTTTTGAGGGGTCAAACTATCTTCAAATTTGGTGGGGTTTTGATACGATATTCGCTGTACGCCAAGTCAAGATGATCCAGTAAGATTGAATCTCGCACGAGAAAGGAATCAAAGGATGTTTTATGTTGGTCCTGCGGTCAGCTGTGAATGGGGGAGGTTTGTGTAGCAATGGAGGGGATTGATTGGAAAGTTTTTAGTCAGTGTAATGAATGTTATGACCTGATGGCGATCACTGATACACAGAACAGACAGGAGTGGCGCCGTCGTTGTCAAAGAGTACTTGAGTAACTTTACAAGCTTGCTGCGTGGAGGGATAGCTATGGTACCTGGGTATTTAGGTATGAAGGTAGTGAAGTGGAGAGGTTTAGATTTTGGTGTGGGGTGTTGATAAGGTTGGTTAGGTGCTTGTGGTAGGTACGTCCTTGAGCACTGGAGGTACCTGACTTATTAGGAATACCTATGTAATAAGTACGTAGGTAGGTCACAATAGAATTTGCTTTTGAAGGCCCAATTTAAAATGTCCAAGAAGTGAGGTTATCTTGAGTTTTGTACAATATGTACGCCTACCTACCTAGTACCTAGTTGTGAGTGAACATGTATGTGTTTTGAACCGTTGTAGAGCTTTCGATGGTTTTTATTAGGTGTCCTTTGTTAGTAGGTCTCCTTTTTTTGTAGGTGTGCCCAGGTGATGTATAACGTTCTGTTGAAGGTTGAATTCTTATCAAAAGTATGAATTCTTGGAGATTGGGGGTTACATGGGAACCTCCAACAGTGCTCCAATACCGAGGGAGGTTGGTGTGTAGCATGATTTACGATGATGGATGTGCGACAGCCAATACATGTCCATCCATAGAGTAGTGGTGGTGGTGGTGGTGGTGGTGGTGGTGGTGGTGGGAACAGTAAAGCAAATAAAACAATACAGCAAGAAATCTGAAATCTGAAATCTGAAATATTGAAAAGCAAAGGAAGCCAAACCAGATCAACCCCAATCACTAGAGGAGAGAGCACATGTGGTCATGTAATTAGGCTTAATATGGGTAGAGTAGGGTCCAGTAGGGTACAATAGGCCGGGTTATATCGTTATACGAGAATATCTTTAGTTATACCCTGTAATGCGCCCACAAAAGCCAATTTTCTGTTACCAAATACAAATTGGATCAGTTGAGTTGAAATCAATTTAATCATTCAGTCCAGTCCAGTCCAGTCCAGTTCAGTACTCAGAATCTGTATAGGTGCCTGCCTACCTAGTGCTCACACAATCTGTAGGAGAAAAAAAAAACAGACCAGAATTGACCACTGGCGACGACGCCCTTCAATAATCTCATCGTTCTATTTCAATCCAGAGAATGAAAAGTTTGAATATAAGTATGAATCGTATCATATTATAAATTTAGGGATTTTGTGAATGAATTTCTCGTTGAAGCCATTCTGAACCTCATTCTGATTAAACTCTTCTTCTCATATTTACCCCGAGTACCTTCTGGAATAGGTCAATGAATCTGTAGCACAAGATCACCGAAATCGGGACGGGGAAGAGGAACCTTTGAGGCTTCGTAGCGCCGAAATGTGTAGAGATCTATACCTAGCTAGGTACTAGATTAAATCAAAAAAGACCCCGTGGCCTCCCCCTATAAGGATGATACAGTGCCAATATAAGCAAACCGAATGAATCAGAATGACTGGGGAGAAGCAAAGAAAGTATATATTCAAGAATGAAGGAGACAGTCTGGAAAGCATCAAGTATTATCGATTGCATGCCTCGGTCGGTATAAGTCCTGTTGCACAGGAAGAACTCGTTACCAATATTGTTGAATATATAGAATATATAGCTTTTGATAAGAGCAAACAATGATGATTCGATTGACCTAGGTACTCAACAATAAGAGAAAGAGCCTGCTTTGAAATACTACACTCCTATCTTTCCATCTACTGCCTGCTACTGTTCTTCCAATAATTGTGTGCCCTCACTACCTACATACATACCTAATAGCAAAATAGATGAATCTTTCAGTGTTCAAGTTTAAAAATGGCGCGTGTTTTCTCTACCCCCTACACCCATAATATACCTAGTACTCTACTCTACTCTACATCCACAGTAGGAGAAGAGAAGAAGGAAAAAAAATAATCAGAAAATCAGAAAATCAGAAAATCAAAAAATCAAAAAATCAAAAAATCTTTTACTCGCCATGCCCCTCCCCTCCCCCCACCCCACTCATTCAATTATTCCTTTCCTCACTACTGTACCCTACTTTTCCCTACTTTTCCCTCGTTTCCTTCACTCACTCTCACAAACGAGTTGGTGCGGCCTTCCATAACCCCAGTGATCTTAGTGATCGGAAAGCCCATAATCCGCTTTTAAATAATTCACCTTCCCCCCTCCCCCCAAAACCCAAAAAAACCCCAAACATAATCCCTCAAAATTTACTTGCCTCTCATACTTCTCAGGCTTGGAATATCAGCAACGACAGCCTACAATCCAAACACACAACCTTCAACACACACATACATACCTACCTACCTACCTACATAACATATTAATCAGAAAATATTAAAAATGGCACGTCCAAAGAAGACTGAAGAAAAACCAAAGGAAGTTCCAGCTGGTGATGGAGCAACTTTACAAATCGATGTTGCAAGCTTTGTGAGAACTAGAGATACTGTAAGTTTCTCTTCTCTATTCGTCTTTTTTACATTCCTTGTTTCGAGCCATTCCATCTTCTTCATCGCATTCCTCCAATCTATCAACTACCCCCCCGCCATTACCTATATACATCATTCCCATCAACTATAGTTCAACAACTATAATCACTATATATTTGAATCATACAAATATCGCAATCGCACATTGACGCGACTCGATTGCACCTATTTTCACGTCCAAAATCCCAACTTCAAAATCCACCTCAAAGTCTTCTATCACGCGTCAATACTGTTTACATCGGATCAACTCTTTCGCGTTTCAATACAATGGCGACCCCACCAACCCGCCAGCAAATGGATTTAAATTTGTATCTTTGTGAGCAAACGCTAATGTGGTCAAAGTTTATCGGTGGTCTCGCGACTTTACAAGAAGCTATCTCAAGTGTTTCTTCCGCCTACATCAAACATACCAATGCTGTCCTCGGCGAACATGGCACCGGTTATACCATCGATACAGCTCTATCCAAGCTCGGCGATAATCCTCTCCTCGAAACTTTGGGTGCTCTTCAACGCGCTGCAAGTCCTATCATAGCGAAAGCTGTGGATACTGCCCCAGAGAAGAAGGAAAGAAAGAAGAGACAACATGATCCAAATGCGCCAAAGCGTCCTCTGACTCCATTCTTCCTCTATATGCAAACCGCTCGTCCTATTATCGCCAAAGACCTTGGGGATGTTCCCAAGGGAGAGGTTTCAAGTGAAGGTACAAAGAGATGGACTGATATGGCTCCTAAGGACAAAGCTGTAAGTTTTCTTATCCAAGCTCTTTTTTCCATGACTAATAGCATTTCAAGCTTTGGCAAGATGCCTACAAGGATAATCTCCGCCTCTACAATGCGCGCATGCACTCCTATCGCAGAGGTAACCTTACAGCTAAGGAAATGGGTGATGATGCTGCCGCAGCATACGCTGATGAGAACAACATTGGAGCAGATGCTTCTGCCGATGCTCAACTCGTAGGAGAAGCCACCGCTGGAGTTACAGCTACAGTTGAGGAAGAAGAAGATGCCGAAGGTGAACCTGAAGCGGAAGCCGAAGTTGAGAAATCACCAACTCCAGCTCCAAAGACCCCAAAAGCCAAGGGACGTAAATCAAAAGGCAAAGCCGATGTCGCGGAAGAAATCCCCGCTCCATCATCTGCTTCTATCGTTCCCCCTCAAAAAGAAGCAAGTCCAGCTAGAAAGCGTAAGCGCTCTGGCAAGAAAGCTGATGAGCCAGTTGTTGCTACTACTACTACTACTGCTGAGCAAGAAGAAGCACCAGCAACAGTTGAAACGCCTAAATCAGCACCAAAGTCTAGAAAGAAGAAGGCTAAGACTGATGCATAGATTAAGAAGATGGAATAAAGATAATCAATCATCATAACAAATATTAAGATCTTTTTCTTTCTGTAGTAAAAGATTCTAGCTACACAGGCGTGGCGTTGACATTTGATTTCTTTCTTTGCAATTGTGTTTAGGGAGGTCTTTTTTAACATAACATGCAATTATCGCTTTGGTTTCTTTCTTTTCCTTTTCATACACTTTTTTTCGTCATCGAATCGTTGATGGATATGGATATGGCTATGGATATGGATGCCTTACGTGAATTCTGTTTACTTTTGATTTGATCAATGGACATGGATGGAAGGACCTATAGGGTTACTTTACTTTAGCCGGTACAAGGCACACAATGGGTGGGTTGATTGATTGGTTGCAAGGTATTTCTTTTTTTGCTTGCCGTGAGAGAAGCAGGAGGATCAATTGAATTGCTTTCTTGGGATGTGAGTGAGAGAGCTGTGAGCTTTTGTGTGAATGGAGAGAAGATGTGATGGTAGAGCAGGGGAGGGGAGAAGATGAGAGGGCAAGGGAAGGGGGACAGGTTTTGCATTAGCTAGCTTTCTATCTATCTATGTTGTTAGTGGAATGGCATGGCATGAATCAATAGCAACTTTGATATCATACCTCTTCTGACGATGATGACGACGATGATGATGATGATGATGATGAAGGAATGTTCTTGATATTAGTAATACTGTTGTTCTTGTGAGATGTTGCTATTTTTGTGTGAGGGGCGAGGTGTAGGCGTAGGCGTAGGTGTAGGTGTTGAAATGAATGATAGGTATGTATTTATGAAGTTGCGATCGAAATTCTTGATTTGACTCTTTGAGGTGGTGTGGATCTTGGGATGTTGGGGTGTGGAGGATATGTAGGATAGGATATGTAGGATATCTCGCATTTGAGGTTGGATCGAATGGAATGGAGAGGTGGAAATGGGGGAGAGAGAATGGAGAGGCGGAGGGGAGGGGACCGAGGGGTTTTGGGAGAGGGGAGAATAGATGGATAGATGGGATGGGAGAGAATAGATATGGAGAGATAGTGATAGATAGATGGAGGAGTAGGAGTAGGAGTAGGAGGGAAGAAGGTGAATAGAGATGAGTAGGTATGGTTTGTTTAGATGATTGATTGATTGGATTGGGATTGGATTGGGATTTGGATAGATGGATGGGTATTAGGTGTTAGGGGAGGAAAGTTTGAGTTCTTGGATTCTGGATGCTGGGATGTTGGGATGTTGGGATGTTTTTCTTGTGGGCTTGGGAAGGAAGGGGCTGGAAGGGGCGTTGGAGAGGGGGAGGGGAGAAAGGGAGGGGAGAAAGGGAATAGATAGGATTTGATTTTATGTAATAGAATGGGATCGGATAGGATGAGTAGAGATAGGCGGGAAGAAGCAGGGAGAGGAAGAGAGAAGAAGGAAAGGAGAGAGAGGAGGGGTAAGAGACTTTGGGGTGAAAGAGAGGGAGGGAGATGGAGAAGAAGGTATGAGAAGGTATTGTGGGAGTGTATAGGAGAAGAGCGACAGAGGAAAGAAGAGGAGAGGAGGAAAGTTGAGGAATGGATATTTTGATGAAAGATTTCAATTTTCATGTATTTTTACGCATCTATTAGGAGAGGAGGGGGGAGGGAGGAGTATGATCTTTATTGTGAGAGGCTTGACTGGGTTAGGAGATGGTCGATATGGATTTGGAGATGGAGATGGAGATGGTAGGAGAGTTGGGATATGAAGTTTGGTTTGTGAGGTTTGTGAGGTTTGGAGAAATGTGGAATATGGAAATGAGAAGGAGTGGATATGTAGAAGTTGATATTGTGATGTTGTTGAGAGAATATATTTATAGGTATTATTTGGTTTGAATCCTAAGTATCATGAAGTTTGAAGGGAACTAAGGAGAGGATAGCTAGGCATATAGAGGATATTATTGTGAAGTTATTAACAATAAAGGGAGGGAAAGTGATAGAGGGATAAGAAGAGAGAAGAGAGGGTATAATCCATTTATAAAAAGATACAATATATAAACATTTTTCTTTTCTTAAGTAAGATACATCGTTCTTGAGATATGTACGAGAGCACTTTATCTACCTATGATGTAGTAGATAGCAATCGAAGATACATACATTATGATTCCATGAAGCTCGTGATATTCTAAGTGAACTAACTAAACTAATTAGATATCTTAAGATCTTAAAGGTAGATAGGTGTTTTCTGAATAGTAGATAGTAGATAGTAAATAGTAGGTAACAGATAATGGATAGTAGATAAGAAGTAGTAGGTAGTATTTAGGATATATATATATATATATATATATGTACTAGGTATGTATACCTGCATAAAACCCACCCACCCCTTATCCCGAAACTAGATACGCGAAGGAAGATCTAGTCTAGACTGGATCGATTCCGAACTTTAATATGCGAGACATACTACGTACAGAGAGGTATCTCGGAATTACCGAAGTTCGGTATCGTATATGAGTGTATAAATGTACTGGGAGATGATTTTGATGGAGGGAGAGGGGTTGTGAGGTAGGGGTATGGATCTGGTTGGATGCATGAGGTGGAGGGGAAGGGGGGGACGGTTGGATGCTTAAAGTGGTATCATACGAAAGGATTGATGGAGATAAAGTAACCTTATAGAAATGAAATAAAATGAAGAAATACTCAAGGTAACTCTGTAGAGGATTTCCTGGGGTTCTTGGGGTTCTTGGAGAAGGAAATTCAGGCACAGGTTGGTATGGATGTAGGTATAGATGAAGGTAGCATCTCAGTACCTTTTGTATGCCGCTCCCCTGTCCGCTTTAGATTTAGCTACTGAGCCGCACATTACATTACCACTAAGGTACAGTAAACGTCTCTCTTACCTATGAGTATTCCTTCAGCCTCAAAAATTAACTCTCAAGTCTCGGGCCGTTCTTAAACGGATCGGATCTAATCGTGATGAATGATCAACTTCATCAGTCGTCATTCGTTGGTCGTTACTTATAAATGAATATCTATTCATTCAACAATCTAGTACTCACAATAATTCTGTTGCCTACAATACCACGATACACTCAAACAACCCAAGAAACCCTACCGCGAAACATTCCCAGAAAAGCTGTCAAAACCCCTACGAAACTAACACGGAAGATATTTTAATCCACGATATAGTGGATTACACATCACAGAAGAGCCTATAACAAACCACCAATTTACAGCTTCATCCTTTCAGGGGTTTTCGTGGCGCTGTTTTGTTTTCAATGCACGCTAAGAGATATCAGTGACCAATTAGATGGGGTGAAGAGATGAACTCGCCCCGTTGTTTCCAAAGCTTTTTGATCCTGAGGAGTAATTTATTTTCCGCTCGTGGGAGCGATAGGGATGTGTGTGTGATTGAATCTTACACGATGTATGAAGGGAGTTGAAGGGAAAATGGTAAAGGAAATTGAAATGGATAACTCGGCCGATAGGGATGGGTAGAGAGGGTTGACTGTCCGCGAGAGAGGCTCTAGGATCCTTCTTTCATTTGAGAATTCGGTCGATGTTTGTATATATATGTTATGTACCTTTCTTTGCTTCTTCTCAGCGCCTCTTTCTTAATTATCAATCTGTCAGGATACGGGTTTTGATACACATTCTTTTGTTGAAGTTTTGTTCGTCGTTGTTTGAATTTGGGTTTGGGGATACTCCTCTTGAATAGCTTCTTCATACATTCTTTTGCAATAAAGCATCTTTACTTGTCACATTCTTTCTACGCTGTTGTTTTTCGCAATCATGCATCTTTCAGTCCTTACCGTTTTAGCTTCTTCAAGCCTTATCTCTGCAAGACATCTCCCTCTACACTCGCTTCAATCCGTTCGCAATGCAGGATTATCTGGTTGGTCTGTCCAGGCCTCTACTTGTCCGGCAGGCAGCACATCTTGTGGAGATACGGCGGCTGGTGCATGTTGTCCTTCGGGAATGTTTTGTGCTACACCTGCGAATTCGGAGGTTGCTGCTTGTTGTCCTTCTGGTATGATACATTTCTTTCAGTCTTTTTCTTTCTCGAACTGAGAGTTTGATTAAAATATAACAAATCTAATACCCAATAGCGGGAGAATGCAGGAGTGTAATTGAAGCAGTACCCAAATGTGCAGATGCCTCCTGGAATCTATGGGATGGATTGGATGGAAATGCCTTCTGTTGTGAAGTGGGACTTTTGGGAGCTTATGATCATATTTCTCACCGCGCGGGAACGTGTGTGGAGACTGTTGTCAAGCCTACTACTTCGGCGGTTTTGGTAAGTGGAGGTTATCCTGTGATTTGATTTGGAAGAGAGATATTGATATTTTTGTAGAGATCAACTGGAACAGGTTGTGCAGCAACATCTTCCTCCGTTGCTGCTACGAGCGCTATCTCTACTACTATTACTTCGGCTCAGAAAACATCAACAGTTGTTTCAGTGAAGAGCACCATTACTTCAGACGCTTCTGCTTCTGCTTCTGCTTCTGCTTCTGCTTCTGCTTCTGCTTCTGCTTCTGCTTCTGCTTCTAGTTCCGGTAATTTATCCTCATTATCCTTTCCCTTATATTTGATTCATCGAGTACTGATCGAAGTTTGAAAATCCAGCCCAAATTGTTAGTGAAAATGACTTAGCTGTCGCTGCTCCTGCTACGAAAGCTACATCTTCCAAGGCAATATCATCGACCAGTTCTAAGGTTGCATCAAGTGTAGTTGCAACCTCAAAATCTGCTTCTACATCTGCGATCGCAACCGCAGCCGCAGCGCCTACCGGAAAACCTGTGTAAGTATCACATCTGGTCATGCACTGACGTTTTTCTAATCTCTTTTTAGCTTCTTTCACTACATGATAGGAGGAATTAATGATACTCATTGTGAGCAGGATATAATTGATGCTATTGCATTAGGAGTCGATGCTTTTGCTCTCAATTTAGCCGTAACATTAGATTCTAGCCATTCATGGGCATTGAACGCTGTCAACTCCCTTTTCAAATACGCTCAAACTCATAACTTCAAACTCTTGTACTTATCACCCTTCCCACGAACAAAACCTCAACTAATTCTTACATAGTTTCTCCTTCGATATGACCGGATTCAACTCTCCTTCCCAATTCATCCCTATCCTCAAAACATACGTCACAAATAGCGCATACTATACCTATTCTGGACAACCCTTCGTCTCTACCTTCAATGGGGGCGCTTCATCTTTTACATTCGGTCAAGACAGCGTAAACGACGGCTGGAAAAACGAAGTCCAAGCAGTCATGGCCGCAGCCGGTCATCCCATCTATCTCATCCCCTCATTCCAAGACGTAGCGGCCACATCTTCCTTCTTCACCAAGTACCCAACACTAAACGGAACATTCAATTGGAATTCCTGGCCCACCTATACCGCTGGCGACTCCCCCGTTGACACCATCGACGACACCATCTATCAAAAAGCCGCCAAAGCCGCCGGAAAAGGATTCATGATGGGATTTCCCCGCTTCAATTCAAACACATCGACAGCACGCAAAACTGGTATCGCCGCGGCGAAGCAAATCTCGAAGTCCGCTTTGATCAAGTCCTCTCCGCCCAGCCCGATTTCATCGAATTCCAAACGTGGAACGATGCGGGTGAATCGCACTACATGGGGAATACGTGGCGGGAACCGCTGGTTTCGGATACTACTCCCGAGGCCCTCTCAAGCATCGCATATGATCACACGGGATATTGGCAGATTCTGAAGAGTTTTATCACAGTGTGGAAGGCGGGGAAGACGAGCACGCAGACGATGTATCCGACGAATGGGAAGGATGCCCAGGGACATTTTGGCATCATACGTTGTTGAAGAATGGAGATTGTTCGACGGATTCGTTGGGGTTGGGAAAACCGGATGGGATTGGAGGGGTCGAGGATAGTGTTACGGCGGTGGTGTTGGTGGCGAGTGGGGTTACGGGAATGAAAGGGAGTATTAGTGTGGGGGGAAAGGTTTTGGGGACGAAAAGTTTCGAGGCGGGTTTTAATACTATGGTTGTGTCGAATATTACGACGGGGGCGGTGAGCATGAGTGTGACGAATGCGGCGGGTACGGTTGTGGTTAGCGGGAAGGGACCGTTGGAGGTGGTGAATAAGGCGAATTTGTGTAACTATAACTTTCAGGTTGTAGGTTTGAGTTAGAGGTGTAGAGAGAAGGTATGGGGATTCCGGAAAGGTTTGCGGTGAGGTGAGGGATACAGTAGATTTAAGCGAGAGGAAGGTGTTTTTTATTCATGTATGATTTGGATATCTATCCGTTTAAAGGTTGTCATTCTTAGATGGTTGTAAAATTTTACAATCACACACGCAATTTATAAAATATTTTGTATCATTTTCAGCTGCTAACTTTTTGTAAGGCTATAACTACTTATTCATTAGAGAGTGTACAGAAGCCGACCAGTCGACTCCAGGGGGGTATCTAAAACCATTTCATCCATTTCATGCATCCTACGCAATAACATATCCGTCCACTAATCAATCCAGCTTTTCAATCTATATACACGACTCATCTCACCGTCCCTTCCTACCCCCTCAACCCCCTAATCCTCTCCTTCAAACTAACCTTCTCCTTCTCATCCACCTCAAACCCACTCTTTTCCATATCATTCACTCCCCCATCCACATTCGCACCCGCACCCCCCTTCTTCCTCCCCACCCACTTCTCCAACCTCATTTTCACCGCCACCACCGTGGTCCCAGTCGTAAACAAACTCGCCGCATTCATCGCCGCCCCAATCAACACCTGATCCGGCAAGCGTACCGTACACAAACTAATCCGCTGAATATCCACAAACCCCGTTACAAACGCCGCATTTGCCCCGGCCAACAAAACACTCAATACTATTCCCCTCAACAATTTCAATTTCTCTATTCCGGGGAGAAATTTCATCTCCAGCACAAACGCCAACATCGTCAAAACGAGCACACCGAATCCGAGAAGTCCGTGGAATGTGGTACCATGGGATGCGGAGCCGAGGAGAAGAATCCCGAGAATACCGCCGCCGAGAGAGAGAGGCAGGACGGCGAAGATCCAGATGCGGAAACGGGTCTTTGAGGCAGAAGCCCAGATGTGGGGGAGAGAAAGCATGGTTGCGATTTCGTGGCCGGAGGTGAGGAGGAGAGCGAGGGGGATGGCGAGGAAGTAGGCGAGGATGAGGAGGAATGCTAGTGGGGGTTAGATTCCATTTTCGCAAAAAGAAAAAGAGAGGGGAAAGAGAGAAGATATACATACCATGCGCTACAATCAAAATCGTCAACCGACTAATCCCAATCCCGTTCACCAAAGTCACTTGCGTCGCCGGATTAATCAAAAACTCATTTCCCTGACTCGTAACCGTAAATGTCGCATTAGGTAACATGACGCTTCCCCCCGTAGCTGGAATACTCCCACTTGCTTTTAGGCCCTGGAAAATCTCGACAAAACCCCCGATGCCTTGGCATGTGAGTGTATCGACTCCTTTTTGCAAAAGTACATCGAGAGAGGTGACGTTGACGCCGGTGAGGAGACCGCTGGTGATATCGGAGATGTTGAGATTTGTGGGGTCGTCGACGCGTTTGTGGAGGGCGGGGTTGAGTTTGGGGAATGGAGATGTTATGGGGGCGGATTTGCGGATGATGGAGGAGGAGGATCTGTAGGAGCGAGCTCGGATGGCTGGAGTAGAGAGATTGTTTGCGGGTGTTTCGGGAGAGGAGAACGATGCGGGAGTCGTGGTGTTGTTTCCAAGAGTGGTTGGTGTTAATGAACCGTTGGAAGAGAGCGACATACTCATTCCCAACATTTGCGCAATCAACGTCACACCCTGACCACCCAATCCCTGTCCAAAAGATGTTGCTACTCCACCCGTCGTATCATTGAAATCATCCGATTTGAAAATCGGCACTGCAGCTTGCATCATCACTTCAGAAGAATTGGCTCCATTGAGAATCGCCTGAAAACCTCCCATATTCGCAACACTTTGACCCGCACCATCGACAAGACCTCTTGCGAGACCCTCAGCTGCTTTCGAAACAGATATTTTTTGTAAAGCCGACATCATTGCCCCGGAAGAAGAATTCGACCCTCCACCAAGAAGCGCAGCCGCTTTCGCTTGAAGACGCGAAACCGTACCATTAGCTAGGAAATTACTCGTAAGGCCATATGAGAAATCTCTCGCAACCATCGCTACATCTCCACCCATGGGACTCTGTGCCGTCGAAGGATCCTGCAGGCCCAGACCCACGGCAGCACCTTGTCCAATACCACTACCCGCTCCTTGCGCTGCCGGGCCCAGCATAGCAGAAATATTAGTCATAGACATGGCACTCATAAGTTTCGATTGCAAGGACGAGAGCGTTCCATTTGCGAGGAAACTAGTCGTGAGTTCGTATGCAAAATTATGAGCCACTTCTGGCGCTGCAGCATCAGCTCCAGTACTAGGAGCCACAGCTGCATTAGAGAGCCCGAGACCTTGCGCTGCGCCGGCACCCAGTCCAGATCCAGCTCCTACAAGAGTAGGTCCAACCATACTGGTAAGATTGGATCCGGACATGGCTTGGGAAGTTAGCTTCTTGACATCGACGGCGCCAAGGAAGGAACTTGAGAGGGATTTGGTGAATCCGTATGCAATCTCATTAACGTTAAGACCTGAGCCTGTGGTGTTAGTTCCTGCAGCTGCGGCTGCGGCTCTCTTGAGTCGCATTCTCATGGTAGCCATATTCATTGGTAAATCAAGACCCTCAGCAGCACCTTCTCCCAATCCTATAATAACGTTAGCATGGTTCTACCCAAGGTGTCTTATATTCCGGACTGCAATCCACAGATTAAAATCTCTGGAATATTCGACTCATTTCAGATAGTGAAATAGCTTCAATCATTGTACGAATCCAAAATGATGAATATAGACGACTGAGAATAGCATTTTCAAAATCCCAAAATCAAAATCTGAAACTGGACTGCAGTCCAGACCATCGGGACCACCGATGCTGTCACAAAACCAAAAATAAACATACCTTTTCCCGCATTAACAACCGCAGATTGCAACATCCCACTCGGCAAACCCGTCATCAATTTCGACATATCGATATTCGAGAAAAGCGATTGAGTAAGCCCATTTCCAAGATTCCCAGCAATCAAAGGGATACCAGTCCCATTAGGCGCAACAACAGCTGATTTATTCAGACCCAATCCGCTGGCAGTTCCTCCTCCGAGACCCGTGCCTAGAGCGGAAGAAGCGGCTCCTGCACCAGCGAGGAATGAGGATGTGTTTAAAGTTCCCGTGAGAGCATTAGAAGCTCTATGATACTAATTAGCAAAACTTATCCTGATAAGTTTGATGTCTTCTGTTTTTAAGAGTACTTACCCGAATCCTAGATTTGCTGCGATAGCGTTGACGCCAGATGGCTTTTCTGCAGTGGTTTGTTTGACTCCATTATTAATTTTAAGACCAGTCGTAGCACCTCTTCCAACACCATCACCCAAGAATCCTGCCGGCGTGGCCAAAGAATCAGCAGTAACATCAAGAAGTTTTCCACCGAGTGTCTCGAAAATTCCCGTGAGGCCACCTCCTCCCGTAGCCGCTTTCGCTCCATCAGCGCCCGCTGCCCCTCCCGCTCCTCCTGCTGCGCCGCCTGTTAATATTGAAGCAAACCCATCGAAAAGTCCTCGAGTTTTCAAACTGTTCCCGCTCTGTGCTTGATGTGTATCCACAGCCAACTTATGCAAATCATTGCTCAGAGCTTGTAAAGAAGTAAGATGATGTTGTGCGCTTACTGCACCCAGAATATCCGCGGCCGCCTTGAGTACTGATGCAATATCTTCCCCTCCTTGCAATTGTCCAACATCCACAGTTTCGAGAGAAGCAAGACTGGAAGAAAACTGTGAGGTAGAATGATTATCGGTATAAAGAAGTGATCGAGCATGATATATTCCCCATGGCAATAGAGATAAGGTATTAAAGAATAGTAATAAAGAAGCGAAGATTACAAAAAGATTTCGCGTCCAGACGCGTTGCTGTGGTATATGATCAACATTTCCCATGATTAAATAAATGCAATAAAGATCAAGTCACCATGACTTTCCGAGAGAGAAAAAAGCAGAGAGGAAAAATAAAATCCAGAAAGGGTGAGAAAGGGAGGATGCCAGCCTGGGTATTAGAGGGATACCCAGGTGAAAAGGTCTGGGTGTTAGTGGCAAGTGAAGTCACTAAATATTCTGTATATGCACGTCAAAGTTGGCATGATTCTGATCTTCGGCAGCTGTACACGAGTTACTAAACTCGAATTGGAAACCGATTAATGGGCTTTGGTGATGTATAAAGCAATCGTTGTAATAAAATTGTCTTGACTAGATCCGCTGTGACTAGAGCTTGGATGGGGGCTGAAACGAAGACTGTTCAAGGTCCAAGGGGGTAAGGGGAACTATATAGCATATAACTAAAAGTATGACAGGTTGACTAAAAAGTTGAATGAACTATGCCATCTCGTTGGCCTGACTTTGTATCGAATTGGTTTCTGCTAAACGTTGAGCAAGGGGCAGTATTTGCCAGTATCACCCAGAATACATAGATGAGTTCTGCTTGTAGAACACGGGCTAATTCTTGCTGTGTTTTCACAAGAGTATAAGTTGACGGAAACAGACTTCCATTCCGACTATTCGTGTAAGATATTATAACTATTGAGTTTGTCCCAATACACTCCAGTCATGAATATACATGCAATCGATTGCCGTTCACAATCTCACACAAGGTGAAAATTTTCTTCACATGGGCAAAAATTCTGTTAAACATTGTCAACGTTGATTAAAGTTCCGCCGATATGTAATTATTTCCTCCACGTGGACATACTCTATACATTTTTCTTTCAGTTGGTGTTTTGCAACGTCCCCAGAAAGTTCTCGCAATAATGAGAGCATAACGAACAAAGCTCAAGGTTTAATACGAGAATCGATAGACTCTTTATTGGTAGGCGTCTAACAATAAATTGTTTCGATTTATGACGAAGTACGTGCCCTGGCACGGTTGAAGCATGAATCATAATTCGCTTCACCATTTGTTTCATCCGGGTAACTAGATACTCCGCGTTTGGTGACATCTAGATTTTTCTGATGCAGGGATTGTTGTTAATAGCTACCTAGGTATTTGAATGCGGGTTACGGGTAGTCAAGTCTACCAGTATCCGGAACAGGCGATAAGGTATTTTGTGGGCCATGGGAAAACCAATGTCGGCATTTGCAATTTCCATAAGTGTGTGTGCGAGCTTAAAAATGCGAGCAAGAACTCCGAAGTCCTTATTAGCCGGAGATTTGCATCGACTCTTCGTAGGTATAATAATATATACAGTGGCTGAGGGGAATAATTTGATATTACAACGTCTTTGTGTTCTTACATGCTCCCCATTTCTAGTGCCATTGACCAAAATAAAATTGTAAGGGTAGGGCATTGCGTAGATCGATTGAAAACAACCGAGGCTTCTCAGAATGTTAAGAGCCAGTAAAATAATCATGATATGAACCCCACATCTCTGGGTGTTGAGGTGCGTCGCCACCAACAGTTCCTAAACCAAATATGAATTCGTTCCAGTGTGCATTTGTATAACCATCCGGAATAGGTAGTGGGGACGTCATATTCGTGTCTATGGGGGTAGAACCCATGGGTATGGGAAGATCGAAGCCCATCGCCCCGTAGGTATTCTGCCCTATTGGGTCAACCTGCCCAATTGTAGAAGGTTGACGGTAGTTGTTATTTTCCGGCATGATCGGAGAGAATTCGGCACCTAAGTTGGGAGCTGGGCTGTACATATTAGAGTTGGAAATTGCCGTTGGAGTTGTTGATGCTTGGGAATCACTGAGACCTCTTTCTCGCCTTCTTGCTGCTCTTGCTCTTTTCAGTAAATTCTTCACTGGTCGCCAAATCATTCCATCTTTTGTATCTGCAACGTATTCACTCCATTTATTGTAATGGAATTCAATGACCTCCCAAGCTTGGTCAGCAAGAGTGCCAGTCGGTTCCGCACAAAGCTCAGCTAAAGCGACGGCGATCGCATGCCACGGCACATAGGTTTGAAAGAACCAGAGCCATCCCTTTGAAGGACCATGTTCCCACATTTCTTCCATCAAATTTAGGTACGCCATAGCTGTACGCAAGGATTGTCCTCGAGGAAGTACTCGATGTGTAGATTTCCTTCGCTGGAGTGGATATTGTGTCACCAACCATAATTTGAGCGATAATAGTCGTGATACCCGACAAAACCAGAAGAATCTCGGATCATTGGGATCAGCACCTGCGAGATAGGTTGATTCAACTTTATCAGTAAATCCTTTGATCATCTGCTCTTTTTGTTCTGTAGTCAAGACTGGCGCGTCTAGGCGCGTAGGTACGAAATTCATCCTCAATCCGATCCCGCTGACTGTCATCGTAATGCAAGCAAATGTCATACTGGTGAATCCCATCCGATCGACTGGTGAAGTTGTTGAGTTAACAGAGATATCCTCGTCGTTTATGTTGGCAGGCATCTTTGTATCAAAAGAGCCATCAGTGATCATTGTTTCTGTACCTCGATCTTCAGAAGCTCTCGTATCAAGTACGACCAATGACCACCATACTCTCCTTCGCATTTCCACATCGAAAGGTTGGTTACTGCCATCTCTGTGAAGCCCGATGCCACGGGCAAGGCGGACTGCAAGACCGATGAATGCCCATACAGATCGACTTCGATCATGAGAGCGCATAGCTGCCTGTGAAAGTATATAAATATCATCATCATCATCATCATCATCATCATAAAACCATCGTCAAAGACACTTGGAGAAGAACACTTACAATATACGTCATTAAAGCTTGTAAAGTAACAATTTCTACACTATTGAGAAAATCTGATTCTTGGAGAGCAATCTCTGTCGCAGTTTTGTATCGCGTCACTAAAATCTGCCTTTCTTCGTCTAAGAATTCAAGGCACTCTTCATTTGACATGCTCGTCACAGCAGCCAGGTACATAGAAAACGTGCTAGCCTCAAGACTTTTGAATTTGTGTCGGCCAGTATTTGGGTCTAATAACTCGGAACTTGAGTTTACCATAAGGTGTGATGTTGACTTGTGCACAGTGACGACCATTGGATGCACATTTTTCAAATAAAAATCGAACAAAATGTTGCGGTGCTCGACGGATGGATATGGAATTATGATATTCGAGGAAGTGACCTTGGAATCAAAGACAAATTGTGAAGGGTAATCATATTTGGATGCTGGCGAAGTTGCAGTTGATCCAGAATTTTCATCTTCATCGTCACTGGGGTTCTCGATGAGCTGTTTCAGTCCATCAATTTCTTCACTTAATCTTGTCCAAAATCCGTCATGAGTATAGATTGACTCGGTCTCTTGGCGTTTGATAAAATCAGCAAATTGATGATCCAAACGTCCTGGTACGAATCCAATCTCATGGGCATTGTCATTGAATTTTTGACTTGGAGACGTGAAAGAGCGATGAGGTCGCGGCCCTGACGATGGTGTATTTGACCGAACCTCGTCTTCTACCTGACCATCCTCTCCAAGAAGCTTTGTGGCATCAATTCTGCTCACCAAACTTTCGAGATGCGAGATTCTTTTTAATAGCTCAGCATCACGAGACTTTGGATTGCTTTGTCTGGGCCTAGGGTTTCGAATACGTGTAGGAAAAATACATTCAGTGCCAGATGCCTGATTATGTGTTATTCATTAGATATTCATAGACGCCCCCCCAAATTGAGGGACTGAAGGTTGGAAAACAAATTTCACTCACCTGACATGGGATACACGGGTTTGTTGTTTTATTGCATCTTATCTTACGTCTCCTACAATTTGTGCAACTAAGAATTTTCGGTGGTGGTGGTGGTGGTGTTGCTGCTGCTGCTGCTGTCGTTGTTGTTGGAGGTTGGGCGTTTGTGCTACTGCTGGCGGTAGAAACCACGGGGCTGTTCGGATTCATGATGTTGAAATATATGTTGAAATACTAAAAGAGTGGCACAGTTGTTGCCTATATCATAGACTTTGACCGAGCGACTCGTCTGAATGAATGAATTAATGATTGGTTGGTTGATTGATTGCTTGACCGACCAAATCAATTGATGGATAAAATGATTACCCGCAGAACTCTTTCAACACCACAAACTGGTAGCTCTACACTACAATAAGCATGACACGATGATTATGTATGGAATGGGAATCGGAGCGAGAATTGGATAAGGCTGAGTGAGTCAAACGAACTCTTTGTCCAAGATCTCATTTCGGAAAGAAAAAGGGTCCTTCTTGTTCACATGAAAAGCGTTTGCACGGTTGCACCCTTTTTAGCAAAAACCTTAAATTGTTGAAAACGTAGCCAGGATAGGTAGGAAATAATGTGAGGGAGACCGAGAGGGCGAGAGTATTAGTAATCCCATCTACCGTACGCGGCTTTGGCTGACAAATACTTTCGAATTCGAACCAATGGGAACGCTCCGCACGCTATGTGTGCCCTTACTTACCGGAGGGTTTTGAGCCCGACTACCGCTTGAGCTCATGGCCAAGAATGGCGTAGACAAAACCTTCCAGTACCATCCAAACACTATTAGGCTTGGATGGTATGATGATGCCACGGAAGATTGATAGATTGCCTCCTGTACGCTGTACAAGTTGCAGAACGTGGAGTGTAGAACGTGGAGTGTCGAATGTAGAACGTCGAATGTAGAACGTAGAACGTCGAATGTAGAACGTCGAATGCTCTCCATCTCCCAATTTCGGTAGCCAGGCACTCACAAGCACCTCCTTACGTGTCAAGTAGCAACATGTAAAAGATTCGACTGGAAATTCTCTCTTCTTCTATCTCCGCTGTTCCGATTCCCCGTGCTGCCGGTGCTTATATCCGAGTGCCGCACACACGGAGATAGATGATCCCTACAAGGGGGTAGCCAGGATACACAGCGATCGGCCTTTCTTATACACGGTGCCGATATATTACGAGTGCCACCAGGTGGTGTATCTGGGAGCCCAGGTGTAGCCTACACCTACCTAGGGACCTCCCGAAAACTCCGTGGATGAACCTTGATCATTCTCGACTGATTATTAACCCCCTAGTTTTCTATCCACAAAATGACATCTCCAGCAGCCTACCTGGGTATCTCGTGCTTCTTATGTCTGGCATTCGATACTGACGGCTGGATAGATTATTATTGCATGTGGATAAAGTCAAAATCTTTTCTCTCGTATCACGCAGGATGCAGCTTGCACGCCAATCTGGATTGAGGCTAGAGAAATATGCTTGAAGCCTTGGCTTATTAACATTATGCGTATGTTCTTACGATCCTTATCTCAGTTCAATCATCTTGTCTTCGTCCCGCAACATCCGTGTAGAAGCAGCAGAAGTCTTTCTTGTAGCTTCGGTGGAATTTCGAGTCTGTGGGAATATCCAAACAGGTGTCACAATTCGAGTCCTACATCAACAATTACTCGTGCAGTGTCTCTCCCATACAAACATCTATTCACCCACGCTATTCCTAGGGGAAGAACAAGCCCTCTGTAGATACTAATTTCAACAATTCGTTTGTTTACCCATTTTAATGTGAGACATACTTCCTGATAAAACCTGAAATAATCACAAGCTAACATTTCATTCTATCAGTATTCTCTCACACACTTGATTTATTTACAGTTGATTTGGGATTCAATTGTTTCAAAAGATTCACGAAATATCTGAGTAGTCAAACTCAACCTCCTACGCTCATTATTCTGCCACAAGGCGGCGAAAAGCCAAACGAGAAAGTTTTGTTGCATATCTGAAAATTCTACAAAAACACCAACCCTCCATCCTTCCAAATTGGGAAGAAAAGTTGTAGAAATACATCGACTGGGAATAAGAAGGCTTCTGTGGCCTTATTTCCGGTCGTGACTGATATCGGGTAAGTGAAAAGGCGTGTGCGCTTGGGCGAGTGAAGTCTGGATTATCACCAAAGACTCATTTGAAAATTCACTCAAATCATTATTTTTAGTCCTGCTTTCACCGCATCTTATAATCATTACTATGATATCAAATTAAATCCTATCAAACACTTGAACTCACAGGAAATCCGGCAGTAACACGGACGGCCGTGCCTGGGGTTCTTCACCACCTGCCCAATCTACTGCCGCAAAACCCGCTCGGAGCACGTGTTCTTCCAAAACGACTCATATGTCGCAGCAGCTCACGTCCATCTTCAAATGACTACCATCCCTCGAACGATCCAACGGTAATTTTCAGTCAGAACATATCTTGTGTGAGCACGGCTAATGTTACAACACTATCATCTCGAAAAAGCTCACAAGTCGTTGTTAACCATGTGATCAAGTTTCCTTTCGCGCACATCCAAGTCGTCGAGATGACGACCTGGAGTGTGTGAACACAAGATCCCGTTGGTTCTTTCTCATTATCCAGCGTGGTGGATTCCATCTTGAGATAATTCTTGAATGTGCGTTTTGCAGCGGCACCATATGATGCAGATAAGTCTTTGAACACATACTCGAGTAGAACGTCAAGCTTTCGTAGATGCCAAACAACGTACACGGCCATACTACCTATGCCAGCTCCGACTTCCAATTCATGAAAATTGCCCGGTCTGTCAGGATTTGCCATGGCTTTCTCAAGGGACTTGCCTAACGTAATGGTACCGGAGCGCATAAGAGGCCAGCTTTTGTGGTGGTCACCAAGAGTCTATATTTTTATTACCAAAGACAATTGGAAGTCATCCTTCTCGTCAGTTAAATACTCGGCTAGATATTTTCCGACGACCCTAGCCACTTTACAAAAACTGCCATGAAGTGAGAATTCTGGTAGATTACTTTCGTAGATAATCCAAGCGGGTGTAAGATCTATAGGTTTCGACGTGGGAATGAATTGATCTTGTTCGTCGACGGTAATGAGACCACCATCTTCTAACACTCAATGACGTTGGCGCACAAGGTGCTTGTGCTTGGACATGTGTGGGACGATGTAAAGATATTTCCGATAGACGTATCGCTGCTCAATTTCGCAAATGCCTCAACGACACAGGCTAGAACTAGGGTCTCCTTGCAAGGGGAGCATCTCTTCCAAAACCTCACGACTTTAGCTTCAAAGGAAGCTTTTTCGTAGGCATCCTCGTTGTCCGCGAAGAGCTTTTCAACGTGCTGGAAGAATGATCTCGAGTCGCCCTCTAAAATAGCAGGAGTCCTGCTGACTTAGCTAACATAGCTCATTTTTGCTTCGGTCCGAGCAGGAGCTTCACTAGGTGCGCCCGGAATGGCTCCTAAAGCAAAATCGATATGACGACATACAGCTTTGACATTTTGGAGAGACAAGAATGTGTCGAGGGCAATCTCAAGTCCGAAAGAAAGTTGGGTCTTGTTAAAGCCCTTGGTCACTAAGAGAGAATCGATACCAATTTCTTCGAGCGTTGAGTCACGAGCGATCTCATCCAATAGAGGACTTGTGAGATTGTGCAAGACTTCCGAGATTTTCGGTATTCAACTAGACTGTGCAGGCGTTCCAGAAGTTATGGTTGCGGCTGCAAGTAATTTGGGAGCCGTGGCTCCTGAAGGTTTTGGTATGGAATCCTTTCATTCATATTGGACCCATATTGATGACGTGTTTTTGAAGCGTGCGAAATCTGTTAGCATTATTGTGGCGCGGAAAGCAAGTCGAGATATAGAGATACAGGTAAGAGGGCCTCATCAAATACCACGGCACCAATATAGCAGCCATAGTCATGGGGTTATTTGTGGTCAGCGGAACCGAAATGACCTGTGGATTTTAGGGCTTTGTTAACGACTTCGCGTGAAAGCCTTTCTTCAGGGTTCCAGAAGACGACTTTGCGCCCGAATTCTTCACAAATCAATGGCCAAGACTTTCGGGGTCATCAATAGAATTTCTCCAGAATTTAGCATTGACGTGATCGGCCAATCTGTGGATAGCAATGTTCAAACCATCAGATTGACTTTCATGACCACAGGGATGTCGTGAGATCCCGAAATCCACCAACGTCGGCCACGCTGAGACAATGACACGAGATTATCCCCACTGAAAGTGAATAAGGTCAGATATCTTTCTGAGCTGTTCAGGTAATGCGTGCACAGCTTTCTTTGCATATGCACGCAAAATATCTAATCTCAACGACCCATGATGACATGCAAGCATTAGCGAGTGGATCTATCTTTTTTGAACGTGTAGCGAGTCTAAAGAGGTGATTCTATCATAACAAGGAGGTTAGAATCGCTTGTGTGTGGGTATTCATAAGCGAATATTAGATAAGAATCGAATGACAGGGTGGAGAGCGCACCGTCAGTCCTGGCCTAGTCTACTGAACGGTGACTGATTCAAACTCATCAAGGGACCGCAGCAGCTTTTGTTCCAGCTTGGCTCAGCGACATCATGACTACCATGCATGTCTTTACGGCAATCATGCGAATTCAGGAGGCACGGAGTAGACTAATTAGGCTATTATCGCTTCAGAAGGCAATCATAAGCAAAGGATTTCAATCAATTGCTGTTCAAACAAGCTTTCTTGCTGAGCCTTCTAGATAAAGCAATCTGCATATCCAAGGTATACCGTAATCCTATTGGAAATCAACCCTCCCCGCATAACGCTAGAAACAGGTATTTCCTATCTGGGAGCTAATCGAAGGATGACCGGCTTTTATACAAGAGTTTACGACTAATGACGGACTCCAATTCACATAGACCTCGGAGAAGGAGTTTCAAAAAGTCCGATCCCTGTCAATTACCTGCTGACTGCAGATCTCGAATCGGACTTTTTAAAGCTATCCTTCTATTCCAATAACGCTAACGCGGGGTTCACCAGTTCTTTGACATGGTTTTGGAGATTCACTTTACGTTCAACGTCTTCAGAGAAGCGTTCTGGACATTGATACTTACTGAGGTCATTGCATCTTAGGAAAGGTTGGCTGACGTCGAATGATATGCGTGATCAAGAATAGAGCTGTCTGATTAATCATGATCTATGAACTTTAACGTAGTAGTCGGGCTGTCCCATATCGTGGTCGTTGACACTCCACTTGAAAGTCGAAAATCAAAAAGTATTGGCCGTACTTCAAAGGGAACAGTTTAACCGGTGAAAGTATAGCGCTAGGTCAACACATACACATCTACTATAAACATTGCGCATACTCAAATTGTTTAGCGAACAGATTATGTTAGATTAGGTGCAATAGGTAGATCATCGGTTTTTAGTATCTACACGCCGCTTATACCCGTCTGTACATACACAAACTCATACCTGCCGCAAAGATCTACTAGTAATCACTAGAAACAACAAGGTCAGGCTATCAAAACTCGGGAATAACAGCCAACGATTAGCTAGCTATGGAAATAATCCATCGGATTCCCTAAATGGGATTAACTCGAACAGAATCGAGTCTGGATTCGCAAGGGGGCTGTCACACTTCTCGGGGTATAAAACTCGTCTGGCTGTGCATATATATATGTATGTATCCTTATGCTTTTTAATATCTACACTCGTGGTTTATTGCTGTATCTAACTGAGGATACTACTCGTCTCTGACTTGCTTCATTCCAATCGTCTAACATATTTCATTCCAATCTTCTACCTCTACTTTCCCAGCTTCTTGCCCCAGCAGATCAAAGTCCAACCTCCAGCTTCCCACTATTTCCCCAATTCATCTCTCCAAGCATGCCCGCCAACACATGCGTCAAGCGCGCTCTCAGCGTCATGGAAAAAGATCCCTCCAAAATCCTAAGCGTCACCTACAACGGCACCACCATCACACCCAAACAATACCTCCCCCGATCCGGTAAAATCCCCACTCTCCACTCCCAGTACCCCAAACCCAAACCCAAACCCAAACTCCTAACCCTCCCCCTACAGAAGCTCAAACCGCCCCCTCCCTCTCCCTCTCAACTCCCCCTTCCACCTCCACCCCCACCCCAACCTACCTCCTCATCATGCTCGATCTCGACGCGCCCTTCCCCTCCCTCCCCCTCCTCGGTCCCATCCTCCACTGGATCCAACCCGGCTACACCGCCACCCCCAGCGGTCTCCTATCCACCAACGAGCCCTTTGTAGCGAATTATATCGGTCCTGCTCCTCCTCCAGGTAGTGCTCCACATCGATATTCCTCCTACTTATTTGAACAGCCAGAGGATTTCGATGGCGGGAAATACGCACCAGCTGCGGGGAAACCGCTGAGTAATTGGTACCGCATGCGCTTCGATTTGGATGGGTGGCAGAAGATGGTGGGGCTGGGGGAACCCGTTGCTGTGAATTGGTTTTTGAGTAATTAGACGGGTTGGTTTGGAAGGGGGTTGGAGTTTGTTGTAGACAAAGCGTGCGATTGCACCCAGTGGAGAGACAGAGAGAGGTATGCATTCTGTCCCTCATCACAGGAATGTAGCAGGAAGATACCTACGCGATAACAGGGATATGTGAGGAACTCATCATCAACTCTGTTGAATTCTCAATGAGAACTGAATTTTGAAATATCGATCCATCTCATTTCCATCTATCTATTTCCCATCTGCAACCTCGACTCGAGTCTCATCTTCACCAATATCATTACACGTCTTCATTACTTCCGCCTTACAAAACATGCACATGTATGTTTCCAGCAACCCTTGACTTCCTCCTATATCTTACATGCAAGGAGAAAAATCAGCTCCATCTTCTCACATCATGAGTAGACCCACACAGTATAACCGCTCCCGCCCCTGAATCCCCGCTAAATATACCCCGTGAGAATTCGTCCATCATCGCATCCATCGTATGCTACTACCTCATAACCCAGCTACAAATCACAGCACCTATTTATCCCCGATCGATCACTCTGAAACATCTACAGAAGTAGAGAATGCAAGATCATCCTACGATGAGAACACCAGTCGCAGAGATACGTTTCGCCGCCGTGTCGGTGCAGGAGATATTGCTGCAAACAGCGTCGCGTTCAATTCAAGCCCTGCCGACAGAAGTTCCGGTAGCGAATTGGGTGCACGGCCAAGTTCCCATGAATAGAGATCAGTGGTCCACTTGGAGACCCAGGAGAGAACGGACGAACTTCCCATTGACGAGAATGACTACTACTAAATCTACTCTTTCCCACAATCATGGGATGAAGTCTCGAATAGACTATAGAAACTCCTTCACCCAAGTGAATTACAGGGATGGACACCGTATTTGCGAAGAAAACATAACGGCAACCACAATGTTATCAGTGGAAAACAAAATGTGTAACTATCATTAGAGCTAAATACTATCCTTCCAAGCACCCCTTAGACACGAACCCTTCACTTCACATGAACAGGCCCTATTTCTGTCCCTTGATTGCCATAAAATAATCCCTCTAATACACATAAGCATTTTGACCCAGAGGCAGCCAGTCCGCCGCCTCACAAACAATATGTACACCATCTGCCTCAACTCTATAATTTTCCGGATCGACCTTCATCTTCGGCATCTGATCATTGAACTTCATATCCTTCTTTCCAACTATTCTACAATTCTTCACCGCCTCTACGCGACTTTTCAAACCATATGTTGCGATCGTACCCGAAGAAATTGAAGATTCAGAGACGAAGAGAATAGATGTAGAAGGGACTAGGGGTGCAAACATAGGGCGACAGATGATGGGTTGGACTGTCGGGATGGAAGCGTTAGGATCACCCTAAAAGTTTGATTAGCAAAGGATTCGAGAGAACATGGGTGGAGGATGATCTACCATTTGAGCGTAAGCGATCATACCACTCTTGATAATTGTAGTAGGTTTAGTTCCAAACCAAGCTGGATCCCAAACGACCAGATCTGCGAGCTTTCCCACTTCCACACTGCCAATAACATGTCCCATACCTTGAGCAAGCGCCGGATTAATCGTATACTTGCTAATATATCTCTTAACTCTGAAATTATCTGCTCCGGTGCCCAAATCTTCTCCGAGTGCACCACGTTGAACTTTATTTTTGTGGGCCGTATTCCATGTTCTCATGATGACTTCTCCACAACGACCCATTGCTTGGGAATCAGAAGACATCATACTGATTGCTCCTAAATCATGGAGGATATCTTCGGCCGCAATCGTCTCGGCACGAATTCGTGATTCTGCAAAAGCAACATCTTCAGGAATATTTTTGGAAAGATGATGACAAACCATAAGCATGTCTAGATGCTCATCGAGTGTATTTCTAGTGTAAGGTCTTGTAGGATTGGTAGAAGAAGGGAGGACATTCGCATGCTCTACAACACTAATGATATCAGGTGCATGGCCACCGCCAGCTCCTTCTGTATGATAAGTGTGAATAGCACGATTTTTGAATGCAGCAATCGTAGATTCAACAAAGCCTGATTCGTTTAGAGTATCGGTATGAATCAAACATTGAATATCGAGTTCATCGCAAACCGTGAGACAAGAATCAATAGCCGAAGGTGTGGTGCCCCAATCTTCATGTAATTTGAGTCCACAAGCTCCAGCAATAACTTGCTCACGGAGTGCAGCAGGATCACTGTCATTTCCTTTGCCTGTTATTCCAACATTCATTGGCATGGTATCACAAGCTTGAAGCATTTGTCGCATATAATTCTTTCCAGGTGTGCAGGTTGTAGCACTAGTTCCAGCGCTATTTACATATTAGATAGCATATAGCAAAAGTTTTTATTTTACTTACCTTGGACCTGTTCCGCCTCCTAGCATCGTAGTAATACCGGATGACATAGCTTCTTGGACTTGTTGAGGGCAGATGAAGTGAATATGAGTGTCGAAGCCACCGGCAGTAATAATTTTGCCTTCCCCAGCAATAACATCTGTACATGATCCAACAATCATATTTGGACTAACGCCATCCATCACATCTGGGTTACCAGCTTTACCAATACCTACTATTGTACCGTTCTTGACACCAATATCGGCTTTATAAATACCAGTCCAATCAACAATCAAAGCATTAACAATAACGAGATCCAGTGATATATCATCAGATATACCTGTAGCCTGGCCCATACCTTCTCGTAGAGTTTTACCACCACCAAACTTACATTCATCGCCATAATATGTCAAATCCTTTTCAACCTTGATCCAAAGATCAGTATTACCTAGACGAATAGTGTCACCTACAGTTGGTCCGAACATCGTTGCGTATGCTGTTCTATCCATTTCAAATGCATCAATATATGCAGCATCTCCACTTGGGTCTGGGGTATGCGCGAATCCGGCCTCTTGAAGATTGACTAGAATTTCTTCCACTCGTGTAATATCTACTTTGCCAGTAGCAACGTGATTTCCACCTCGGATGACTCTGTTGCCACCAATTTCTACTAGTCCTACGGTTTTAGTATCTCCAGGTTCGAATCTAACAGATGTACCGGCTGGAATATCGAGTCTGTAACCATATGCTTTGATCCGATCGAAATCGAGTTGTGGATTTGTCTCAATGAAATGATAATGAGATCCAATCTGCAAATGTGAGCAAGTGATCACCACTGTGAAATCTTAGACTCACTTGTATTGGTCTATCCCCCTTACTTGTCACTCTCAATTTTATCCTCTTTCTCCCTTCATTCAGCTTGACCTTACCCTTTACAGTAATCAAAGCACCAGGCCGTTTCGTCGATTCGTATTCCGCATCTAATGGCAATGGGAAAAGATCTATATCCGGAATTGGAAGAAAGCTTCCATAGAGAGCCTTCGCCAAATCTCCATCATCTGTACTAATTGGATGATGTACCGTCACCAAGTATGTTCCAGTTGGAAAAGTGCCTTCGACCATAATTTCCGTAAGGGTCGAGCAAACCGCAGGTTGGACATGACGACGGCCGAGCATTGTTGCGCCAATTGACATGAGATCTGCCACTGTATGGTTTCCATCGCGAATGAGCTTTGAGGTCGTCAGTTCGAACTCTTTTCCTGCTATTGGGGGAAAGAAGGTCGCCAGACCTCTTGAAGATTATTCGCTATAAGCGCCTTGTATCAATTAGTTACAATCTCATGGCATGCTTTCGAATGCTTGAAAGAACGCACAACTGCTTCGAAATGATTGAGCTTTACTCCTCGCGCAAGTCTTCGTTGTGCCAGCAGGCCAAGCTGAGAGATAGCAAGCTTATCTATCTGTTTTGACGATCCCCAAAATTAATTACTTTGCTTGAACGCTGCTAGATAAGGGTCTGGACGTACTTCCTTAGGTATGAGATGCATCTTTTGAGACTGATATGTATCTCCTCTTCAATTGAATATGAATAATTGCATTAAATGATGTTTTGTAGAAAACTAGATATGATTTAGAGATAAGACACTCCCCTCCGTTTTATCTAACTGATAAGGGAAGATTATGACAGGGATGGATGTGTCAATTGAATTTTGGCAAAGTCGAGATCTTAAATCATCATTTGGGAGTAGAAGGCGACTCATTCACTTCATCGACGAACAGGTACTACAGAATTGCGCTGTCGATTGTACAAAGTACATGCATGGCACAACTAATCTTGAATTATCGTACCTACCTACTAGTATCCCTTACAATGTTTCTTTTCCGACCAATCCATCGTACATCTCAAAAGAAAAAGAAATGCTTCTTCTGAAGACTCTGCCTGCTGTGACTGGTTCAACAGCTTTCCGTATCATACGCCAATATTCCAAACAAGTTCCAAATAATTGATCCGTTGCCAATATTTTCTCCCAAAACACCAATTCCTAACCAGCCCTTAATTCCTTTTGCCCTTCAAACGCACAATGCATACATGGTATAAAACTCCAGAGATTGACAAGAACAACCTTGCCACGCTGAAATGCTCATCAAATCATTAATATTTACAGTTGAACCCCTAAGAATAGCCGGGGAAAGTTTTGGATAATGCGCGACGGACTATCATGGCTCATTAGTTTGATAAGAGTTTGATATTGAGAAGCGCTTACAGAGTGATTGATTCCTCCTTTGGACCAAATCGGGGTCTTCTATTGACGGCTGTTGTGCTGCAAGTTCCTGAATTCGTTGCTGGGCTCTCTCTTGCCGAGAAAGGCCATCTTGTAACACCTCAACTCCTAATACGCCATTGGCCTGTGATTGGGGGTGTGTTGCACTTGTCATCAATGGCGGTCTCGTTGCGATCGGTGAGGCAACTGTCATTTGTACATTATTCGTTTGGGCCGTCGAAGTATCAAGCATTCGCCTGCTGAAACTAGAGCCTAAGATTCGGGGAAGAAACCTTGAATGACCAGCCTGAATATCATGGTTATCCTCTGCTATAGTGATACGAGATCTCAGTCTTCGCATATTCCTTTCCCTGTTGACCATTGCGTTGGTGATCT